ACGGGGTTAGAGGGGATATTGGGGCAAATATTGATATTTTGACGTGATGTGTGCATTCCGCGTGGGGGTATGTGAGCGGTGGGACCCACAGCAACAAAGCACAGAGTTTGAGTCTATACAGGAGTGAGTGCTGGTATGAGGAGGTGCCTGGGATTCTCGAAATGCTCATCCATTGGACTTGGTCCAAAGCCGAGCTGATAACACCGCTTTCTCGGGCCCACGCAATTGCTGCGTTTTCGATTCGTTGTTTCCCCTTCAACATCCTTTTCTCTCCAGCTTGACGCTTGTATTTCGCTCGAGTTTGCGGCCACCTTGCCGTTCCGGCCCATGTGACTGTCAAGCGAGTCACCAGTTGGTGGGGAACTGTCCACACCGTGGCGCCGGGCACCCCGAGAAAAGTGGCTATGGCTTGATCTAACAGTGGTGGAGTGGTATGCTCCAGAACACTAGGCTCCATAGAGCCCCATGTGTGAGTTACAACATGCGCCGGTCCGTCACTAAGCAGGAATTCATGGTGTGGGTCTGGTAATTTGTGGCTGACAATAATGTCATTACTCCTGAGCTTCGTCAGAGCCACCCCAGAAAAAATTGCCAGTATCACTAACGAGAGATCACGGACTTGATGCGCAAGTTGGGACGCCATCGGATATGCAAAATTGCTGCATTTCCACTTGACAACGCCCGGTTTCACCAATTCCCAGTTAAAAACATCAATTACTCTGGATGAAGCCGGTGCCAGTAGAGAAAAGCGTTTGCACATTTTTTTAAGCTGCCCCGTAGTCGTAAAGAGTGGCAGATCGCGTAGTTTCCGCTGCTTTACGCCGTCTCCGACAAAGCGACCGAATCGTTCTTCTAGGAAGCGTGCGTAAGTCTGAACTCCGACGAGTATTGAACGGAGATCACACACTAACTCGCCATTTATCCATCGTGTTGTGACACCGTGTCGCTTTCGAAACTTAGCCAGCAATGCGGTCTGTCCACTGATACTATTTTCCGGGAAGGCTGGTGCTAGCGAGCGCGCCACCCAGACGCTACCATTTGTCCACATCGAATTTCGGAGATTTTTGGGGGTCTTCCCGCGCCACACTAGAGTGATCATCGTCCATGTTATACCGTCCCGCGAGCGCAAAATATCCCCAACCACTCTGATTATTACCGAGCTCTCGAGAGCCCAGTCGCCTACGGTTTGCGCGCTGAGGGCATGTAGCTCTACACTTAGGTTAGGCATTGCCAGTCCACCTTTTTTGGAAAGTTCGAGTACTTCTGCAGTCACCCAGCCTTTTACCGATGAGTGTGGAATCGCAAAAGAGCTGCACCATATAAAGTGCTTAAGCCTCATTTCCGCTTCCCTCACGATGGCAGCCGTGGGCCACGCGTGTTGCGCTATGTAGAGTAGTTTTGGTATGATAATAGCGTTGGCAATATCCACTCGCTGCGCAGTTGAGTTCGTTTTTTCCACGGCAAGTGCTAGTCGAACAGTTAGCGCCGCAAAAGCTTTACTCCATGCCGTGGCTGTAGTATCTTCACTTCCAGCCCAATGACCCAAGTATCGGCATTCTTGTTCAGCAATTATGGGCATGCCAACATTCATTTCGCGAGCAGGGTTAGCCTGAAAACTTCCGAGGGGGTCGCGACTGATTTATAGACGTTGACTTGGAGCCCCGACCGCTCTGAGAAGCGTCCCAACGCTGCGATAATTTCGGCTTGCATGTTCCGGTGCTTGATATATATTGCAGTGTCGTCAGCATATCCAGCAACGTGAAGTCGATAACCTCCGGTTTGCCCATGTAGCATGATGCCACACGCATCTGCCATTGCCTCGAGTTCGTCATAGAGGAGGTCGACAGCTAGAATAAAGAGTAAGGGAGCGGGTGGGCAGCCTTGTCTTATGCCTCTAGTAATTGGTATTGGCGCCGAAGGGTATCCATTAGCGAGAAACGTGGCTGTTGTATTGGCGTGCGTCACTTCGACCATGCAGCAAAATTTGGGCGGGAACCCTTTGGCCCGTAGCACTGCCAGCAAGTAGTGACGATCGAGTGTATCATACGCTTCAGCGAAATCGAGTTGGAGTGCTTGAGCGTCTAGAAGTTCTGGGTTGGTTTTGCAAACGCGCTTTGCCGCCTCGAACAAGTTGATAGCGGTGTGTATTCTTCGGCCGGGAACAAACCCAAATTGTGTTTCGTGGACCAGCTTCGAAATGTGAGAGCGCAGTCTTCGTGTGAAGATGCGGGTCAGGATCTTGTAGTCGGAGTTTAGCAAGGCTATCGGTCTATAGTTCAGCGGCAAGCTCGCATCTCCCTTTTTCTTAATACTGAAGATGTAGCCTTGCTGGAAGCTCGACGGAAAGGCTCCTTCCTCTATCCATCGATTGTATAAAATCGTCAAAAGTGGCACCAGAATATCACAATGATCCTTGTACCAGTCGTTGCCAAGTTTGTCTGGGCCTGCGGACTTCCCGCGCTTGCACTTGCGAATGGCTGCCTCCACTTCTGCTTCTGTTATTTTGTCATCCATATCTCTCAGATCGTATTTGGCCCACCCTTTCTTCAGCCGCTCCACATATTCATCGATAGATTTGACGTCCACGCTACCGCTGTTCATTACAGGAAACCACGCATCTGCTAAAATATTAGCTTTGTCCGCAGGATCCCGTTTCGGTTGCAGTCCGCTCTGCTTGAGATCATGAATAATGTTGTCACTAAACTTCGTGCATATTCTGCGAAAGAAAAACTTGGCGTTGAATTTTCCGGTCCAAGTGTGCTGACGCGTGAGGTTCCGCCTCCGCAGTCTTCTGCGTTGTTGTTGTATAGCTTGAAGTTGCTCAAGCAGCTGCTCCCTTAGGTCCGAAGCTCCGTTTTCCCTGCTTTCACACTTCTTGAGTTTCGTTAGCACTCTTCGTATGCGCTGCCGAAAACCTCGAGTCATCTTGCGTCGACACTGACGCTTAAGCTTCCCGAGCCCATCTGCTAGCCCCTTCTTGAAACGATCCCAGCTCTCAGCCAAACACGGGGCGTCCACTTCGCCCACTATTTCGTGTACGTGCTTGTGAACATCACCGATTCGAGAAGAAATTAGATTTTTAGCGGCGGCAGTCATGTATTCAGGCATGGGGTAAATTTTTGGCAGGCGTTTGATGCGCAGCGGGTTTTTGGGACTTTGCAGCTGGAGAGCAACACCGTAATGGTCCGAGCGAATTGGACACCCGATCTTGCTCACTTGCTTAATCCACGGCTGCATTCTTGCTGCAAGGTACCACCTGTCTATCCGACTTGAGCCTACCCTCTCATGTGCAAGCTTGTAGAAGTAGGTATGATGGTCAGCTGCAAAATCGTTCCTTGCTTTAGGGTCCATATCGCCCGGCTTCAGGTGGTCCACAGCGTCAACTAAATGTAGCGATTCCAGCCATTGTTGCAACGCAGCTCGTCCTGCGTCTCCGGTTCTAGCGCTCGTTCTCCTATCGAAAAATGAATCGGTGACGCAGTTGAAGTCTCCCCCTACTACGAGCTTGACGTTGTCGGGGACTGGAATGTCGACAAGCCGCTGGAAAAATTGCTTGCGCGCCTTGGGATCGGATGGGGCATACAAATTCATTACGAGTAGCTCTTCCCCCTGCAGACTGCACCTAATGAACTGCCTATAGGCAGTCCACAGATGTTGGTTCCAAGGTTGCGCGTTGCGGATTGCCCCGTGCGGGTTGATTAAAATTGCAACGCCTCCATGACGAGCCCGCTTATTCCTCTGTCCGGCATGAGCGGGTGTCCAGAAGGAGACGACCGACCGTGAACTCTGCTTGTATCCCCACACCGTTTTATACTGCTGCTCTGCAAAAGCCGATTCCACCTCATCCAGGTGCGTTTCTTGTATAATCACTAAATCATTGAGTCCTTTACGCTGCTGCTCTCGAAATCCTTGAAATAATTGCGGGAGCTGATTGGTATAAGATGCAAGGCCACTCACATTTTGGGTAACCATGCTGCAAGTAAAATCATCCGGGGAAAGGTCGCTCTTCTGCGTTCTCGCTCCTTGTTATGTGTTGGTGGTGCTGATCCTTAGCTTTGGCCGAACCTGTCGAAAGCATCTCCGAAGCTGCTTGCTGCTCTGAGTTTCCGACACGTGCGGAAAGAAATCTCGTATCGAGGTCTGGATCTGGACCTGACGAGATTTTCCTCCTGTGGCAACTTTCAGCACTGTAGAGAGGTCTCGGGCTGCTTTGTGCCCGCCTCTGCTACATTATTGGTACCATGAATACCAAAGGTGCTCGTTGTTGTATCAGTGGAGCCGGCCGGAGAAGAGTCGGCCATTTCTCCTGCTCGCTGCCGTGCTCTGGTTACCGCATTGGATGCCGTGCGTGCGAGCGTTGCTTGAGCTACGTTGCCTCCAACCTTGAGCATAAAACCTTGTTCTGTTAGCGTTGCTTGATGGGCCTTCGTCATGGAGCTGTACCCTCTCGAATCTAGGAGCCCGGTCGGAAGAGAAGAGAAAGTCACTGCTTTGTAGTGGTTCTTAATGACTGGTGGTGAGTTCTCGCTGCCTTTGTGAACCGAGCGTGTAAGTACAATCATGACAGGACGAACTCCTTTTCCTCGCAGAGTTTCCAGCAGTTGTAGCCCCTTGTCGGCATGAATGTTCGCGAAAACTGGGATGTCTTCTGCTTTTCCGTGGCGGTCTACTTTTCGATACGCATACATTCCGAGGTATGTGCCATCATCCTGGTGCACATCTAGTACATATACCGGCTCTCGTAGAAACAGAGTTACCCCATGCAGAATCGTCACATTCACCCAGCAGCTCTGCGGAACGGGGATATCTACGCTGCGCCTTCGCTCTGAGTCCCAGTACATGAGTAAAGGGTCCGCGTTCGAGTGTGGCGTCGTCGGAGTGGTGCTCGATGAATAACCGGTTCCTTGTTCAGTTGCAAGATCAATTACCTTTGCCTCCACAAGTGGATTTATATTCGCGAGCAGCACATTTAGGATCTTTCTCTTCCACATTGTTGCCTCCTATATGGTTTTTGGCGTCATATCGAGCACGTCATTTTCAACATTGTGCGCCGCCGCATAGATCGCTAGCCACCCACACTGCCCATTAGCTTCTACGTCCGTGATCTTCCCCCCAATCGCGTTGAGCCATACCTGGAGATCGCGTTTTGTCTCGGTTAGATTTTCACCCACGCATTCCACGTCTTCATCTTCATCTTGCGTTTCCATGAGGACCGAAGGTGTCGGCCCACTATCCATCTCCGTCTTCTCTAGATCCGTCCCCTTTTTCACCTCATCTTCAGAAGGTTGATGCGGTGCGTCCCGTTCACCGGCAAAAGCGTCAAAAAGAGATTGTTGCTTTAGCGCTTTCGGCTCCGCGGCCTGTTGTTTGGTTGGCGACAGAGATGTCACTGAGCACTCTTGCGTTTTGGAGCCTTGACGCAATATTTTCTTTTGTCGTCTTCCTGAAAGTTGCTTACGTACGCGCCGATGCTGCTCATGGGTAGCAGCGTCTCTTTTGTGAAGTGACCTCCCATCGCCTTGGTTCCGGGGCGCAACCTCTTGCAGTTCAGCCTCAGTGTTGGCGCATGCGCGCTTTTGTTGTAGCTGGACCGGGATGGGTTTGCTTGCCTTGTACGCAACAGGTTTTGCCTCATCCAAAGTGGCCACTGCGTCCGTCTTTGTGCTGGATTGATCTGTCTCCAGCAAGCGTCTCTGGTTTCAGGGGTTGCGGCGTTCTTGTCGCTCGAGCTATCGCCTTCCATTTCAATGTCCGTGTCTACATGGCCGTCAGCTTTCTTCGCTTCGTCGGCCCCCATTATGGTGTTGTCATGGTTATCTGAGGGACCCATAACCCTATCATCATTTTCCACATTACCTGGGGTGACCTCCTCATCTTCCTGGTACTTCAGTTTCGTCTCCGTCGAGCACGGTTTGGTCTCCGGTACGCCCCAACGAGCAAAAAAGTCAAAGAGCTGGTCAACGTTTTGGATTGAGGGACCAACCGATGCGATCTCCTTTTTAATCGAAGGGCTTGCTTCCTGCGGCGTTATCTTCAGCGTGCGTTGATCTGCTGCCTGCTTGCAATTTTCGGACTGAGCGTTGCATCGCATCTGGGAGTGCCACTTGCTACTACACTTCACACAGGGCAAATTAATGTGTACATCGCTCAGGTGAATCAATAGATGAGTTTTCGGGAGGTGAATGCGCGTGTGCTTGCTGAGCACCAGCGGGCATATTGGTCCCTCGATGATAACTTCCCATGTCTCTCGTCCTCGCCCCGGCTCGTTCAGTTTCGGGTGTTTGATTGATTTCACTTGCTGTTTGAGTTCTTTCGTTAAGAGCTCATACATTTCGAGTGGCGAGATTACCACGAAGCAGCAATAGTGAAAACCGGAAGTGGTCGAGTCGGAGGACAGCGTTCGGGCGTTGATACCGGAGTTCGTTGTAGTCCACCAACTCAAGTCCTTTTCCATCAAATGGGCAAATCATTCGTCGACTACGGAAGTAAAAGCTCACCACTCTGGTTTCTTGATTCAGTTCCAGTCGGGCTAAGTCTGCTTTCAGCAGTTGTACGTGTTGTTGTTGTTCAGCAACAGCAGCGGATCCTGCATCGATTAGTTGGAAAAGCGTGCTTTGGCTCAGCCCATCGCGAACAAAATGACCTGGCATGAGATGCCCATATAGAGCGTACTCCTGCCCTTGCAGCATTTCCATGAAGATCGCCATCTGGCCAGGCGTGAAGACCTGCAAAAGGAAAGCCGGGGGGGTTCACCTCGTCGAGGCGTCGGGACAACAGCATATTAAGATTTTCACGTTCCGCATCGGTCATCGGTCTTGGCTGCATCAGTTGGCTCCGCTTGGTCATTTACAGGTTGCTCGCTACCTGAGGACTTGGCATCAGCTGGGAGTTCACCACCGCTACCAGTCTGAAGTGCGTCTTTGTAGCTTCTAGACGGTCCGATAGATTTTGCGGGCATGTATGTTGTTGGGGCCGGTTTGTTAGAGAAGACGAAGAACTGGATCCTGTTGTCGAGCTCCTTCTTCGTGATCCTTTCAATAATCACCCAGTTGTACAGTGTTCTCGCTAGGCTGAGCGCTTCACTCTCGTTAGCGTAGTCCCAGGAGCCTGCGTATATTGAGTAGCGTTCACGCAGCTTTGCTGGCCTATCATCCGCCCATTCGTTAAGCAGGGCCGTCTTTTGCTCCTCGTTCTCCATTGAGTGTAGACTTGCCTTGAATATCTCGAAACGACGTTGCCGACCAAGCTCTTGAATTATGACCGCCAATTGGTACACATGCTTGGGCTGGGCGGTGTAGCGCAGGTATTCGATCGGTTTGAGGAACGACGCCCTACCGTCGCCATTCTCTTCACCAGCTTTAGTCGGTTTGCGCGGTAGTGACGTGTTTCTGGGAGATTGTCGCGTCTTGGGCTTCGGGTTTGCTTGCGCTTTTTCGTCCTTGGTGCCATCTCTCTCGTTCACGCTCGTTGCGGCGGCTACCTTCAAGTGCTTTTTCGTCTTTCTGCTCGCATGAGTGCTCCACTCGCTTTCTCTCGACTTGACCGCAGACTCGTCCGGAGGGCACTCCCGCTCACCGCCTGGCGATGCCGGAGATGTTCCTCCTGGAACACAGTTCATGCTCGCATTCGCATCCGGCCCCATGGCTCCGTTCGCCAAGGGACTCCCTGGATTTAGTGGTTGGTCGGGCGGCCGACCTGGTTGCTTCATGGGGTCTGGCTTAGCTTCTTCCGGAGTTTAAGAACCCAGGCCACGCGCCTCTCCACGCGTAGAGCTCTGCCGTGTTCTCAGCTAGGACGAAGGGTCACTTGGTCTGGCCGAGGATCTTTGCGAGTGGAAAATGGTACTTCGTCGATGTCTCAGTCCGACAGCCACCTAGCTATCACTTTCATTTGTTTTGCAAGGACTCATAAGAGCACTGCCACCGTTAGGTCAAACAAGACTGAAAATGACCTCGATTGGCGTGCGACAATGTTGCGAGGCAAATTTACTCTGGCTTGGATTCGCACCGGTTGCAGCAAAAGTAGGGGGATATGCCGGCAGTGCTCTAAACGATACGCGACTGATGATCTGAGTAATATCGCGGTTTGCCCAAAGTGCCAGTTGCAATTGTAGTCTTGCGCAAATAGGAAGCTTCATGCGCGCGTAGGTGTTTTGTCGCGCTTTTGCTTTTGTCAAACACGTAGTTCCAAGCATTTTTTATTGAAGATGGATGGCGTGCGATTGGTTTGAGTTTTCGGCGCAAGATCCTGCGCTAGCTTCGAAGCTTTACTCTCGTCACTTCTTGATTCACGCTCAAGTCCGCACCCGCTTCACCTCATCGACGTTGTGGCTATGGATTTATCGGATATCCCATTCGACACGCCCGTGATTCTCCGGTCGCTCTTTGCGCGCAAGAGCCTGCAGAATCCTTTCGGAACGAAGAAGGCGCGGTGCCTCGAGGACAATTGCGACCTGTACGAGCAAATGATCCTGCGCCGTGTCCGCGACGACAAAGTTGCCATCGAGTCGGCGCGCAACAGCCGGTTCCTTCAAGTTCGTGCCGCTGGGGAGTGCGTCTTCGACCCGAAGGAGCCTGGCGAGTGGGAGCTCTTTAACATGGAGACGGATCAGGACTGTGCGCTCTACTTCGTGTCGTGCCACACGGGGAACGTGCTGCAGTGCGACGAGAACGGCGTTGTCAAGTGCGCGAACGAGAATCGTCAGGTGTGCGAGGGCTGGGGCATCGTCGAGCCTCGTTCTTCTGCTGCTGTGAGCCAAGCGAAATCTGTAGCCAATTTGCGTGGGCCCCTTGGCGTTGCAGAACGCCAAAACTTCATCTTGGAGCTGGCGAAGTGTGGCAAATCGCCCGATGAGATCGAGCAGATTGTGACGCGCATGTTTGATGTCTCGTTGTCTGCATCAACAGCGCCGTCCGCAACCTCCTTTTCGAAGCCGGCCGTCGCCGTGCTTTCTGGGTGGGATTGAGTCACCTCAGACGAGATCGGTCCAATGTGGTGGAGAACTACAAGAATCCCAATAGCCTAAATTGCAGCTTACTTGGGGAATTTCCTTGCTAAATAAAACAGTGTCGAGCCTGTTTCTTGAAGCGAATCACTAGATGTTTCCTCACAATAACAGTAAGGTTACGTGCAATCATGCACGGCAGATGTCGTGTCAGATTCGCCGCTCTAACCTGAAAAGTTTCTTGGAGGCTTGCACAAGATCAAGATGTGTTATTACTTTATGAGCTACTAGAGTGGATCCACGCGAACTTAAAGCTGAAATCAGCACCTAGGGAAGAAAAGGGTGGTTATTAGAGTGACAAATCTCAATTTGTTCTAAACCAACTATTCCAAGCCAGCTTTCCGACGTGCTGTAATGGCACTTGCATGACGTAGACGAATACGCCCATAAGCTTCATCTGAATGATCTCTACCTGTTTTTCCAAAACAAATGCGAGTTGGTTCAATCGCGAGAAGCCAAATGTACCACAATTGCCATCACGAGCGACAGCAACTCCAGCAGTGCGTAGGCCATCACGTTGCAGAACTTTAAATAAAGTTGATCACTAGTGAGGCCTGCCAGCTGCGGGTAGTACGCGCTGTTTGGCATGTGATACAAAGTCAATTGATGCACACCTAGAGTGATCTTTGTGCAACATCATAGCGCAGCACCTAAAATGGTTGGCATCGCCACTTCAATGTACTCCACGAGCACAACGTATTCCGTGACGAAGAGCACTTGAGACGTCTTTTGTATGAACAGATCCCGTTCCTGGCGAGAGAAAATTGCTTCAATTCCCAGTGCCGGGGTCTCCTCAGCTGGAGCATCGACTACCTTGACATCCGGAAATGCCTCCATGTCAGGCTGCAGATATCGTTTACTCCTCTTGCTGCGCTGTGGGGGACGAATCTGATAGACCCGCGCCTTGTGGGAGACCATGTATTTGAACCCCCTCTCATTCCCAGTCAGACCACTGTTCTTCAATGTAAAGGTGGCTGGCTACACGTGACGGAAGAGCTTCCGCCTTAGCTGCATTCGGTGCTTTTATCCACGATAGTAGTCGGTTTCGCCATAACGCAATCACACTGGCACGATCACGGACCCTTGGCTGATGAGGTTTTGCCCGGTATTCAATGTTCATCAAGCGTTCTGCTATCTGGACGAAGTTTTCTTTTGCAATTGGGTGTGTATGTGGGATCTTCTTCATCAGCACGCGGACTTCGTTCAGGAGCCTCATGGTATCAAATAGCGCGAGCCCAAACTGCAACGCATCCGTTCCCATGATGAGGGCGATCGTGTACCAGGACGACGTGCTCTCAAGAACACTGGAGGTGTACAGCACACCGAATATCTCCACGAAGAAAATAATCGTCACGAGTTTCATCTCGTTGTGGTCGGTAAGATTTCGACTGACAAAGTTTTTGGCAGCGATCTGCATGGCGGGTGATAGCAGAACGAAAAAGGCTTGGTCGACTCCGGAAAGAGACAAGCAACCGTAGATATAAAGCGGGTAGACGATTGTCAGTGCCACTTCGCAATAAAAGACGTTCAGTTGGCGCTTGAGTTCGGTCCACAGCGACGGCTCAGCTCGTAATGTGGATCTGGATATGTAAACGAAACTCGCTGCAAGGGCCAAGACGGTGGGGGGTCCAGCAACAACGAGTCCAAATGGCAGTGGGAAAATATCCGTCAAGCTACAAACGATTATGACGCATGAGAAGGGAAAAGTAGCCGCGATAGAGGAAACAAAAGACACTTGTGCTGCGCAGAGCTTCAGTTTCGACACCCCCTGGCCGATCTGCACGAGCTCGCCTGCTCCGATCAATACGATGAGAGCCCACGATCGAACGAACACGAACCAGTTGCGGGAAATTCCAGCTTCAGGGGGCGGTAGCGGCACTGACTCGGTGAGTAAACTCAAGCAGAGACTGGGGAGTGGCGTCACCAGGCAAAGGGCCACCAACCGAGCGACGCTCAGGTCTTTCGTGTAGGGCTGCAGCTGCTGCAGTCGTTGGTTGTAGTAGCATCCTTGGAACTCCACGTGAAGCGACGTCCAAAGCTCTAAGACGCGATGGCACCACTTCCAGAGCCGCCGCCTCATGCTTCTTGTAGACATTCGCCTACGGAGCAGCATCGTTTCGTACGACGTCAAATGAGCGAACTGAATCGATTTGTTCGATATGGAGCACGAACGATTGAGGTTTGAAAAGTGCGAGGGCTACACGATAACCAAAAGGTGATGCTATTTTGATCCTCTCGGCTCACGGTGAAAACACCCGTATATTCATTCATTCCTGTGGTCCCGACACGTCCACCATGGCAGCGGAGCACGCAGAAGCTCTGTTCGTTTGAGTTTACTACCGATACCAAAAATAATGTCGATGTGATCCCAAGCTTTTTTTACGCCTGCTCCTGCTCCTGCAAGAGTTGACTACGACCGTAGGGGGGTTGGTACGACTCGCTTCACTGGTCCGCAGAAGCTTAGCTTTGCTGCTTGTTGGTCGTTGGCTGAGCATCGCGATCCGAAGTTACTATTAGCAGCACACCAAGAAACTACTGTCCGCGCTAATATGTACATGCACGACTACAGTCTCGACGCCAACGCCAACTCGAGCGAAAATAAGAATTACTAACCATACCTTACACGGATTGCTAGTAATTCTGGATCGAGCACGCGGACAGCACGCGCCCCCGGCCACATTGGCTCCAGTCCAGCCCCACAAGTTGGGGCACAACGTAGCAACCGCACTTCAACTTTGTGTCTGTCCGACCTGCGCTAGAGTCACACGAGACGAGCCTGTTCGGGTGGTGCACCCAGCTGCGCCCTGATTGGCCAGAGTCACGCAGCACACACCTCCACACCAACTCTACACCACTCTGCCACGCACGCAGGCAGCCGCACACTCCAGTAGTCAGCACAGTCCGTGCATCACCACACCTCCACCTCCGTTGCCATTGCCATCGCTATTGCCAGCCATGACTGCGACTGAGACTGCTGCCGCGGCCAAGACGGAGACGCCCAAGCGCACCATCTACGTGTCGTCGCGCAAGAGCCAGCTGGCCATGGCGCAGACCAACACGGTCATCGCCATGCTGGAGGTCAAGTTCCCGGCGCTGCGCTTCGTCGTGGGGCAGCAGGACACGGTGGGCGACCAGGTGCTGGACCGCCACCTGAGCGAGCTGGGCACGAGCACGGCCTCGGGCCTCTTCACCAAGAGCCTAGAGGACGCGCTGCTGGCCAAGACCGCCAGCTTCGCCGTGCACTCGCTCAAGGACATGCCCACAACGCTGCCCGACGGGCTCGTGCTGGCCGCCATCACCAAGCGCGAGAGCCCCGAGGACGCGGCCGTGATCCACCCCAAGCACAAGGCCAAGGGCCTCACCACGCTCAAGCAGCTGCCCGAGGGCAGCGTCATCGGCACCAGCTCGCTGCGGCGCGAGGCGCTGCTGCGCCAGCAGTTCCCGACCTTCGAGATCAAGACGCTGCGCGGCAACATCCAGACGCGGCTGGCCAAGCTGGACGGGCACGACGACTACGACGCCATTATTGTGGCGGCGTGCGGCTTCCGGCGCGGCGAGCTGGGCGACCGGATCGACGAGATTCTGCCCATGGACACGTTCGGCTACGGCGTCGGACAGGGGAGCATCGGCGTCGAGTGCCGCGCAGACGACGAGGAGACGATCGAGATGCTCAAGACGATCACAGATGAAAAGTCGGCGCAACTCTGCAAGGCCGAGCGTAGTCTGCTCTACCATTTGGAGGGAGGATGCCAGGTTGGTTGTGCAGTGTTTACTGGGTGCTCTGAGGTGATCTTCTGACGTTGGTGTGTTGATTACTGTGTAGATCGCGATGGGCGTGAGCGCGACGCTGGATGAGGACACGCTGACGTTGAACTCGACGGTGTTGTCGCGTGACGGCAAGGAGAGCGTCCACGGTACGAGTCTCGTATGCGCGAACATTTGCTTGTGATATCATGGAGCTAACGTTGCTGTGAAATGCTACTGCAGAATCGATCTCTGGACCGCGCACGGAGGCTGAGAACCTGGGCAAGCAGCTGGCGCAGCGCTTCTGGGACAACGAGCTGGCCCGCAAGGTGCTGGGCAAGACCGGCCAGAAGCGCGCCCTGACGTACGGAGACGCCGAAGCGCCCGGTGACGCCGCTGCCGCCGCTGAAAAGGCTGCCTCCGAAGGTGAGAGCCCCTCGAAGAAGGCCAAAACCTCCGAATAAGTCCAAGGAGATCATCACCATCGGAACTGCAACACAACCTTCATAGCATTAGAGACCCGCCCCACCACTGTCAACTCCGTCTTACCGTAGTGAACCCATAATTGAAACATACTACCATTTGTCATCCCAATAATCGACTCGTCACGGTACTTCCTTTCTCCCATCTAAGTACGAAATGCTTGGTTCCAGTCATTTCGGAGCTGCTCGCCCAACGACTCAAGTGGCTGCTCCTTCACTGGTGTTGCGGTGCGCGTCTCGGCGTCAATCTCCCTCGGTTCGGCGCGACTCGCTGTTCACCATAAAGCCCAGCGTCTGGCGTCTCTGAAGCTGCCGGTTGCACTCGTCACCGCCCCGTACCGCGCGCGCCCTAGGCAGATAACGGAAACCATGACCAGCGACCAGTTGACGCGCTGCCAGAACTCGCGCGTGCTGCAGGCGTTCCGCGCCATCGGCGTGGTGGCCGACGATGTGCCCGTTGTGTGGTACGGCATGGGCAAGTCCAGCTTCGCCACGGCCTCGCTGGGCAAGTCCTTCGCCGTGTACAACTGCGACAAGCTCACGCCCGTGCTGGTGTCGCCCCAGCTGCCCAAGCGCATCGCGGCGCTGGCGGTTTTCCCCAGGAAGCACGTGACGTTTACGGCCTGCGGGCGCCAGATCATCGTCTGGCGGCGCGCGGACCGCTGGAAGACGCTGGTGGGCCACAAGGGCGCCGTCAAGCAGATGATCACAGTCGGCACCGTGCTCTTCTCGCTCGACGACGAGCGCAACATCATGATCTGGGACCTGGAGACGATGAAGCTGGTGGACACGCTGAGCTTCCCGATTGGCTTCACCCCGACGGCCATGATGCACCCGGACACGTACCTGAACAAGATCCTCATTGGCTCGGAGGAGGGCGCGCTGCAGCTCTGGAACGTCCGCAAGATGAAGTGCATCTACGAGTTCAAGGGCTGGGGCAGCGCCGTTACGGCCTTGGAGCAGAGTCCTGCGGTTGACGTGGTGAGTATCGGACTGGCGGACGGAAGACTGATGGTGCACCACCTGCAGCTGGACGAGCGCGTCATGGACTTCAAGCAGGAGCAGCAGAGCAGCATCACGGCCATGTCCTTCCGCACCGACGCAGGCGCGTCGACGACCCCGTTGGTTGTGTCTGGATCGAGGTCGGGAGACATCGCGGTCTGGAACCTGCAGACCAAGCGGCTCGAGTCGGTCATTGCTGCTGCTCACGACGGCGCCGTGGTGTCGCTCCAGTTTTTGAGTAACGAGCCGCTGCTGCTGTCGTCCGGCTCCGACAACTCAATCAAGCTCTGGATCTTCGACCACCTGAACGGTGGCACCGCTCGTCTTCTCAAGTCGCGCGAGGGCCACCGCGCCCCGCCCACGCGTATTCGCTACTACGGCAACAACACGCTCGCTACTATGGCCGACGGTGCTGACGGCACGTGCTGCCAGATTCTGTCCGCAGGCCAAGACCGCGCCTTCCGTGTGTTCCACACGGCGCGTGAGCAACAGAGCAGGGAGCTATCGCAGGGGCCCGTTCTGAAGAAGGCTCGCCGGTTGAATGTGCGCGTGGAAGATCTGAAGCTGCCGCCGATCGCGCAGTTTGCCGCCATGGAGACGCGCGAACGCGACTGGGCTAACGTCATCACGTGCCACGAGAACGAGATCGCTGCTTACGTGTGGCGTTTCGAGAACCGCGCCATTGGTAAGAAGGTGCTTCGCCAGTTCGACCCCAGCAAGCGTGTGCCTTCGGGCAGTGCTGAGGACCTGCGCCGCAAGAAGACTCAGGCTACCAGTGTGGCCATCAGTTCGTGCGGCAACTACGCTCTTGTGGGTAGCTTGGGTGGTTGCATCTTCCGCTACAACATGCAATCCGGTGAGGCTCGTGGATCATTCCCAGTTTCGGCCACTCCGAAGGCGAAGATCATCCGTTCGTTGGTGCTGCCGGGCACGGATATGTCGGCTCTGCAGGACAATGACGTCGAGAAGACGGCGGGTGATGCTCACGACGGACCTGTCAGCGCCGTGGCCGTGGATGCCCTCAACGAGACGCTGGTTTCGGCTGGCATTGACGGTAAGCTCAAGTTCTGGGGTTTCAAGAAGCACGAGCTGCGCTACGAGATCGATATCGGCTCCCCTATCAGTCAGATGGAGCTGCACCGTGACAGCAACTTGCTCTGCGTGGCGTGCGATGACCAGGTGCTGCGTCTGTACGACGTGACGACTCACAAGCTCGTCCGTCGCTTTGCCGGTCACTCGCACCGTGTGACGGACATGACGTTCAGCTCGGACGCTCGGTGGCTGTTCTCGTCCTCGGCTGATGCCTCGCTGCGTGTGTGGGATATTCCTACGGGCAAGTGCGTGGACTGGCTGCGTTTCCACAAGCCGGTGACTGGTTTGGCGGTGTCCCCTACGGGCGAGTTCCTGGCCACGACGCACGTTGGGCACGTCGGTATTTTCCTGTGGGCCAACCGCAGCTTCTTCACGGAGGTCTTCCTCGACTCGGAGCCTGCTGAGCCTGTTCTTATGGACATGCCCGTGTCGCTGAACGAGGTCGACAACAGCGACCAGCTCGGATACGGCACGGAGCGGAACCCTCAGCTGTCTGTTTTGAGTGTGGACGAGCAGCAGTCACAGAGCAGCAAGGTGGAGAAAGGGGAAGAGAGCTCCGAGCCTCTGGATGCCTCCCTCATCACACTGTCTACGGCGCCGCGTGCGTTCTGGCAGTCACTGTTCAACTTGGAGCTCATCAAGAAGCGCAACAAGCCTATTGAGCCTCCTAAGGCCCCCGAACAGGCTCCGTTCTTCCTTCAGACCGCTCGCAAGGATGATGTCCACCCGACGTTCGTCCCCGTTGCTCCCGAGGCGAAAAAGGAGACCAAGAAGAAGGAGGAGGACGAGGATGTTGCCATGGACGGCTGGGGCGTCGGCGACGACGACGAGGCATGGGGAGACGACGATGGCGAGGAGCCCGAGGACGACGCAGAAGTTGCTGCCCCGAGCTCTCGGATCGTCAAGACGGAAGGCATTGTCACTTCGCGCTGTAAGCTGGCCACACTGCTGGCGAAGGCGATCAAGCTGGAGGAGGAGGAAGACGACACGGTCTCACGTTTCCATGAGGTGGCCGTGTACATGCAGTCGCTCTCTGCGTCGGCGGTGGACGTTGAGATGAGCACCCTGTGCATGGGCGACTTCGACGAGGAGGGCAAGAAGCTGCTGGGCCGGTTCCTGGACTTCCTGCGCGAGGAGATGCGGACGCGCCGCGACTTCCAGGTGCTGCAGGCCTATCTGAACCGCTTCCTGAAGCTGCACGAGGAGCTGCTGGTGGCGGACCCGGCGTTGCTGGCGCAGGTGGACGAGCTCGGATCATTGCAGCAGCAGCAGTGGCAGCACCTGCAGAAGCTCCTGCACAACAATTTGTGTCTGGTGCAGTACCTCAGCAAGATCCAGATGTAAGATAGCGAGCGTGGCGCAGGAAACAAACGCTTCGGTTGCTAGCTCATACTACTCAGTCATACCCCCAAACGCTTAGATAAACGAAACCAATGCACGTTGATTAGACTAGTCTTGCTTTGTTGCCCAGAGTTAGCTGTTGACTTCTTCTATCCACTCGAAAGATGCACCCAGGAAAACTTGAAGCTGAAGTCAGCACCTGATAAAAATTATCACCATAAACTCAAGTTAAGATCGATCGATGACAAGAAAGTCCGCAGCTTTCTTACCGAGATGCAGTATCGTCACCTGCATGATGTAGACAAAGTAGGCGATCAGTTTGATCTGGATTGTGCGCGTTTGTTTGTCCAGGACGAACGCCAACTGGTGAAATGTCGAGAACCCCAAGCTTCGTTTCAAGGCCATAATGGTCATCACGAGTGAGAGGAGCTCGAGCGAGGCGTACGCTACGACGTTGGATACGCTGGAATACAGCTGAGTACTGGAGAGCTCAGCCATGAAGGGATAGTAGGCGCTGTTGTGCATGTGAAACAAAGCCAATCGATGTATGCCTACCAGAACGCTGTTTGTTAGTCTTGCCTTTTGAATCGGAGAGTTGCTGCAAGTAATACTTACTGAAGATAATCGGCATAGCCACTTCGATGTACTCCACAAGTATAATATGCTCGGTGACATAAAGCACCTGCGAAGCCTTTTGAATAAAAAGCGCTCGGTCCTTACGAGAGAAAAGTGCTTCAATATCAAGTGAAGGTTCGGCATATGGATCAACTCCGAGGAAACCATCTCTGATCTCTCGGTTCTTCTGTGGTGGGCGAATCGGGAAGACGCGTGCCTTGTGAGAAACTACTCGATTCGTATCCGTGTTTCTTCCGGTGAAATGTTCATTCTTTAACTGCATGGCAGCTACAGGCTGAGGAAAAGCTCTTGTCTTGAGAACACTTGTTAATTTGATCCAGGCTCTTGGCCGTTTATGTCGAGGCGAGGCAGAATAATGAACTTTTGGTTGAGGTGCAATCTTCGCCTGAATATTTCTCAACCGCTCTGCTATCTGGACGAAATTTTCTTTTGCCACTGGATGACTGCGAGGAATTTTCCTCATTAGCAGTTCCACGTCGTTCAGGAGCTTCCTAATGTCAATCATTGCTATCCAAAATTGCAAATGGTCTGTGAGGATCACCAGCACAGTCGTCTTCCAGGACGAGACGCTCTGGAGAGCATTGGAGGCGTACAGCGCATTGAAAATCTCCACAATAAACACAACCGTCTCTGGCTTGATGTCGTTGTGGTCGGTGAGGCTGTAGTTGATCCAGTTCTTCGCGACGAGTTGGATGACGGGGGATAGCAAGACGAAGCCTGCCTGGGCAAATCCAGAGAGCGATACCAACCCATAGACGTAGAGCGGATACACGAAGGTTAATGCTACTTGACAGTAAAACACGGAGAGCTGCTGCTTGATTTCCGCCCACAAGGATGGTTCAGCCCCTAGTTGAGGACCGGAAATGTACACGAAGCATACTGCTACCACACAGACGTCGGGTGGTGCGACGACGAGGAACCCAAAAGGAAACGGGAAAACTACCAGTCTGCAGACTGCTACGATGAATATGATTGACACCGTGGCCGCTAGGAGAGTAATGGCCACCACTTGCCTTGCACTCATCTTCAATCGAGGCGCACCCTGGCCAATCTGAACGAGTACAGTTGCGTTGACCAGCCCGATCAGCACCCACGACCGAACAAAGAGAAACCAGTTCTTGAAAACGCCTGCTTCAGGCGGAGGTAGAGGGACCGCCTCGCCGAGTAAACTCACAACGAGGCATGGCACTGGAGTCAGCAAACAGACGCTCCACATCCTCACGAGACTAGCAGAGTTTGTGTAGGAATGCAAGCGATGAAGACGCTCCCGCGAGTAGAACCCTTGGAACTCAACATGGAGAGCGTCAAACACCTTTAGAGCACGACGACGCGCTGTCAAAAGCCACTCGGGCTTCTTTGTCATCCGCGCTCAAAAAATGAGGATAGCTTTCCCGACAAGAGCTATGGAGATTTTTTTTGGAAAACCCTTTACTATATTCAGATTCGCGAAGTAACGCGCAGCAGTCTGATCATGTGTTAATGTATCATAACTTACCTTTTCGTTTGATCAATCCACGAAAATGTTAAGCTGAAGTCGGCGCCTAGTCAAACTCGCGTTAGCATAGGAGCTTAAGGGGGTGCTGTGCGATTTGTGTGCGTACCTGGATGTGCCAGCGTCAACTGCGTCACATAGACAAAAACAAGGATCAACTTCGCTTGGATATCTTCTTTTTGCGTCTCAAGCACGAACGCAAGTTGCCGCAACGGTGACAAGCCCAACTTGCGCTTGAGCACGACGACAACTATGATCCAGGATATGAGTTCTAACAAACTGTAGAGAAGCACGTTATCGACGGAGGACCAAAGCTGCGAGCTGGAAAGGTCGGAGAGTGAATGGTGGTAGTCTCGGTTAGGCAAATAAAAGAGCACGATTCGGTGCAGACCTAGGTGGTACGACATCATTGGCGGTCAGTAGAATATTGCCTCTTGATGATACGCGATGACTCACTGTAGATAATCGGAAGCGAAACTTCTGCGTACTCGATCAGTAGAATGTATTCTACCGCAAACAGCACACGCGTCGTCGTCTTTATGAACAGCGCTCTGCTTATTTGAAAATAAAATTTCCAGTGCGAGTGAGGAGCTCTGTATCGGTGCTGAAGCATTCTCTGGTGTTGCCCAAGATGAGGGGGTCGTATTGGAAAAAACGCGTGCTCTGCCACTTGTAATTGAGCGTTTCTTTGGACTGCGAGAAATTTTCTCTAAGTGAGTCGCGAGGCTTCGCTCTCGTTGAATTGGGAACTTCTTCTTTATCGGGAGGCTGGACCTTGGTCCCTCGCTCTCCCGCGTGGGTTTGGCTGCCGAAACCGCAGCAGTATTCTTCCTACCTTGAGCCTTCCTCCTCGAATCCAAGTTGACGAGTCGAAGGGCAATTTCCACGAAATTTTCGTTTGCAATACTATGACCACGGGGAATTTTCGAGAGGAGAGCATTTACTTCCTCAATTCCATTTCCGATGGCGGTCATGGCTTGTCAGAAGTGTACCTTATTGCGCCAGTCGCCGTCCACGATGAAGCGCTCTGGAGGGAGTGGGAGACGTAAAGCGCCATGAACACGTCGATGCTGAAGACGAACGTTTCCGGTTGAACCTTACTATGGTCGGGTAGCGCGCGGCTTGTCCAGTGCTTTGCAGCCAGCTTTATGACCGGTAGCAGCAGAACGTAAAAGGCTTGGGCGATACCGGTCAGTGACACGTAGCCGTAGATGTAGATCAGGTAAACGAAAGTCAGCGCTACCTGACAGTTCAGATAATAGAGTTGCCCCTTGACATCGAGCCATATCGAGGATTAGACTTGTATACAATGTATCCGGCAAGCACGGCCACATTCGGAGGCACTGCGATGAGGACCCCGAAGGGCAATGGGAAGACATCGAAAATGATGCTAATCGCGAAAATGAAAGCCATCGAAAGTCCAGACGCCCACGAAAACAAGTTGATAGGCTCTCAGCTGGAGTTTAGGGACGCCTATGCTCATTTGAACAAGCACCAATCAGTTGATCATACCTGTGACCAACCATGCCCGAATGAAAAATGCCCATTGTTGTTGTACACCAGTTTCCGGTGGCGCTAGTGACGGAACCTCCTTGAGTAAGCTCAAAGCCAAACTGGGCAATGGCGTTAACAGCAGGACCAGCTCTAATCGACGAGTGGTTAGATGGTTCATGTACTCATTTAACTACTGGAGCCGCGCCACTGAGTAATGTCCTTCGATGTTGATGACCGTCCACGCAGAGGAGATTTGTCGCTGAGCCCACACCAACATTTCCTTGCCTTGCCAAGACGCCATTTAGATGGTGAGTTCGCGTTTCCTTTCCCTGCCAAGGTGTGAGTTCGTATGCAGGCGCCACAGACAAAAGAAGATTGATAGTGACGCTATAAAGAGCACGTTTGATGCCACTGACTCAGAAACCGACAATGAGTCAGAGCGGGTGTTAGCGAGGGCTATTGTTGGTTACCAATGTGTCATTTGGCGAGAAGGAAGCGAAGGTGTGTTCCTAGTGCACACTGTGCACAATGTAAATTAGCCATAATGCCACTCAAGCGTTGGTTGAGTGAAGCCAATCGAACTTGAAGGTGAAATCGGCCCCTGGTAAACAACATGGTGTGTCAAAACGGGATCAATAAACACGAAAACACGCGGGAAAACCGCTGAGACTCACCATGGTGTTCCAGCGCCACCTGCATGATGTAGACGAAGACGACGTTCAGTTTAAACTGGATAACCTCAGCTTGGGTTTCGAACACGAATGCTAGTTGCTGGAGACACCCTAAACTCAGCTTCTGCTTGAGCACGAAGATTACTAGCAGTAGGGACATGAGCTCGAGAAAACTGTAGCCCAGCACACTCGATACTGATGCCCATAGTTGAGCACTGGTAAGCCCAGCTAATGAGGGATAGTAAATGCTGTTGTGCATGGGGGCTAACATCAAGCAGTGAAGACCTGTCATCCGTACAATAATGAGTATGTTAGTATAAATCCCCAGAATTTTTAACGATGATTTGGGTGGTTCGTACTGTACGCTATCGGCATGGCCACCTCGACGTACTCAATCAAGACTAGGTATTCTGTCATGAATAATACCCGCGTAGCCTTATGAATGAACCGTATTCGCTCCTTTCTCGAGAAAATGGTTTCTAGTCCGGGAGAAGTATCGAGCTTCTTGGCAGTATTGATCTTGGCCGGGATAATGGATTCTGGGGGGCTTTTAGCAACGAACACATTCTGCTTATCTGGCGGTCGGAAGGGGAGAACTCGAGCGGTATTCGATCGGATCCACGTTTTCATCCAGGTCCCACGTCTGTCCACTTTCTCTCTAACAGCGTAGCGTCCCAGGGCAGCATCCTTGGTCGGGTCGTGGATAACACACATGTTGCGCTCTCGTCTGCTGCAAGGCACTTTGCAAGCTTTTGTCTCTGGCAGCCTCGATATCGACAAGTCGAATTGCGATCTGCACGAAATTCTCCTTTTTCATGGGGTGCTTCTCCGGAATTTTGTTCACGAGCGTCTTCATCTCTTCAAGCACCTTCACGATATCCACCATAGATATCCAAAACTGGACCACGTCTATCAGCATAACTATTGCTGTGGTACCCCAGGACGAACTGTTGTGCAACGCACTGGAGATGTACAAGGCGTTGAAGACTTCGACAATAAAGATGACAGACTCGGGTTTCATGTCGTTGTTGTCGACTAAAGAGCGGCTGATCCAGTTTCTGGCGCTTAGTTGGATGACCGGCAGCACCATCACGAATAACACTTGATAGATCCCATCGAGAGACACGAAGCCGAGGATGTAGAGAGGGTAAACGAACGGAAGCACAACCTGACAGTTGTATACAACGAGCTGTCGCTTCAACTCCACGAGCAGCGATGGATCAGCGCGCCATTTGGGTCTCGAAATGATCGTAAACAATACAGCGATCACACCAACGTCGGGAATTCCAATGACCAGTAAACCGAAAGGCAGGGGAAATACTGTAAACGCGCAAATTATAATCACGATTCCAGTCGCCACAGTTGCCGCGAAAATCGACATGAAGATAATTCGTCGTACTGAAAGTTTAAGGCGAGGAGCGCCGTGACCCATTTGCATAAGGGCAGATCCATTGAAAAAGGTGAGCATTGCCCAAGCTCGGATGATGAATACCCAGTTTTCGCAGAACCCAGCGCTAGGTGGCGCTAAAGGAAGCAGCTCTTTTATTAAGCTGAAGGCAAGACCGGGTAACGGCGTCACAAACAGACGAGAATCAACCGGGCGGAACTGTGCGAGCTCGAGTAGCTGTTCAATTGTTGAAGTCGCTCAACGGAGTAGCGCCCCTGGAACTCGACTTGGAGAGACATCCAGGCCCTCCACAGACGCTGGCGGGTGCTTCGAAGCCATTTCGTCATATTAGATGGAAGCAACCCACGACGCACTAAGACGTGTCTGCCGAGACCTCCTAAGTTTAACCTGCCGAAATTAGCCTGTCTTCTTCATTTATATAGCGTCTTGGGGTGAATAGAAGCCACAAACACAAATAAACGGATCTTTTCCTGACATGTTAATGCATTTATTTAGCAAAATTCTTATTTGTTTAAGGCTTCCTGAGCCCGGAATTTACAACTACCGTTTGTCGTGTATCCATGAAAATTTGAAGCTGAAGTCCGCACCTGATCAAGATTACGGTAATTTGACTGGTGCCTAAGCTTTCGCTGCCAAATTTCCACTTACCGAGGTGGACCAACGGTAGCTGCGTTATGTACACAACAACAAGAATCCGATTTGCCGGGGTCTGTTCTCTATGCGTATCTAGCATAAATGCAAGTTGTTGCAATGGCGACTGACCCAGCTGCCGCTTGATCACTCAGATTATGAAAATAAAGGAGACGACCTCCAGAATAGTGTAAAGAAGCACACTTCCGACTGAAGCCCAAAGCTGGGAGCTAGAAAATCCTCTCAACTCGAAGTAGACTTTGTTGGGAGTATAAAAAGAGAGGCCAGTTAGTTTTCCTTTGCAAAAAGGTAGGTCTGCGGCTGGTAACGCACTGTACCTGATTAGGAGCATTACTTTAGCATACTCGACGAGCACAAGGTACTCCACCAGAAACAAAACTCGCCTACTTGTCTGTATGATTGCCTCTATTTCTTTGCTCGTGAGAATACATGTATTCCCGAGCGCAAGAGAAGAACTCGGTAGTGAAGGGACCGGGACTACTTTTACTGGAGCCTCGAACGCGTGGTGGGATTATTGAGAATACTCGTGCCTTTCGAGACGTGATCGCGAGTTGTCTTGGTCGGTTGCTTGCTGTGTTTTCCAAAAGTGCAACAGTCTGTGCTCTTCGAGGCGATGTTCGCTTTGTGCTGGTTACCCCCATCTGTACGATAGGTTCAACCGTAAAAACACCAGTTGGATTCTTTCGAATTTGGTTCTGCCCCAAGTCGATTAAAATAAATTCAAAATAAATAATTTTAATATAAACTTCAGGGTGACCAAAAAACCAAACAAACTTGGGAAAAAATATTGTTCGCAATGGATGACTCTTCGGGATTTTGGGGTTCCAACTCTTTGTAAGTCTTTCAAACTTGATCACTAGCGTATCCAAAGTCCGCCATATCGAGGGTCAGCAGTCCCCCACGACGAGGCACTTTGAAGCGCGCATGCGGCGCAAAGAGCGAGCAGCACATAGAATACATGGATCGTCCGTCATCTCAAATTTACAGCTATATTTAACGTTACTGGTTTGCGGGCTTTGGCCCGCGGTATTCGCAGTTCGGTAGACTTTTTTTTACTGTATTCCAAAACCTGCATGGTAGAAAACTTTATTTACTACTAGTAGTCCTATGTAGTAGCGCTACGCGTGCCGTAGAAGAGCGTTGCATGAAGAAGTTCTTGAATTTTAGCACATGCTCCTATTTTTGTACTGTGAAGTGCCATGCATCCATTTGCTGGGTCGCTTATGCTGCTCGATCTGCCGTGGCGGATCTGCATGAACGCACACTACTGCTATTCTTGCTGCATACTGCACAGCTTCAAGCTACCAAGCTGGACTTCGGTTCATGTTGAATGTATAATGTGTTTATTTTGCTGGGGCCATTCGGGCTCTATGTCCAAATGTGACGCCTGGAACTTGCTTTTGTAGAATTGCTATACTGATTTTCATGCCGTTTAGCTCTCCTCGCTTCGAAGTCGACGCGCAACAAACAGTCTGCACTCACAACCATTAATCAATTGCGGTAATTTTGTTTTACTCAAAGACGATTTATCGTTGCTGCTGCTGTGGCTTCCGACATGTACATGTAGATATCGTAGGCATGACAGCCACACGTCTAAACTAACTCAACCGATACCACGGCGACTCTGCTCGCTTGCTGCCCCGATACGGTCGATCCTCACAGATTACATTGATTAACTGGTCATCCCTCTTTATTATCGCTGCTGCCTGGTTAGCTTACATTTGTATCGCCGAAAGCATGCTCTGAGCTCTAATGAATCGGAGTTTGCGCTGCTATGCTGTATTATAATTGCTGTACAACTGTCATTTGCTGTTGTTTCAAATGACTTGTGTCGAGATCCCGTAACCGGGCATAACGAACGTCGTCTGATTGGCTAATATTCTCATCACTAAAGGGCAGTACTCACTCTGCGGGGCGCCAGATCCCATTGTCGTGCATCTTCGACGGGAACGGTGGCGAGGTAAGACGAACAAGCATCTATCGAACGAGCTAATGTGCTGCGTCATCACGACAAAGGCCTTGTTAATGCTGTTAACCTCTATTTGGTGCTTCTAGTGCGCTTCCTGTGACGAAACAGCACACGCCTCGCCTCCGGATTCGACTCGTGGATTGCCTGCCGGATTCGTCGCAGTGTGGTTACTGCTCGCTCGGGCCGTTGCTTCGCCGCATGTGTAGGCGGCTTCATCGGCACATGAGCTATGCCGAGTTGGTAGAGATCGTCGGCTACACGTTGTGAAGTTGGTCGCTGCATTCTTGCCCCTGTACTTGCCTCCACACCAGCGACGATATGTCGGACTAGCACCGTCCATTCCGAAAACATCTTGCGGTTGGTCTTCGTGAAGTCAGATGGCTGCAGCGCCCGAAAAGGCGGGTATCCGGCAGCAGGGTGGCCAAGCCACCAAATACACCACACACTTAGCGCATCTAGCTGTGGAAAAGCAAAATCCTGCGGCATCCGATGAAAGCGCCCATCTGATTGCCAGTGATAAACGATGCTGGTTGAACTTGATTGGGCTGCCTCTTGCTGAATGCGCTGCTGCGCCTGCCATAGTCCAGCCTCCTCTAGCAGTACACGGATCGTCGAGCTGAGGTTTTCTCGCGTTACACTTTGCTGACTCACGCATTTCTCGTCCAGTAGCTTAGCAAATCCGTCCAGCAGTAGATCCGGGAGATGGTTCAGCGCCTGTCGCGTCTTCATGTGCTGCTCAAAAGGCAGTGCAGGCACTTCGAACTTGGTCTCCATCGAGGCGACAACGGGACGGAGTCTGTAATACAGGTCCAGCAGTAGCAGGGAGGCACAGGTTGCTTGTCATCGTCAGCTGCTTGTTGTGGGTTGAGGGAGTCAAATTGTGAGGGCCAGTGAAGGAGGAGGCCAATGACAGACGCATTTTAAACCAATCAGAGTGGGTAAATAGGTGTAACGAGCACGCGATACGCATTCGTGTTCAAATCTCTTGACGGAGGCTACAGCCATTGCTGGCTGGAAATTGGACAGATCAAAATTTGTTGATTGAAAACGTAAGATGTCCAGGTTACGGGGGCTTTAATTTGTCTATACTGGCGATACTATAATTGGAGATTGACTCTTAAACCGATACTGCAACATAAAATCTTATGTTGCATTATCTCAAACATCCGCAGAGGCGCAAACGACAGTTCTTACGAACTGCGAATTTTGCAGCAAAGAAGCTAAAATACTTACAAAGGAAATCTTACCGCAACTGACTGAAAAAGAAAATCCAATTTAACATATTTCTAACCTGATTTTTCTGATATTTTTTCAGTACATGGGTACACTTGTGTACCTTCCTCATTTAGCGACGTACCCCGTCCTTCCGCCCCGGATCGGTCTCTTCCTGGGCCGCTGCCATGGCGCACGACGGGTCCTCGGACGACGAGTCGGCCTTCCTGGATGCGCAAGAGACCCACGAAGACGACGGCACGCTCGCGGTGCCCAAGACCTCAGTGGAAGAGGAGTTATCGCCCAGTTCGTCCTCTGCGTCGCCCCTCAAGCCCAGTTCCCCCGCTGTAGTCGGCCATACCAAGGCCGTATCAGCCGCTGCAGCTCCTATATCACTCTCAATCAATGGACAAGACGCGGGCGGTTCTAATGAGGCCCTGCGCGGCTTCTGGGACGCCCGGAGACGCACGCAATCGGCCGGGAACTTGCAGCCAGGTTTATCGCCTATTGGCCCTAATCCCGTGGCCTTCCTGGCCAGCCCCGCCCACTCAGAGTCCGCCCTGAGGGTGCACAACGAGAAGGGGGGCGTGGCGCCCCCTCCTCCGCCCATAGCGGTGAGAGGGGCGACAGATACGAAACCTAACGGGTTTATGGCTATTGGAGGGAGTTTGCTGGCCGGGATGGCGGACTTTGCAGGGATCAAGTCCCCCAGAGGGCCCGTGCAGAAGGTTCTGGTGGAGTACCCGACCCCAGGCCCGTTGTTCGTGGATTTATTCTCCAAAGACGACGGTACAGGCGCTAAAGTTAAGGGATTTAGGCGCAAACCCGATGGATCCATGGCAGACGCTGAAGCTTCTGGACGGGTGTTTGCTGGGGACATTCTGGTGGCGATTAACGACGTGGACGTGACCAAGATGGTGTTTGCAGACATTATTACGACAGCTAAGGAGGCGACGTTCCCGTTGACGCTGACGTTCCACAGCTACCAGTCGAACAAGGAGGAGGCGGAGAAGCTGAGCCAGCAGAAGCAGATGCCGTCAATGGAGAGGAAACACTCGAGCGGACCGCTGCCCCCGATATCCCCGTCTAGCAGTGGAGGGTGGAGTGCCAGGCTCAGTCAGATGACGAGGTCCGGCTCGTTCGACCAGAAGACCAGTGGAGCGGATCTAGGTGCTGGCACTACACCACCCAAGTCGCCATCTTCGGGTGAGGCAAACACGGGCAAGTTTGGGATTTCGCTGGGCAAGGTGCGAAATACGGGGACAGACGGCGTCAAGAGCTTGTTCCGGATCATGGGCAACAAGCCGTCGCGGCCTGAGGAAGACAGGAATGTGGTGAAGGGATGGATGAACGATCTGGCTTTGAAACCACACAGCAGCGTCTCCTCGGGTGGACGTCATCGGAAGACTCCAGCGAATACGAACGCGGATGTGCTCCATTCGACCCCGATTGTGGCTGTGACGACTGGAGGCCGCTTTGTTGGCGTGTTGGATGAGGATATTCACGAGTTCGCGATGACGTGGTTTCGTAAGACGCCGCCGGAGATGGAGATTCGACCGATTAAAGGAGTGAAGCGCTGCCCGTATTTCGCCTCAGTGGACGACGTAGGCGCTGTACTATCACTGCAGTGCGAATCGCTTCGCTTCCCGCAGTTTAAGCGAGTGGTGGAGATGCCTCGGCCTCTGGTACTTGATCCGGCTGTGGGGAATATGGTGGATGTGCTCCTGGAGGCCGGGGCGGGGTCATTCTCAGCCACGCTGGCGAGTAACGAGCACGACAGCTTTCAGGTGAAGATATCGGCGGAGTCTGTTAGTCTGGTCAAGATCTCGGAGGACGAGGGTGAGGGTGGCGTGGTTGTGAAGGCTGACTACTCCACGTTCCTTCAGGTTTTACTCGATCCTGCCGACCAGCTCCGATTCACACTCAAGGTGAAAGAGTTTGGAGGGTTTTTGGGCAATCGCGATGGAGATGTCTGTGATATGAAGAAGCGACAGCCTCAGCTCGATACTCTGTCGTGCTTCTTCTTGGTGGCGCAAAATCGGCAGCACCGCGACATCTTGACGCTGTTGATTCGCAAGTTCCGCGCTCGTGTGCTTACCCCCGAACAAGAAGAACACGCGCGGAATGACGAGCGAGATCTGTACATGGACCCTGCCTTTGCCGTCGCAGTGGCCCCACCTCCACCTCTGACTACCTTGAAATCTGGAGGATCTGCTTCGGGGGCCCTTTCTCCAGCTAGCAACTCAGGTACGACAGGAGAGACTCTAAGCAGCGCAGGATCGCCCACAACAGTGACTACTCCAGTGCCAGCAGTATTAGTCTCACCAGCCGCCGGAAAGACCCGTCCCGCTCGTCTCCAAAGTGAAGGGTCGATTGGCTCAATTTCCAGTGTCCGCTTCAGTGACCTGGTCGGTCTCGAGCCCGAAGATTCCGGCGTGCCATCGAAGGAGCGTGACTCAGACGTAACCCCAGCATCAACGCCGCCTCGTTCTGCAGTGATATCGAACAAAAAAAATGGGTTTGCAGCAAACGGAGGTGAGAATGCTGTTGATAATTCATTTGTCGAAGGCCGTCTGGCTGCGCAGGACAGAGAGATTGCCATGCTGCGTGAGAAGTTGGTGTCGATGTCTGTTCTCCTCAAGACGGCGGAGCAGGAAACCAAGCAGGTCACGGCATGTCTCGAGGTCAAGGACAACCGGATCGAGCTTCAGCAGATGAAAATTCGGCAGCTTGAAAAATTTCCCGGACAATGCGACTCGCAAGCGCGTGAACTACAAACTTTGCGTGCGAAACTGGAAGAAGAGGAGAAGCGGCATGCGGCCTGCCGAGACGAGTTGCAGCAGCTTTCAAGTGCCGTGTCGAAGCGTTCGTCGGAGATGCACGACCAAGGTGTCCAAACGGAGGTGCAGTTCATGGACGGAGACGCCTCTGCAGACGCTGCTGTCGGGTTTTCGCGCTCCGGGCTGGAGCGTGACACGTGGTTCGGGAGTGTTGCTACTGTGACTGCAGACGACTTGCAGCAGCAAATAAAGAACCAGCAATCGCAGATTGCCCAGCTCAAGGATGATCAGGTGAATCTGGTGGCCGAACGCAATATGTTCCGCGCCAAGTCAACGGAGTTGTCTAGAGAACTTCGCAAGCTCATTGAGGCGAACAACAATCGCTCGCTCGACGACCTTGAAGCGCAACTCGCAGAACGTAGCAGCTTACAAACGGAGCTTGCCATGATCAAGGCGGAGGCAAAGCGCTCGACAGACGAAGTGGCGGAGATGAAGGAGATGGTTGACCGAATGAGTGACAAGGACAAGGGTGCTAAACGTCTCGCGGCCCAGAATCTTGAGCTGCAGCGCACTGTGTACCAGCTGAAGGATTCGCTGAGCGAGTCGAAGGAGCAAGTTGATGCCGTCAAGAAAATCAACAGCGCTCTTGCGTCGCGGCTCCATCGGCTGCAGCCTGACACCCGGGGCAGTATCGTCGAGGCTCCACCTACCTCTCCATTGACAAGTATCCCATCCGATGATGAAGATGATGAAGACGACGACGACGATGACGAAGAAGAGGATGAAGAGCTACAGGACGGCATTGCTGCTTTCCGAAGATCTTTGGTTGGGCAGTAACGCCCACGCACCAGAAATAGTAAGTTAACCTTGAACTGTCCAAACTCAGAGGCCGAAATTGTCACCTTACCTATGCAACGTCATCAGCTCTTATAGCAGTAGGAGAGTCCGTCCGTCCTCACTTCATACACTTGCTGGTGTATGAGCGAGCTTGTTAGTCGGCATGGCGGCAGTTCATGATCGTGGTGGAATGGGCGCCATTCAAGTGGTGTTGAGGCGCGTTCGGAGAGCGTGGATCGCAACCCAAGTGGAGTTACACGAACGCTACTCAGTTGGACGACTACATCGGCTCAAGGTCTACATGGACACCCTCAGTACGTCCCGGATGGTGGCGATCTGCCTCCTCACGCCGTTGCCATGCATCGTACTTGCCATTTTGTTCGAAACCTTCCCACTAGCTCCTCCAGGGGATGGGATTCGCGCCAACGGTGTGTTCGTGCTACGCTTTGGACTGATCACGATCATCATGGTGGGCACGCTGGTGTTTCAAATGGGGAAGAGCATTACCGGCCTTACTGTCAAGCCACGACACATTGCTGTAGTGTCAATACTGTCTGCTATGGCATCCGTGGGGACACTCTACGCGGTAGCCTTGACAACGGTATTCCCAGTACCATTCATGATGCTCCTCGCCTCACCACCCTCCATTGTCGTCTTTGGGGCGTGCTTCGTATACTTCTGGGGTACTCAAGTGCAGCAAGATCCATCGATCGAAGTGGACATGAAGCGAGAGCAGGCCGTGTCGAGGTGTCAAGTCGCTCTCACGTTCGTGTATCCGCTGTACATTGCTGGGTTTATGTCGCTGTCGGGCGTCTACCAGACCATGTCCGTGGCAGTGCTGCCTCTTATCAAGCTCGTCGCGCGGAACTGGGTCGCTCACGCGCTGAAAGATCACAACGACTTGAAACCACAAGCGGTCACGTTTATCGTGGAGGTTTTCAGCGCCTTGTACGTCTCGAACGCGCTGTCTTCGTCTTCGTCGTGGATGGGGACTGCTATGATTATGACGCTGGATGCGGTGGTCGTCGTACAGTCCACGCGCGATATCATGGAGGTTTTAAGCGACGTGAAGCTGCTCATGGCAAAAAACCCGCAGACTCACCCAGTCGCGAAAGAGAATTTTGTTCACATTGCTGTCCGCTTGATGGCTATAGAAGCTGATAAATTGCCGCAAACTTTAAACCGTCCACCAGGAGCCTTGAACCCGACTACCTTAGCAGAAATGGAGCAGTGGATTTCCTCAAATGACCTGTAGATGAAGCGAGAATCAAGCCAGCTAGGACTGGGTGAAGTTCCGAAAAGATCTCGAACATCACAGCCACAACCAGTTCGCATTGGAAGCAGCAAGGTTCACGCGAGCGCTGCTGTGTATTCGTCCACGACAGCGACTTCCCAGACAACAGGAGATTCCCTTGAAAACATCTTCTCGAAGGAGAAACGCGCTCTATTTATCCATCGGATCGCGACCGTTCTCTTCATTACTGAGTTCATCATTCTAGCAGAGTATGTTGAGCTCATGCTACCCGTCGCTTATGGTAAGAAGTGCCTGGTTATCCGATCGGAATTCGGGCCACGAGGTTCTATGAGTGTTATTCTTTGATTTGCTGCAGGACTCCACCACTTCGTACTGTATCACCTTCCCAACTGCGCGTACTACCCGGCATTAGCCATTTTATCAAGTGCCGGCTTCTCCGAGTCCAACTCAAGGATGGTGGTTTACTGCTTTCTGGAGTTTATCTCGTTGATGATGGTCATACTGCTGCTAAGGCGCGTTCTGGGGTTCTCGACTCTGTGTCAGCTTGCGTTCGTCTTGAAGATGCAAGCTGGCATCATCCAGACACAGTTGATCAGCCTACTCCTGTACATAATGCAGCTTTCGTTGGCGCACATCGGTACGTTCTTCATCGAAAAGGGTAGTTTAGCATTATATCTCACTTTGAATGTTGTGCGTGTAGGTGCTGACTTCACATTTCAATTCCCTTGGCTCCACCACACACATCCCGTTTGATAAATACCAATTCTAAGACGTAAGGTAAATTTCAGGAAAAAAATACTAAGAACATTTCCCGTGGTATTGCGGCGTGCGGAAGCGATAGGAAAACCGCATCTGATCGAAAGGTGTCCACGAATAGGACAGCCCCTCACCAAACTCATAGAATTAGTTTCTCTGTGTCCATCACAACTGAGAAGCTGTCTTCATGATGAACCCAGAGCGTGGCGGGGTGTTGGGATGCCTTGAAAGCAGTCTGCGACCCCTCTGGGGAGCTTGGGTCTCCGCTAAAGTGGAGTTACATGGTCGCTACTCGGTCGGACGGCTACACCGACTAAAGGTACCCTCACTACGTCACGGGTGCTAGCGATCTGCCTCGCCACGCCACTCCCATGCGTTGTATTCGCAATTCTGATTGAAACTCTCCCGCTGGGACCTCCTGAAGATGGAATCCACGCCAACTGGGTGTTCATGATCCGATTCGGGCTCGTTACATTTGTTATGGTTGGCACGCCGGTGTTTCAAATGGGCAAGAATGTCGCTGGGCTTACGGTGAAGTTGCGTCATATCATTATTGTGGCATTTCTGGCAGCTATTGTCTCGGTGGGGACACTCTACGCTGTAGCTTCGACGACGGTGTTCCCAGTGCCATTCACGATGCTCCTCGCCTCGCCACCCTCCATCGTCGCCTTTGGAGCGTGCTTTGTATACTTCTGGGGCGCTCAAGTGCGCCAAGATCCAACGATCGACGTTGATATGAAGCGAGAACAGGCCGTGTCGAGGTGCCAGGTGGCGCTCACGTTTATTTATCCGCTTTACATCGCTGGATTCGTGTCGCTGTCGGGAGTTTATCAGACCATGTTCGTCACGCTGTTGCCTCTGATCAAGCTCTTTCAGTCGAAGTCGCTCACGATTCTGGGGGCGTGCCAAACGCGGCACAATGATGACGAAGTTGCATTGTAGCACCACCACTGCCGGGGTATCCGAGCGTGAGGGATGCCCCTAAACTTGATGCAATGCGGGCTTCTGCAGCATTTGCGACGCCATCCGCGATGTCAACTGCCCACTTATGCGCGTGTATCGATCGACTGCGTCGGACTTCCATCTCCCAAACAGCTTCACTGCCAGACTATCAAAACCAGCATTAAACAGCGCCGTAGCGCCGCCACTTCGAAGGGAGTGCGAGGTGTAGTCTTGCGGATTATGGCCAGCTCGACCAGCAGCAGCCTTTATCGCTCTTACCACGTCGGATACTTGCAAATTTTGAGATGCATCCATTTATTTTCACTAAAAAGATATTTTTTTTAAAATAATAAAATATATAATTTATTTACAATTATATTTATATTAATAATCTCTTTTTTTAAATATAAAATCTATTATTATAGAAATTATCAAAGAAGGGATTTGAACCCTTAATGCTATAAAGCGTTACATCCTAAGTGTAATGTGTTTACCAATTTCACAACTCGCCCGCATCAATACGAAGCGCCTCGTGGTGACGAACTAGGTACCATGCTGCTAGTACAGGGCAACACCACCGATGCCCAGATCTCGCCAAATCTCGAGAAGTACCCTTGCCAAATTGGTCGGATTTACTCCCTCGAAATTGTAGAATCACCGAAGTCACATCATGAAGGTTTCGGGTCTCGTGGCCTCTAGCATCCACAAATTTGACGTCCGCTCTCCGAATTGCGTAGTCGTGCATCCTTGAACCTTGAGCCAAATATTCGGATCTTCTCAAAAGAAAGAAGAAGCCCAGCACCGAAGCCCCCGAAATGACCCGGTGCTGGGCAACTGCGAAATCGAGGAGCTCATGCAGGCACTTGAGGATTGCGCTTGTAACGGGAGATTTTGGCTTGCTTGATGGGTCTTTCCGCCGCATTCCGGTGATAGCGAGTTGGTGGCCCGGCAAAAGGCCGACGTTGTAACCAAGGGTTCGCCTATGATGCCACGCAATATGGCTGACTTTAGAGAGCACGGTCGAGGCAGAATTCCCCGATCCCGATTTTCCCCAGCCATATTTCCAGCAGTACGTGGCGAAAAGGGCGAGCTGGTACGAATGTTGCCGGCGGTCTTCTGGCAGCCATTTTGCGAATTGAAGCCGCTCACACCATCTACACCACTGTGTCCATGTGCTTGCATACTTGATCTTGGACGTCGTGGCCAGTGACTCGGACTGAAGAGATTCGAGAAGTCGATGTAAATTTTCCTGCATTCTTGTGGAACTTGTGTCTGCACCCAACACGAAGAAAAGTTAGTCCATCGAGCAATGTAAGGTTCGGTCCAAGCTCGCGAAGCTGCATCAGCCATCCAATTGGCCGATCCTGGAATATGATCCGCCGATACTCGAAGGTTGAAATACACTTCAGCCAGACCAATCGCCCGATTTATTTCTTGGCTGAACGCGTTGTTGGAGTGCATCCGATTGCACCAACTCACAGCTGCGGCATTGTCACTCCAACACTTGACATGAGTTGTGCGTCCGTTCGCTTGTGCGCTCCACTTTGAACCCCAAGACCACAACGCGATGGCAATGCACAAGTGTTCCCTGACATTGATTGAAAACTCGTCATGGCCGCTACCAACTTTGTCGATGAGCAATTTCTCTTCGTCATCAAACTGGATCTGTATATATGACTCGCAGGCGGGATCAAGCACGGCTAGCCCGAGGTTGGACGCGTCCATATATAGCTCCACGTCCGGTGCCGGCTGCTCGCCAAACATCGCAAGCGGTAATTCAGCAAAACAACCATGCATTAAAATGTGCCGAAACCACACGAGATCTGTTTTGGCCCCTGCTGTAAGTTTAATTCTGCCGAACCGTGGTGCTGATGTACACAGTGTCTGCAATCATTGGTAAAAAGGCTTGGCTGTTGGCAGACAATTAGCCACGTGGCGAAGAGAACCCAGTAGCTTGTACAGTTCGGATTTTGACGCTGTGCCGCGTTGCTCCACCGCACTGGCGCGAGCACGAGCTTTAGCGATCTTCTCTTCTGGTATCGATACGGTGCGGCGCTCGGTGTTCCATAGTAGACCCAGAACAACAATTTCAACACTCCATTCCGAAAATTTTGCCTCATTGATCGAACGTGGTCCTAAGACAGCCAACATAGCGTGTCGTAAAGTAGCTTCAGCGAGTTCTAACCTGTTCTGGACATCCGGTTCGACCAAGACATGGTCATCTACCCACTCGTAAGGAAAAAATGGGTTCGTGTCGCTCGAGTCGGACACCGCTGCAAGTGAACTTCTGCCCATTAGCCACGTGATGGCACGGCCAAAGAGTGAGTAGTAGGGGGGCGAACCTGACCAGCCAAATGGTGCCGCCATATCGACGACGAGAATGCCGAGTTCTTTCACATATGCCGCCATTCTGAAGACCTGGTTTGCGCGTGTTCTTAAGTACTCTTGACATCTCCCTTGAGGACGCGTATCCGGCCTGCATGCCCTGCTTTTGCTAAACTGTCGATGCGCCGTGCGATAACTACCACTGACTCGTATCTCACTTTGGGCACCGACTCGACAATAAATGCAGCGTTTACACAGTCGTCTTTTGGGTAGGATAAGTCGTGAATTGTGCGCACTCCCTCCATCGGGTCCACATCCTTCTTCTCAACAGCACCGAGCGGACTGCAGATTAGTTCTGGCCACCGCTCAATGATATCAGCATCAACTATCAAATATTGACCGGAGTCTTGGCCATCCCGAATGCTTCTTGTGACAGCACGTAGGTAACGTCGGCAGGAACCATGGTTCTTCGGTGGTGGCCGCCGCGGTCTCGGCCCTTGTCTCCACCCCACGTCGATGCCCTTCTGAGCAATTTCAACGAGTAGATCGAGATGTTGATAGCCGTTAAGAACGGTCCGCAGCCGGACAGGATCGATGGCTTTGTTCGGTCTGCTGTCTACGCTATCTTCACTCCGCACAAATCGCGTAGCCTCTTCCAGGGACATATTGTGCGTGCGAATTACGGTGGATAGAGACTTGCAGGCTACTTCGTCAATTGCGTAGACAGGAAATGCGGCGCTTTGCACTAACGAACCCCCGTTTGCGGTGCAGGACGGAAATTCGAGCTTCGGTCCGAAGTAAATCCGCTTCCAAACATGATTGAATCTCTCGCGCCGAATCCAATGACAGACTAATGTGGGCGTGACTGCAACACCTCAACCGACAAATGCTTGCACCCTCCACCGGCAACTGCTGCGACCCAAGTGATTTTGAACGCAAGTCAGCTACCCGGGTGCAGGATACCTTGCCGGTCTCGCTCCTTGCGTCTGCCTCTGTGTCATAACAAGGCCTCGATTGACGACTATCTGTGCAACCAGCAGCCATTGGCGCTGTCGGATTTACCGCAGATCCCGCCGACTGCGCACAAATTACCTCGCCAATCTTGCTCGTTGTTGTGGGTACCCTAATTGAGTCGCGTGGGGGCCTCGATTGCACGCGTAATCTAGACTGGTCCAACACCGTCTGAGATCCATCACTTGAATTAATTGTGTTAACGCAGTTTGCTACTTGACCTCGCGCCACCCTATCGGCTCTGCATGGCACCGCCGACGGTCGGTCGTTTTGCGTTCGTGATGGATACATTGCCAGACCAGTCTGAACGAGTCATAACTCTTTGTGCTCGTCCTTCAGCCCACCAAAGCGCCTGTCAATTTCTTTTTTCACGATCGCGGGTAGCTGCTTGGGAACGAAATGCCCATGTTCGCTGGGACAACCGCCATCACTGTCCACCGCACAACCCGCCGCTGAGAGAAAACGCATGCACAGTCGTCGCGACTTTCCTGATGCGGGGTCGTTCTGCACTGGTAATTTGCGAAGTACTTCCTTAGGGATTCGCCCAAATCGCTTCTTACCGTCGTGGTTGCGGCCGTTGCGGAGCTGGGATCCTTGTTCAACGTGGCCCTCAAGGCGTGCTGGTCCCGACATCATCTCGTGTCGTACATCCTGCACTTGCCGATGCACCTTTATAAACACCACATCCTTGAGCAACCGGTCATCGGTCGTACAGCGTTGCTGTACGGCTCGAAGCGCACCACCTTCCTCAGCCGCTGTACGAAAATCCTCGAGAACGTCATTTACCCAGAAAACTAAGCTAGAAATCTCTTTTGGCGTCCACGATACCTGCGATAGCGTGTGTTCGGTGAACTTCACGATGGTCTCAACCAATTCGACCAGTTCAGCACAGCAAAACTCGCGAGCATAGGTGAGGAAAACCCTGGCAGAGTCCACAACATCTTCGATGCGCGATGCCGGCGATGCCGCCGAGAATTCTGCAGTTGCGGACAAATTGTCAAAGTTTGAACCACCGGCCTCCAACCAAGCCACCCGCTCATCCCTCGATAGTGTTGCAAAGTGTCGAATCGAAAGACCACCAGAACCGAAACGAATATCATAGGCCCGCGTACAAATTCCAGGTACGGCTTTGAACTCCACGTGCTCGGACCGAACTAAACCTCTGCAAAACACATTGCCAGACTTATCTTTGTGCTTCTCCGTCGTTATGCGCTCGTGAACTAATTCCTGCTCCTCGGACGGTGCAAATGCGTACTTAGACGACTTCTTTCCCCTTGTCGTAGGGGATGGCTTCTGTACGTGAGTACGCATGGTACCACCACCCTCCGCCGGCTGCGCTTTGACGTTGGCCTCCTTCCTAATCATCACGAAACGCTCGAGAAGGTCCGGTTCGTCGCTTATTTTTGCGATAATCATCGCGTCTTGATCAATAGCGGTTTGAACTCATTGTCGCTTGGAGGGGACGTGGCCATCGTCGCCGTTGGTAACCGTGACCTCTTGCTGTCGTTTTGTCACGTGTTGTGTGGTAGTGTTTGCCCGACCAACTTCAGCACCGCGTTCCGATTCGTCTTGGGGCGAGTCATCGTCGTCTGGAAACGGGTCAAAGAGCTCTTCCACGTCCTGAACCGAGCCGCGAGACAAAGCGGACGTGCTCCGAAGCGGTTGGGGCGTTGGTGGTTTGCAAAATGAGTTGCCTACGCTGCGTGGCACTGGTGACACCCCTCCGTCGACGTAAAAAGCGAAATTTATAGCGTGCTGGAGTGGAAAATGAGCTTCCTCTCCTGTTCTTGGGTCGATCCACTGACACACCTTGTCACCACTAGGGTGATTTTCCTCACTCATCAGACCTTCCAGTATCTCGGACACTTGATTTGAAGCAGAACTACCGCCGGTACCGAGCAGCCGACTCAGAATTGACTGCTCCATCGCCTCTAGGTCAGTAGGACTCCACTCGTCGCTTCTGAACTCGACGTCTTCAAGCAACAGAACAATCACTGGTGGCACCACTGACACTGCAGCTGCCGCTGCCACAAATTCATGACCACCGGATCGGATCGTGACACTGCTCTGGTCGACCGAGGTCACTTGTCCATACTGAACCTCTCCAGCTAAACTGACGGACACGGGTCGTCGGAGCAACGAGATCTGACCGGCCTGGGAAACTTCACTGGCCCGAACCACGTTGTCTTCGGCGACGGCACGATCCAGTTTCCCTTCGCCTCCTTCCAAGCTGCGAAACGTCACCTCCTCCGAGTCTAGCTGTAAGACCTTAGCATAAAACGGATGCTCTGCTTCAAACTCCACCACTTCAGGTGTCAGGTGAAGGAAGGAGCGGCTTGTAAGTCTCACCATGACCGGAGTGCTGAAGGCTGAAAGCTAAAGCAGAAGGGCTTAAGCGGCAGACGGAGATTCTGAAACTAACGCTACGACCTCTACGACTGCTCCTAGCACTTGAGCGTTGGCTTCATCTCTGCTTTCTCTCCTCAAAAGCTATTTTCACCTTGAACTTGAAAATATTCATTCGCGCGGAACTGGGTCGCACATGGACTTAAGGGACACAACGACTTGAAACCTCAGGCTGTCACGCTCATCGTTGAGGTGTTCAGCGCCCTGTACGTCTCGAACGCACTATCCAACTCGTCATCTTGGATGGCAACGACTTTCATCATGGTAGTCGATATAGGGGTGTTCTGGCTGTCTTCACGCGACATCGTGGAAGTTCTAAACGACGTGGAGCTGCTCATGGAAAAAATCCCGCAAGGCCACCCCCTCGCAACGGAGAATTTCGTTCAAATTGCAATCCGCTTAACGGCTATAGAAGCTGAAAAATTACCAGAAACGCCGAATAAATCGTCGGATTCCTCAGGCCCAACCTACCTAACACAAATTGAGGAGTGGATCAGCTCCGAAGTATCGACATGAAACGGGAAGCCATCCACGCCAAGAAAAAAGTGCTGGGTCGAGTACCGAAAAAGAGTCAAAGACTCGCAGGTCGACTGAGTGGTAAGGTATACGCTATTGACGGAGACTATGCGCAGCAACTGGAGACGGAGGCAAAGGAGAGTTCTTCCCTTAGAGAAATATTCTCGAGGGAGGAGCGTGCTTTGTTTATTCATCAAACTGCTCGCGTACTTTTCATCATCGAGTTCATTATTCTAGCGGAGTACGTCGAGGTGATTCTACCTGCCGCTTATGGTACGAATTGTTATCATTGTTGCGGTAGAGCAAGGGTATCGACTAATTAGAGTATGTTCAGGTCTTCACCACATCGCCGTGTATCACCTGCCCAACTGCGCGTTCTACCTTTCGCTAGTAAGCTTGTCACGGTCGGAGTTTTCCATATCGATGCTGGCTTACTGCTTCCTCGAGTTCCTTTCGCTGCTCATGGTGATCATTGTACTGGGACGGATTTTGGGCTTTTCAACGCTGCGTCAACTTGCATTCGTTCTCGAGATGCAAGCTGGAATCATTCAAACGCAGCTGGTCAGTCTTTTACTGTATATCATGCAGATTTCGTTGGCACACATCGGTACGCCCTTCGCTCCCAATTATTGTCGAAGCATTAACGTCGTGCAAAACCACTCTCTTCATCGTATGTTACCTCTTGCAGGCGCCGATTTTACTTTTCGATTTGCCTGGCTTCATGGCGCCTGAACAAATCAATACCCACTCAAATGCTTCTCTCTTGGAGAACATTCAACTCATTGACGTTATTTACTTGACTCTTTTAATCCGACTTTTCTTGCTGTGCGAGGCCAACTGAAGCTAATACTGCGCCTGGGCTGCTGCTGGACGAGCGGTCGGGTCCCTAGATACACAGCCCATACCAAGCTCTGCAATAATCGATGGACAGGAATCTGAAAACTCCACCTGAAGCTTTCCCTGCATCACAAGCTGTAGCACCACCAGGTCAGAGCCCTGACGACCCTTGCCTGCATTCGCATAGGGCAGCGCATTCGAGTCTAGCTCCGACAGCACCACGCCGAACGAGAACATGTCCGCCTTCTCGCTGTATTTCTCCCCAGTCATCATCTCAGGCGCCATCCAGAGCGACGTGCCGACTCCAGCCGTCATGGTCCGGTCGATACGCTCTCTTGACGCCCCAAAGTCCGTCAGCTTCGCGTCCAGATCATTATTCAACAAAATATTTTTCGATTTCAAGTCGCGATGCACCATCGGCGGGTCGAGCGAGTGCATGTAAGTGAGCGCGTGGGCGACGTGGAGAGCGATCTTCACCTTGTTGTAGTCAAACCCAGAAGGTCGATCCTCAGCGATATACCTGCTCAGCAACGCTCGCAGATCTCCCCCTACCATGAACTCGGACACGACGCAAAGATCCGTGAGCGAGTTCCAGGCCACGCCAATGAACTGGACGATCCGTGGGTGCTCCAGCGACGCCATGAGCTTCACCTCCGCCAAGAAATCGTTCACACTCTGGATCTTCTTCCTCGTTTCAGGCAGCAACATCTTGATCGCCACGCGTCGGCCATTGAACGTCCCGACGTAAACTTCTCCATACCCACCACGGGAGATCTTCTCGTGCAGTAGAACCTTCTCCCTCGGGATTCGCGCCGCCACGATAATTTCGTCGTTCCAGAGACCTGAATCCAGCATTTGCTCCGACTTGGTCCCGTGCTGGGTCGACGCCGTTCTACCTTGAGTGTCATGGGCCAATAACTCCGCAGTAGTGCTGTTCTTCCTGGTTGACCTCGCTCTCCTCTTCCTCCAAATAACCCCCACAATCAACAGCACGACGACAACGCACCCAACGACAATAGCAGCGATCACTCCCGCGCCCACCGACGAGGTAGAACCGGAGCTCTGCGTACTCGGAACTGCGGTTATACTACCCGACGAAGACGTAGAACCAGAAGTAGAATCCCCACTGCCCGACTCAGCCGACACAATGACAACATCCGATCCAGTAGTGCTCGCGTTCGGGTCACCGCTCGAGCTGCTGTACGACCGGGAGGCCGTTGTGTAGTACACGAGTCCGTACGAGGTAGAATACCCCACGAAGCACGTCCACTCTACATCAGTACTCGCGACGGTCATGTCGCTCACCGACTCGGTGCAGCTCGTGTCGCTGAACAGCTGCAGTTCTACCGACAGGTTCTGGTGGACGACCGCTATGGCGGCCGTGTAGGTCGTGACGTTGGGTAGAGCGCGACACACTCCGTCGGCGTAGAACGCCAGCCCACTGGCGAACGTGTCGCAAGTGTTGGCGGGCGTGTACTGCTCCATCAGCACGTAGGGCGCGTCCGCCTCAGCGTAGAGCGCAGCCGTCTCGGCGCGGTCGTTGCCGTAGCAGTCGACGCGACTGGAATTGGCCGACGCGTCGATGCTTAAGGTGCTGCAGTCCGTGAACTCGCAGCTGTCGACGTCCTCCTCGTAGATGAATTGAGGCGTAGTAAGCACCGAGTCGATTTCTAGTGGCGCAAAGTGGCATCTGTTGCTGAGAAGGCTGCGCTGAGAAGGCTATTAGCGAGTACCAGTCACGTGCACGAAGCAGCTAGTGTACGTGATGACCATCGTCAAAGTGCAACGAGCGACGCGCAGCAACTGTAGTCAAGGCTCTGAGTGCCAGGATGCTTCCAAGGACCAACAGAGCTTCAAGGAGAGACGACCGAGCAGCAAGGACTACAACAGGAACAGGATCGAGGAGGAGGGTACGCAAGTACTGGTAAAGATATCCGAAGCGGCGGCGAAAGATAGCGAGCAGCGCAGTCAAGACGGCGGCGGCGACGGGGTGAACAAGCGGAGGAAGAGTCGAAGAGAGCATGACATCGAGGATAGCACACAAGGGGCGTGGAAGAACGAAGGGGTGAGCGAGGCAACGCTGGAAACTCGCCGACGTGCCACCTCACCCAAGGCAACGACCAAGACCGACGATTGGCCAAGGTGTGCTGGTCAGAAGCCGTTGGCCGGCACCCATGGCGCCCACGCCACCAAGTGATGGCAGTAAAAGTGTAGTCAGTATCGAAATAGCGCTGTAGGGTACAGATCAACCCATACAGTAGAGCCAAGCAGAGTGTAACGTCAATACACGAAGCAGTTGGCCGTAGCAAGTCGACTAAGGTCAAAGTGCAGTCGAAGTGAAGAGCCCGGTCCGAGATGACGAGCAGCGTGCACACAGAGTCACAGTGCACACGTGCGTCCATCCACGATCCGCCGGAAGGGAGAACCCGCGAGTTGTGCGCGCACGTTGGCACAGTTCACAGAGGGACAGCTCCAGTCAGCTATCGCCTACCTGGGCCCGATAAGAAGCGGAGGGGTCGAGGATCACGTGCGAGCACCTGGGATTGGCGACGTACAAGGCGTTGTGCGTGTTGGATATCGCGTGGAGCGGTATATATTTGTATAGGTGACGAATTGGCGTTGCTAGCCGCCGAGGACCCCGGCGCTGCAGAGCCGCGGACTCGGACAAGGTGCGGACGGTAGCTGCAGAAGGGCAGATCGCTTACTGCGTCCCGGAGCACGAGTCGTCCTCGAAGTAGCTCGTGAACGCGACGGTTCGCGCGTTGACTACCAGCGAGGTGAGCGACGACGAGGTTAACAACGCCAGGAAGGACGCTGCCGTTACTGGGGTTGAGCTTGAGCTCCTCATCGTGGGTATGGTCTCGCCTTGGGTGGATTCGGTACTGAATGGATTCCTTCCGGTACCTATTAGGTTGGCTGGATGGACCCTACTGACTGCTCCCAGGTGGACGGAAGGTGAAGTGAACTGTACCGGCTAAGGCACGGTGAAGCCACGAAACGTGTGGACAGGTGGTTTCGATAGACGCAGGTAAGTTGTCCTCCTTCATCTTGCCCCACCTCTTCGTCGCGCTTAGAAGTATGTGTCAAAGAGGTTGGTACCATGAAGGCGTCGATAAGTTGGAGTTTTAGCCGGAACCCCTCGACAGAGCAACTTGATTCTCAAGTGTTTGATCCTAAAGTTGCTACATGTAGCTAGTGTCTTCCTTCAGAGCTAAAACACGCCGATGGGCCGCTTGTATCTGGCGTCGGTGGGTCTCATGCGAAGCATCTCTGGAGGTAATGCATGCACTTGGTTCGCAGGACTGGGCATTGAGTCTCAATGTCATTGAGACGAGGATCATCGGGCTCAGGTATAATAGCAGCAGGAAAAAAAGATAACGAAGATAAGTAACAGGCAACAACAATTTAAAAATAAAACACGAAAACAAGTGTTTGGCTGTCCTGAGCGGTTGGCCGCAAATATAGCTGTACCATGCTATACCGGTATGGTACGCTAACAAGGGGATAGATCGATCATAGGCTCACCTCACCTCAACTCTTGTCGGCAACATTTCTCGATTTCGACTGCACACGATCAACGCCAGCACGAAGGCATCACGGTATCTGGATCACCGGTGCCCACGTCTTGACTGAACAATGGGAAAGTTTTCCGGCATCATCCAGCGCATGTGGCGCGCGTGGATCGCTCTCCAGGTCGAGTTTCAAGGCCGCTACTCCGTGGAGAGACTAAGTAGACTCAAGGGCTACATGGAGAGTGTGAGTGCGGTTCGAGTAGCAGCGATATCCCTCCTAGCACCTCTTCCGTGCCTCATCCTAGCCGTCATGGTCGAAGCTGTCCCGTTGGCGCCACCAGAAGACGGCGTGCGAGCTAACTGGGTCTTCCTCCTTCGCTTCGGCTTCGTCACCGGCCTCATGGTCGGCTCCATGGTCTTCCAAATGGGCAAGAACGTCCCCGTTCTCATCGTCAAGACCCGCCACGTACTCACCATTGCCATCCTGACCGCAACTGCAGCCGTTGCTACCCTCTATGCAGTAGCGTCGGCAACGACCTTCCCGGTGCCATTTTCCATGTTGCTCGCGTCGCCTCCGTCCGTCGTCGTCTATGGAATTTGCTTTGTGATCATCTGGGGAGCTCAGTTCAAAGCCGACCCGTCCATCCAAAAGGATATGGAGCAGCAGACCGCCGTGCTCAACTGCCAGATAACACTCACACTCGTCTACCCCATGTACATCTACGGCTTCACGTCGTTCACGGGCGTGTACCAGACGATCTTCGTGATCGTTCTGCCCATTATCAAGCTGATCGCCAAGAACTGGGTCAGTCGCGCCTTAAGGGGCCACAACGATTTGAAGCCGGAGGCCGTCATTTTCAACGTGGAAGTGTTTAATGCGCTGTACATTTCGAATGCGCTCCAAGTTGCGTCAACGCAAGCTTCAACGATCACGATTATGGCTGTTGATCTCATTCACTTATGGTTATCGATATATGACGTCGTGAGCATCTTGAAAGAGGTGAAAGTACTGATGGCCAAGATTCCAGAAGGCCACCCGCATGCCAAGGAAAACTTTGTGCAGTTGGCGATGCACTTGCTAGATATCGAGACGCGACACATGAGTCGAACATTGAGCCATTACACAGACGCCTCTAGGCCAGATTGGCGAGCACAAGTCGAAAATTGGGTGAGTTCCAAGGCATCCGCCAACGCTAACCCGCTAGCCGGACTACCTGAAGACGAAGACGATTCAAATGAGGAGATCCCCACTCCAACTCGCAAACCACCACGTGGAAATCGGATTTTTCCTTTGAAATCACCACAGCTTCTAGGCTGCGAGGACAAGAAACAGCTATCTATGATAATGCCTGACTCATTGCTGCAACTCGAGGCGACTTTTTCTAGAGACGAACGCGCCACCTTCATTCGGGAAAGCGCTCGCGTGCTGTTCATCACCGAGTATCTCGTCCTGGTCGAGTATGTTGAAGTGATGCTACCGATTGTTTATTGTAAGTACTTGTCAAAATGTTACGAGATGATTAGGCTGTGCATCTAACGGGTGCTTATCACTTTCAGGTGCGCATCACGCCATCGTCTACAACATGCACAACCGCGTATACTACCCTGCATGGGACAGCCTTTCACCGTCAGAGTTCTCGTCGACAATCTCCCACGTCCTGATCTACAGCATGTTGGAGTTCGTCTCATTGCTCGTATCAATCGCTGTTCTGAAGCGGACACTGGGGTTTTCGTCCATGCGTCAACTGTCGTTCGTGCTGGAGAGCCAGGCGGGGATCATACAGGGAAAATTACTCATTCTTTTGATTTACGTTATGGAGATCTCGTTGGTGCACATCGGTAAGTGTGGAGCGTTTGAGCTGACATGTGTGAGTATATCACTTTCGACCGGGATTTGTCGTTCTAACCAAATGGTAATGATCCAGGTGCTGATTTCAGCTTCAAGTTTGCTTGGCTGCACGCCCCACCCAATTGAACAATAACTACTGGTAAAAAGAGTGATATTATCGGAGGTTACCAGCGCACTTGGTTGTACTGGCATTTTGTTGAATGCTGCTAAACTTAGAAGTACTCTTGTATATCTTTTCTAACGCTGAGTCAGTGTGAAGAGACGACCGTGATGATAAAGGCCCTTGAGCGCCTCTGGGCACTTTGGATATCAGTTCAAGTTGAGTTCCAGGGTCGATATTCGGTGGAGCGACTGCAGCAGCTCGAGGTTTATTCGAAAAGTCTGGGTACTGGGAGACTTCTCGCCATATTGCTGCTAACACCGCTACCCAGTCTTGTCATCAGCTTGCTGAAGGAGGTCCCACCTTTGAGTCCAATTCATGCTGGAGTTTTCAACAACAAGACCTTTTTCGTTCGCGCGTGGCTAACACTCGCCTTTATAAATGGGAACGTATTGGTGCAAATGGGTCAAAGTGCACCGAGACTCAAGCTCACTACCCTCCAAGTTGTGACGTTCGCCTTAACCGCAGCGGGAATGGGCGTAGCGTTTATTCTGCTGCTATGCGCCTTGATCGTCTTCCCTCTACCGTTCGGACTGCTCGTGGTAGCTCCGCCCGATGTGATTTTGATTTGTGTGTGCTTCGTCTACATTTCTGGACCAAGGTGGCGAGCGAATGCAGCGCTGTGGAACGATGTCAAGCGACAATTATCCGTCTTTTACTGCCAGGTGGCGCTCACCTTCATCTATCCGATCTACATCTACGGGTTCGTGTCCCTTACTGGGATCCATCAAGTCATGTTTGTCATGCTCTTGCCGGTTATCCAGATAATTGCCAAGAATTGGGTCAGCCGCCAGCTTACGAACCACGACCTCAAACCTGAAAGCGTCATCTTCATCGTAGAAGTTTTCAACGCGCTCTATGTGTCGCATGCTCTTCACAATTCCTCTTCTTGGAAGACGACAGCTACGATTATGAGCATCGATTTCACGCACTTTTGGCTGTCCATGCTGGACGTAGTGCAGGCTCTCGACGAATTGAAAGCTCTCATGGCTAAAATTCCCCGCGGACATCCCATCGCGAAAGAAAATTTCGTTCATGTGGCAACGCGCCTCGTGGAAATTGAATATATGCTCAGCCCTGCAAGCAAAAGAAGCTCTCCAGGTGGCTCCAAGCTATCGTGGAGAGCTCAGATGGAAGCGTGGCTGAGCTCAAGAGATATGCTGAGCAAGGGGTCTACTTCACGGCGAGATGCAAGTCTAGTAATCAAGATAAAAGACGGCCGCGTGCCTGGAAAGCTGCTGATGCCGTCAGCTAAAGCGCGAGTTTTCCCTTTTCGTCCACCGCATCGTCGTTTCCGGGTAAAAGCGAAGGCTCGTGTCACTCCTGACACCACGGAAGCAGAACTGAATAGCTTTGTGAACCCTACTGCTATCATCGGACTGGAAACGATATTTTCACGCCAAGAGCGCGCCGAGCTCATTCGTAAAAGCGCGCGAGTTCTGTTTGTTACCGAGTACATCGTGCTCATCGAGTACGCCGAAGTCGTCCTGCCCATTATCTACTGTAAGTAAGGCATAGTCACCCCACTCATTGTCGATACTAACGCTGTTACGCTTTGTTTCAATCCGCTAGCTCTACATGAGGTGATATTGTATCACATGCACAACCGGGCGTACTACCCAGCACTCGCTGAGATGTCCACGGCCGATCTTCGTTCATCCGTGGTGAACGTTCTGACATACAGCTCACTCGAGTTTCTCTCGCTGGTTATGGCCCTCATTGTGCTGAAGCGCACAGTCGGGCTTTCAATACTGCGACAGCTCGCATTCGTACTGGAGACGCAAGCGTCAATGGTGCAGTCCAAGCTCACCACGCTGTTCGTATACGTGATGCAGGTGCCGCTGGTGCATCTCGGTAGGTACCACGTACACAGACTTTATCAACATGTACAGACCGTCTAACATGTTGTATAACGCGTGACAATGTTGTGTAGGCGCGGACTTCAGCTTTAAATTCGCGTGGGTCCACAACAGAGACTCCTAAAATCTGAAGTTGAAGTTGTACGTGTTGCCATCTGCATGTATATCCCCTGCTTAACCCGATACAACCGACTTCAACAGGTACATACCCAAATGATTGCCACATATCATCTCATCTTGACCATACTGAACCCAAGTCAACCTTAAAGTATCCACTAAAGTATCCAAAACCACTGCAGGAAGTTCGTTCATGCCCGACACAACAGCCGAACCGGGCCTGCCGCTTCCCGAGGCTTTGACACTGCTGCTCGGGCTCTCCATCGCGCTCAGTCCTCCGCTCGTGCTGTGCCTCGACTGCCTCGCGTCTTGCCAAGCATCTCGCAGCGCCAACCCGCGCTCTTAACGGCCCAAAACTCGCTGCAGAAGACCCAAAACAATGCGCATTTTGCAGCTTTTCGCGCTCTTTTGCGCCCTAAACGACGCTGCAGCCGCCCCCATGCAGGCGGTGGAGCAGTTTGAGCTGCGGTTGTACCACGCACAGACGCGCACCCAGCGACGCGCGCTGCTGGGCCCCACCAGAGCCTCGGACGAGACCAGGGCGGAAGCTCTGGCCAACACGGCGCGCGTGGTGGACGAGGCCAATGCCGAGCACGACGCGGGCAAGAAGTCGTACTTTATGGGCTACAACGAGCTCAGCGACTTGACGGACGAGCAGTACCGAGCTTTCCTGACCTCCAGACCGGACAGAGACTCGCCCAGGAGGAAGCAGAGGAAGAAGCAGCCGACGAGAGGGGCTGGAGGACTCAAGAGAGGGAAGCAGGTTACCATCAGCTTCGATTTAGACGCGAGTGACGGTGACGATGACGAGGAGGAAGAGGAAGAGGATGAGGATGATATTGAGGTTCCGACGTCGCTGGACTGGACGACGAAGGACGGGGGGAAGTACATGACGCCCATCAAGAACCAGGGAACGTGTGGCAGCTGCTGGGCCTTTGCTGGCGTATCGGTGGTGGAGTCAAGGTATGCGATTGAGAACGATGTCCAAGCAACAGCCTTGAGTGTTGAGCAGGTTCTGAGCTGCTCGGCGTCGTTGGATCACATTCGGAGTAAGTTCCCGGATAACATGACAAGCTCGTCGGAAGGGTGCGCTGGTGGGATGCCGTTCCTCACGTACACGTACCTGAGTTTAGCCAAACCTCATGGACTGTCGTGTGGGAGTGTGATCCCGTACGTGATGGCTACGAACGAGACGGATTCTGCGTGCCCCTCGAAGCTCACTGATGAGGTAGCTGTGGCCTGGGAGCAGAATGTATCCGACTACAAGGTGGTGGCCACGAGTGAGAAGGCGCTACTTCGAGCGGTGACGCGAGGACCTGTTACAGCTAACATCGACGCTACAGGAGACGGGTTCCGTTACTACGCAGGAGGGATCTACGACGCTCAAGACTGCCTCAGCGATGGAGAGGAAGTAAACCACGCCGTAGTGGTCGTGGGCTTTGGTGAGACTGACGCCGGCGAGAAGTATTGGACAATCCGGAATACCTGGGGCACTATGTGGGGCGAGGACGGCTACATGCGCATCGCCCGCGGTGGTAACGTCAGTGAATACGGCCCTTGCAATCTGTACCTCTACGCAGACTACCCGGTGAACCTCACAGTTGGCTCCAACGCGACTAGCGGTGAGCCCTCGTGCGTTTTGCCACCTTCAAAGTTTGAAGCGCTTTCGGCCATGAAGCTGGTCGGCCTCTCAGGCAACCAAATTGTCATGCTGGTGCTTTGCACCGTCTTCAGCCTGGCCGCCGGTGTAGCCCTGTATCACGGCTCAGAGTTTATCCAGAACCGCAAGGAAGCTGCTGGAGAGCTGAGCTACCAGGACAGCTACGCGCGCTGGATAATGCCGTCACGCGAACAGATTGCTGTGGCTCTTGCCCGTCGCAACAACCAACGTCAGCAGCGCACCAACGCTGCACAATAGAGACAGGACTTTCAGTTCCTTGCTTACATTAAAAATATAATCAGTGATGCCAGATCGACTTCCTCCCAGCCATCCCCGCTATAGCGACACATCCGGACTGGAGTCTTCCATCGGCCGAGAGCCGTAGGGCGATCGCTGATACGGGTCCTGGCCAACGTCGTCGTTTGCCATCAGCGTCAGATCCGACAGACTGTCCGCCAAATCCCCGTTCGACGGGATGTAGTCCTCGTGAATCATCGGTCCGAGCGACGTGGTCGCAGCCTCCTGCTCATGGAAGGCGTCGTTGGTCGTGGCCTCTGAAATGGGACTCATAGACGCCAGAGGGGATTCTCCGTTCTCCACGTGGATCATTGTAAGCTTGGGGATAACCTGCTGCCACTCCTCCTCCACCTTCTTGCTGTACTCGATCTGCATCTGGATGTAGTCCAGGATAATGTGCTTGAAGTCTGCCAGCTTCTCGCGCTTGAACCGCTCCACCTCGCGCAGCACTCTCTCCGTGACAATGTCGTCCTCAAGCTTGGCATCTTCCATGTGCTGCTGGGCTGCGCGCACTTCGCTCTCAGCAAGCTGCACCTTCTCCTCGGACGACCCGCCCCGAGCGCTTTTCAGCAACTTCCCCAACGCAGCCTCCTTCGCTTCAAGATCGGCCACCGCCGCTCCATACGCGCACCTCACCTCGTTCCGCTTCTGCAGCGCCGCCTTCACCGCCCCCACCAGCCGAATGTAGTCAAAGATCGGCTCTTCAAAATGCAGCGCCTCCCGCTCAGCATGCTCCGCCGCCAAAATCGAGAGCTGGTCGGAGCAGTGCCCAATATGACTCAGCCCCTCCTGCAACGACGGGTTCTCCTCGGACTTCCCCAATAACGTGAAGGACACTCCAAACTCGAACAGTCCGTCCGCGATCTCCCGCGCCCTCTTGGTCAGCCCGTGGGCGTGCTTGTGCAGCCCTGTCATAATAGGCTCCAGCCCTTCAATGTACGCCATCATGTCCTCCACCTCCAGGTCCACCGGCGTCTTGGGCAGGTTCGTGGTGGGCGTGATGAGCGTGGACGAGATGGAGCTCACCGTGTCGTCCAGCCACTGGAACAGCACGCCGCGCTGCGCGTTGGGCGCCGCGTGGCGCGGGTCCCTGCGGAAGGCCGCGAGCTGGTCCTCGCTGGCCTCCAGGAACGTCGTGAGGTGCTCGCTGTGCTGCAGCTCCGGGTGCAGGCAGCAGCGGTGCAGGAACAGCTGCAGCGCGCGGCGGCGACTCTCGATGAACTCGGGGGAGAAGCGCCCCACCAGCAGCTTCTCCGGCAGTGGGGGCACTACCACGCCCGGGTACATGGCCGACAGGTGCGCGTGCAGCCACACAAAGTCGCTGTAGCGGCGCACCACGGAGAAGGCGCTCTTGGAGAACTGCGGCCGCGTCGTGGCCGTGCTGATCTTGTACGAGATGTAGGCGTTCATGCCCTCGCCCTGCTTCACGGGCTCGCTCACGGACACCTGGATGGTGGGCTGCGGGGGCGGAGCGTTGGCGGAGGAGGAGGCCGTGGAGGACGTGAGAGAGGCCGCGTACTGGCCGTCGGACGCCGGGAGGAACGGCGTCAGGTCCTCCAGCCCATTGGCGTTGGCTGTGTTGGCTGTGCTGCTGTGGGCGGGAGGGAGCGCGGTCGACTCCTCCATGATGCGGTTCGTGTAGTCTACGTTCACCCACTTGCCGTTGCGCCCCTCCATGGTAGCAGAGAGGAGAAGGAGAAGATGGAGATACTACACTACGAGCACCTTTCTCCTCCGAGGTTACAATTGGATTGTTCTCCTGAGAACGTAACCCTATGTACGTACGTGGTTATAGCCAATCACCAGTAGAGATTAGTCCGTCTGCTCTTTTTATTCGCTGATATTCGTTTCAACTTTATAACCGCGTTACGACATCCAAGAGGCGCACCGCAACGACGGACAAGAGCGTAACCTCCTTCCGCCCCGCCCATGGCTGCGCGCGGTCTCCCCTCCGGCGGCGGCGTGGTGCTGCCGTCACCCTCCTCTCTGGGCAGCTGCGAGCCCGAGTCCCTGGGCGCGTCCTCCGCGGCCTCCTCGTCGCAGTCCAACGGCAAGTACTACAACCCCGTGGTCATGGACATCATCCGCGAGGACTGGATCCAGCAGCAGCTGCAGCAGCGCCAGGCCGCGTACACCGAGTTCCGCCCAACGCGCGTCGTCACGGGCACGTGGAACGTCAACGCCAAGAAGCCGCTGGCGCCCGCCGAGGCCGCCAAGATCGTCAGCTGGCTGCAGCCTCAAGGGACTGCGACGACGACGAGTCGCGAGCCGCCGCCGGACGTCGTGGCGCTCGGCTTCCAGGAGATCGTGGACCTCAATGCGGTCAACGTGGTGGTCAACAGCGCGCTCACGGTGCAGCGCAGCTCGGCGTGGGAGGAGGCGGTGCTCACGGCGCTGAACCGGCACATCGGCCCCGGTGCTGGGGCTGGAAGCGCGGAGGCTCCGGCGTTGCAGTACCGCGTGGTGCTGGAGAAGCACCTGGTGGGGATTCTACTGCTGGTGTTCGTGCGCACGGACCACTGGGACCATGTCAAGGAGATCAAGGGAGCGACGGCTGGGGTCGGCATCATGGGCGTCATGGGCAATAAAGGAGGGGCTGCGGTCAGACTTAAATTCTACAGCAGCACGCTCTGCTTCGTGTGCGCGCACTTGGCTGCACACAGGGAGAACGTGGCTGGGAGAAACGCGGACTATCTTAATATTCTGAGTAAGGTCCAGTTCGGAGATAGCGCCGAGGACGGAGCCGCCCCGATTCAGGACATTAGGTGAGTTGGGGAATTGGAGAGTTTGCTGAGGCTTGTGCAGCGTTAACTGATTTTGTTTGTGCTCCTATAGTGGCAGGTTCTGGAGTGGCGAGCCGTCGATCCTCAACCATGACTTTGTTTTCTGGATTGGAGATTTGAACTACCGAATCCAGGATGCTTTGACGACGGAGGAAGTTTTCAGGCTAGCGGAGAGTGGACGGTCGCTGGATAAGCTCGTGCAGCACGATCAGTTGACGATTGAGCGCCAACGTGGCAACGTGCTCAAAGGTTTCCAAGAAGGGCCGCTTACTTTCCCGCCGACGTACAAATTCCAGGCTGGTACGTCAGAGTATGAGAAGCGACCCGAGAAGAAACTGCGGGCTCCTGCCTGGTGCGATCGCGTGCTCTGGAGAGCGAAGAGCCCGAATGACGTGAAGCTTCGAAGTTACACTTCCGTTCCTGTCCTGGATCTGTCCGATCACAAGCCCGTTCAAGCATGCTTCGACATTCAGGTGAAATACCAAGTGGAGTCCAAGAAAAATGAGGTGATCCGGGAAATCATGATGCAACTGGACAAGTGGGAGAACGAGAACATGCCCAAGGTTCGCCTGCTTCAGGAAGACGGCAGCACGACGAGCAGTGGCGTCATTTCTTTCTCGCAGCTGAAGTTTAACGTCGAGCAGAGCAAGAAGGTGATCATCGAGAACACGGGACTTGTTGTGGCGCACCTGCGCTTCATCCCAAAGCTGGAAGACGTCACAATATGTAAACCGTGGCTAAATGTTGCACCGATGTTTGGCATGATTCCGCCACGGGACAAGATGGAGATTCGCATCACAGCTCTCGTTGATGAAAGAGTCGCTCACGGTCTCACAAGCGGAGATGAGACGCTCGATGACACTATGATCTTGCGCGTTGAGAACGGACGCGACTATTTCCTGGTGGTGTCGGGGCAGTACGCAAACTCTTGCTTTGGGAGTTCGCTTGAGCAATTGGTGTCGTGCTCAGAGCCGATCCGACAGGCCAAGTTTACGGCGGCGCGGTCTCCGGCTGCGTCAGTGTTTAGTGTTTGGGTCGGTGGGGCAACAGGCGTCGACGCGAGCTCGCTCATTTCTCCGCAGACTCCCAACGCGTCGTCAACGCCGACAACAGCGAGCGACTCACAAAAGGTCCCTAAGGAACTCTGGCGCATGGTGAACGACATCTACGAGAACTATATGCAAGAGAAGAACCTGTTCGTTGAAGCTGGCAGCAAGGTAGAGATTGTGCAACTGCGTGAAGCACTGGACACTGGAGCGCCGCTGCCTACTCACAGCGGATATTCCATGGCCGAATTACTTGTGCGCTGGCTGCAAGCTTTGCGTCAAAGCGTAGTACCGGACGAAGCGCTGGCTGCTGCAGTTACGAGTGCAAATGGCAACATGGCCCAAGGATGTCGAGCGCTGCTGGATGCTTTGTCGCCAGTGAGGTACAACGTGGTCGTCTACCTGGTGTCCTTCCTGCGAGAAGTACTCAAGCACAACGCCACTAACAAGCTAACGCCCGAGAAGCTAGCGTTCGTCTTTGGCCGATGCCTCGTGTCGCCTTGCAGAGTTAACTTTGGCAAGGACTTGGCTCGCACTAGCGTCGGTCGTGTCCTGGCGCTCGACGAACACAGCTCGCCTGCATCCACAGCCTCGACGGTGTCAAGTGTTGGCTCCAACCAGTCCAATGTGCTGGTCCCTGAAGAGCACATACGTCGGAACGCCCACGAGTTCGAGATCGCACAAGCCAACGCAGCTCAGCGAGCCGAGAAGATGGAGAAGTTCCTTCTGCACTTCCTGTCCGTGCCATCGCCGTGACGGAGACAACTGTATGATTGCTGGTGCCCAGCATTGATTCCCCTCAAACGAATGACGCGGGCACGATCCTGCAGACAGAAAACACACAGCTAGGGCGATCCCCGAGTTGTAGCAATACCCGTCCCTTAGCTGCACATGCACACTTGAAATATCTAACTCGCTGTTTGATTTAACGCACTGCTTTTCCTGGCCTGCCCACTTCGATCGCGGATCGGCATATCGTGGCTTTCCAAGCTAATGAAGTACCTTATAGAACGCTGATGGTGAACAGAGTGATGGCGCCGCCGTCGAAGAGAGGCAGCACCTGGTTACGCAGGAAGATGACGCCCCACGTGAAGGTGGTGAACCACAGGTGCGTGAACTGGTTGATCTGGTACTTCCGGATCACGATCGGGTGCGGCACGGGCAGGAGACCCACCATCGTGGTCGTGCGCAGGAAGTACAGCATCGCATCCTCGTCCAAACTGCCACCGGCCTTCTGGCAGGCGTCTTCCAGTTGGGGAATGAGGTGCTGGAGTAGGCGAAGGCTCGTGGTCAGCGGGAGTTTCTTCTTCCACGCCGATAGCCACTCGACCGTAGGGACAAACTCGCCCTCCGGGCTCTGCTCCTGCTGCTCTGCACCCTCGCCCTCCTTCTTAGTCGTGGCTGAAGCAGCTCGGATAGGTGGAAGCTGCAGGTCGTTGAGCTGGTAGAAGACGTTCTTGTTCTGGATCATGGCGTACACGACCTGCTGGTTGCCCTCGTACTGGTACTGAATGATGTTGTCGAAGGTCTCGAGCAGGAAGAACACCAAGTGGTGGTTGGCCTCGTTGTCGAACAGGTAGCGCGGCTGCGCGAACAGCTTGAACAGGCGGAGCAGACGGACGCTGGACACCATGTTGAGCTTCTTGCAGTACGGCGAGATGTTGCAAATGATCGTGAGGAAGCAGTTGTACACCGAGTTGAGCTTCTCGTAGCCGCTCACAATAATCTTGTGCAGGCAGACGATCAGCAGGTCCGCGTGGTTGCCCGAGAACGGAGGCAGATCCAGCGGGAGGTGGTTGTTGAAGGGTTTGTTCAAGTTGACACCGAAGTCGCGCTCGCCACTGAGCAGCAGCAGGATGAAGGTACAAATGTGGATCATGCCTACCTTGGCCGGCTCCTGTCTGCCCTCGTACATCAAGAACAACAGCGGGACCACGAGCTGGTTAACGTCCGCCTTCTTCAGCACGTAGTGCAAGAACTCCGTGTTCTCGTCCAGCATCTTCCACAGCAGAACGAGAAGCTCCTGGTGGCACTTGATCTGCTTGATCGAGTTGGGCAGCAGCGTGCTCATCGACTGGTGGTAGTTGTTCAATAGGCGCGACAACCCCGTGAAAATCAACTGGAAGTCCTCCGGTCTCTGGAGCGACGACAGCAAGTTGCGGTACACATTCGCCACACCGTCGAAAATGGGGTTCGAGGTTCTCGACGTCACGGACGACGAGCGACGCTTCGCTGCGGGGGTCGAGCTGCCAGGCTGCGGCTTGGACGTCGCGGCCGAGTTGCTCTCCGTGGTCTGGCCAAAGTCCAGCAGCACCAGCAGCACCTGGAGTGACAGATCCACCAGCAACTCCCTGTCGTCCGACACAATGGAGCCCGCGTAGGGCACGCCCCACCCGACAGGGTCGTACGACACGACAATGTTCAACAGCGAGTAGAACAGCGTCGGCGTGAAGGGACAGTCCGTGGCCGTGGCCACCTCCAAGAACCTATCTTTCCAGTTGCTGCACGTCTCGGCCGTCTGGTACAAAATGCTCGAGAAGCACGTGAGTAGCAGCGCCAGCACCTCCTTGCGGTTCTTGTCATAGTTGGACGAGTTCACGACGCTAGCATCGGGGTAGCCCACACCGGAGTGCCACAGCAGCGACGGGAAGACCAACGAGCCGCTGGTCGTGCTCTGGCCGCTGCGCGTGGCGCTGCGTCGCTCCTCCCCGTAGCCCTTGTACGCGTGGATCGAGACCGTAAACTCCGGCAGGAACAGCAGCCCCATGATGGCGTGCAGCATCTGCTTGGCCAGGGGCTCGGCGGTGGGCTGCGTCTCCTCCTTGGTCTCGTCCTCCTCTTCCTCTCCTTCTTTGGCTCCTGATTGGCCCTCGACGCTCCAGAAGAGCTCCTCGACGAACTCGTCGCCCCCCTCCTCGAGGATGAAGGGCACGAGCCGCGTGAGCACGCGCACGCAGTTGAGCGCCTGCTGGTAGTACTTGGGCACGGGCGTGTCCACGATCTGCACAATCTGCGAGACGGCCTGGCGCAGCAGCGTGGCCAGGTTCTCGGGCTGCTGGTGGCGCATCATGCGCACGTCGTCGGGCTGGATGAGCGTGAAGATCTCCTCGGCCACCGTCGGGATGCGCCAGAGCTTGTCCCAGAACTCGAGGTTCTTGCTGCTGATGACCTCGTTGTTGAGCTTGTACACGCTCTCGCGGAACTTGCTCTTGCTGTCGCTGTTGCCCATGGTCGATCGCCTGCTCCGCTGCCTTGCTGAACTGGACTGTGTGTCTGTCTGTCTGTGTGATGCTTCAAGAGCCTGACACGTCGGACGAGCATAGATGCGCACTTAAGATGGGGTACTCTCCCGTAAACGGACTTAACGAAAACGTAACCGTACCCACCAAGTACTGTGCACGGTTCGGTTATCTCCGATAGTTCGATTAAAAATCAGTATGCTGGATGGCGGTCGAAGGCTGTAGGATGGTTCCGTGTACCCATCCGACGTTACGTCATTTTGAATTGCGATTTCTCTCTCCCCCTAATAATTCACGCAACTTGCCATGGTGCTGATCCACGAGTTCCGCGTGCCGCTGCACATGACGGTGGACGAGTTCCAGGTGGCGCAGCTCTACATGGTGGTGAACGCCAGCGAGCAGCTCACGGGCGACGGAGAGGGCGTCGAGATCCTGGTCAACGAGCCCTACGACAACACGGACGGCAGCATGGGCGTCTCCAGCATCTCGGGCTGGGTCATCCCGCGCAACAAGGGCCAGTACACGCGCAAGCACTACTACTGCAAGTCCAAGATCCCGGGCTTCGTCTCCGCCTTGTACGTTGCGTTGCGAGTCCTTATTAGGGGGGGGCGCGGAGCTGAAAGCTGATGGATGACGTGGTGTTATTTATTTGTAGCTGCCCGGAGGACAGCATGGTGCTGATCGAGGAGGCGTGGAACTCGTACCCGCACTGCGTGACCGTCATCGTGAACGGTTACCTGGACAAGCACAAGTTCTACATCTCCATCGAGTCCATGCACAAGGCGGACCGCGGCGACTCGGAGAACGCGCTCGGCATGAGCAACAACGAGCTCAGCCAGCGCAAGGTCGAGGTGTAAGTGGCTCGGCAACGGCCGCTATAGTACTCGGTGTAGTAGCTGACTTAAGGGTTGCTGTTGTTGCAGGCTGGACATTGCGGAGAAGATGGCCAAGCAGACGTTGAAGGAGAACTGCGACCCGGCCACGGTCCGTCTCATAATTTTACGGGGTTGATCAGATTTCTGCATTGTTTTTGACCTTTTTGTTTTGATGTGTTGTGTTGCAGTACAAGTCCGTGAAGACGTCGCGTGGACCGCTGACCCGGGGCTGGACGAAGACCGTGGACCCGATCATGACCTGCTACAAGGTAGTGCGCATCAACTTCGACTACTGGGGCGTGCAGGGCAAGGTACGGCAATGGGTTAATGGACTGTTTGGCGTTGGATTGCATACTGACGTATTGCTGCTGCTGTTGCTTGTGCTCTCGTAGGCGGAGAAGATCATCCGCGACCAGCAGAGGCAGCTGTTCCACAACACTCTTCGTCAGGCGCAGTGCCAGACGGATGAGTGGTACGGCCTCACGATGGAGGACATTCGGCGTCTAGAGGCTGAGGTGGTGGCCAAGCTCGAGGCCAAGCGCCTCACCAACTCAGCTAACCAATAGAGGAGGAGGGTTGGGAAACCAGACAACAACGTCGGCGATATAGTCTAGCGACAGCTATCAGGCATAGTAGTTTTGCTGTTTGAGGATAGGCGCGGCTTCCTGCTCTCGTTCATACATGTGTGCTTCGCATTACTCTTGCTCCAAGCTCGTGTCGTATTTTATGGATCCATACATGTATCTTCCAGTTCGGCCACGGTCAGTCGGTGACTACCCAAGCAAACTTAAAACTCAGATCATAGCCGAAGTGCACCAGCGAATATGACATCATAGTCGTGAACAGGATCATCATCTTGGTTTGCACTTTGTTTGCTTGTTTGTCCAGAACGAAGGACAGTTGGCTCAGGGAGGAGAACCCCAAGGAGCGTCTGAGGATGGCCAACGTGGGGAAAAGCGATGCCAACTCCAGTGCCCCATAGCCTAGGACGTTCGAGATTGAGGACACCAGCTCGGTAGTTGTGCTTGTCACCAATGAGGGGTAGTAGGCTTTGTTGGGCATGTTGAACAGGATCGTCCTGTGTAAGCCTGTACTAACCCAAACAGAACAACAGATAAGCGTTAGATTGTTGGCATCATACAGTACATGTACTCTGTGCGGCTGCCACCCTTACAATATATGATCGGGAGCACCACCTCGACGTATTCCCCCAGCACGATGTACTCCAAAATGAAGAGGAGTCGGGAGCTTTTGTTAACAAAAAGAGCGCGCTCCGATCTTGTGAAGATGCTGTCCAGGCCAGGAAACTCCTTCACGCTTGGTACGACACTAAACTTCCCGTAAGATGTCGGGATGTCAGCAGCTGTGACCATTATTGTTTGCGGGAGTATCTTACGTGAACTTCGGCACAACTTACTTTGGCCAGCATTTTAATTTCTCCTAACTTCATTCACGCTGGGTGGTTGTCGGCCCAGAACCAGTTCAGTGCTCGGATATTTCCCGGTCGTCACTGCTTAACAAAGCCGTGCTCTGCCCGGAACAGCTCTGGATTTTACGTTGCTCTTGGGCATATAAGGAGGAATTACTCCAGCTATGTAGCTTTTGTAAAAAGCTATGCAAGTACTTAGTAGTAGATTTGTAGCCATGAGTTATACTGATTTAAACTACCACTATGCTACGCACTCCGCGCGGTCCTCCGACCTTAAACGCTCGCTGCGCTTACTTGGACAGATGCCAGGTTCAGGAGTAGAGCTTCAGTTTGGACAGCCCAGCCGGTCAAGGAAGAAGTTTACTAAAAGGAGGCACCTAGAACCCCGCTTTTCTAGTTTGTATGCAGATGGTTTTCGTGATGCAGTGGTGCTATCTAATTGCGCGGACCATGTATGTTGCGCTGATACGAAGAGATCGCTAGGTGATAATAGTATCTTATTCAGTATACATGCAGCTCTATGGGTGTATGAAAGCATCGGCACAGAGAGACAAGTATAGCTAGCACGACGACGGGCAGATGAGCGCATGTTGTCTGAGTGTCGGCCCGTTCGGTTGTTCTGCAGCGAGGTAAGTCCAGCTAGTTCGGTGCCACACCAGCGGAGTTTTTACCGTGAGCACGGGGGGAAGGCATTGCTGCTGCGGCGACCGAAAAAGCTGAACTGAGGACTCGGTTGTATCGCTACTCTAGTTCTAAGGAACGGCCTGTGGTCTGGATCACTCATCATTTTCTCTGCGTTTTCATACAACTTTCCTTAGGATTACACGGAGAATGAATTTGTTAGGAATAAACGGTCACTTCTTACGATTGAAGCACAGGAGATCGCGCTAGAATCTACGCCATGATCGCTGCGGCCTTTATGCTGACAAGCTGCAGGGGCTGTCCTACTCCGAGTGGCGCGGCTAACCTTTAGGCTGCTTGCGTCTTGGCCCCCACGTTTTTCGGATAATCCTGTAGGTTGGTACAGTTTGTTGGGGCGAAGCCCCCCCTATAATGAAATCGCTCTGTTTTATCGCTCTGATTTACTTTTTTTCGATGATTTTATGGATAGGGCTAGGGAAAGGTTTAATGGTTGCCTCTCCCAGGGGCAAAAATGCTGCATTTTACCTCTGTATAAGATCCTTTCAGGCTCACTGTCCGACGGTTCCGGGTGACTATTCATAGAAGTTCAGGGGTTTAGCCTCCAGAAAAGGGTGCGAAAGCCATTAAACTGAGGCTCGTCTTTTAGGAGGCCCCTTCCAAATAGGGTATATATGGGCTGTGGGCTCTGGAAAGTGGATTTGGCGTAAAACTGCATTGTTTTAGCTAAATGGATACTCTGTTTTGCTAAACAAGCGACCCTGTTTTAGCTTCGGAAACGTTGCTGCGCGAAATAGCTAGCTTCGTTGAGGCTTGCATTGCGAACCATGCACAGCCGTCACCGCTCGCCACAACCTTGTCACCACCTTGTGTTGTCGACACGCCTTCACGGACCGTCTTCGGGCGCGCCAAGTCAACTGGCCTGCTCCGTGGGTGCTCGTAGACACGCACATCGAGGAAGAGAACCGCGACAACACCCACCGCCAGATCCCATTGCAATTCGTAGTAGTATCCGCCAAGCGATGACTACTGTGCCGCTGCTGCTTCTGGTCGTGGCTGATCGAGGTCGCCTCCGAGCCACGTCAATACTCGCTCGCAGCCCATATTGACGGCCGACCTTCGAGAGTGAGACTCCAAGCCGAATCCAACCATGAGGCTTGCCTTGCCAGGTTTTGTTTTCGCGGTGCTTGTACCCAATGTGAACTTGGGTCGACTTGGACGCCTCGCCAACATGCTTTCTTTTTATTATCTTGGCGACATATCGAGATTGTGGAAAAGTGCTATCGTCTTCATTTCCTTTAGAAAAATATTTGCATGAAGTGTAGTTTGGTTAACAAGATGAATGATGCGATCCCTTTCAGTGTCAAACGATGATCGACTCCCTGGGGACGCTGTGAGCTTTTCCAAACTCAAGCGATGCGTAAGAACTATATATTCTCTTTTTCTAACGCGGGAAAGAGCAAGGTAAGCATAGGATGCATTTGGCAGTGAATTGGAATGAAATACGACTTTTGAGCATGTAACCCCTTGAACCTTATGAATCGTCATAGCGTAGGCAAGCCTTAACGGAATGCTACAGCGAACGACTTTAAAGTCACTCCTTGTACTTCCCCAGCTCGTTTCCTTTGAAATGATGGGGATAATGTTAGGTACGTTTGGTAAAAAGTATGAACCAAAGTATTCATCAACTATTTCAACCAAAACGATAGGAAGTTCTGATCCAGACACAAAGATCATGTCGTACACAGTAGCGTTCGTTCCATTGCATAGCCCTGCTGTTTGCTCGGCATTAAATGTTAGTGTGACAGGAGCACCAATTGCTAAATTGAGTTGGATTGGTACAACTCGGTCTCTCCTTGGGATCTTTTCTTGTGCCTGATCTAAAAAAGCTTTAACTGTGCCTTGAGGTATTTCTCTATTTGCGATCAAGCGTTTTTGCTTCACATTGTGCACGGACTTTATGTGCACAAATGGAGAAGAAGCATTCTGCAGATTTACGTCATTAGCACTATCAACATCTGCGTTAAGGTATGCAATGTGCTTCGCAGCATGCACCCACTCAGGCATTGCGTTGGTTTTGAAGATTCGAGTATTAAAAAGGTCAATGTCCTGCTGTGTTGGTACTTTTTCTCGCAATCTTCGTAGCGCTTCAAACCATTCCGGGTCATCCTTCCCTCTATGTTGACTGCTTAACGAGCACACGCATTTAATTTCCTCCCAAATTCCGCGTCTTTGCGCTGGATATTGTCACGTATTCTATCTGTGGATGTCGCTAGAGAGTAAGGGGTTACAGGGTCCAACTGGGCACTGTCTTCTGTGAAAATGGCATCTCTTCCACCAAATCGGACCTCGCGCTGATCAGGCCATATCTCTCGCATTCTTTGGTCTATCCAATATAGCATTCCACATGATATTACGCTAAATTCGTCAATTATTACCAGGTGTATGTATATCCCTGAAGTGCTGCTGTAGAGACAATAGCTTAGCTGGGCCGTTTTTTTGCGTGGTCATTGCGACGTAAGGTTTGGAAAATCTTTGTTTGCGATCGGGGGATTGCTGTAAATTGAAATGAAATGCTTCTCGCTGATTTTTTGCCCATGGCCGCACATATTTTGTCATAAATTCGCGTGCTCTATTAATGTCTTCGTTAGAGTAGTTGTGCTTTGGCTTCCATTGAGTATGAACGTCTGCAATAAGTTTTTTATCTCTCTCGATTTCCATCTCATGCTCATTGAGGTGCTCATCAGGTTCTTCGATGAAAACATACTCGGACGGGGGCAGATTAGTGTAGCATTGGTTCTCGCGAGAATTCTTCAGAAGATTTAATTGACATTGCCTCGTTACCTTTAAATTCACTTCAGTTCGGAGTTCATTGTCGAGGTTTTTATTTTGTTCGTCGTAGAACCGACTAATACAGTCATCGTCAGTAATCGGTAAGTCGCTTAAGTGTCTCCAAGGAACGTGTAAAAACAACTCAGCAAAACAAAAGTTAGGGTTTGATGTGTCTGGTGCCATCCATGGCGACATACGAAGAACTTGGGCTTTTCGACGCTGTCGTAAAAAACCTAGATTATCGATTCGCTTCCAATACTTCGCTGTTGAGGCTGCGCTTTCAACTACCTCATAGTGCTCTACAAAGCTAGCATATGACATCGACTTAAACGGTTCTTCCTGAGGACGCGCCATGTAGGCTTTTTCATATGATTCAATTTTAATATTATCGAGTTGAGGCGGTTTGTCGATGCCCAAGTTCCGTAAGGCTTCGGTAACCATACATTTTTAATTCTCGAAGCAGTATGAAGTAAGCTTCTGGGGCACTTACCTCACGAACAGCCAATGTGGCGTTAGCTATTCTTTTAAGAATAGCGTAGTAAGGGAGATTCAGGTCACATCGCTTAACAGCTGCAGCGACAGTGCTTCGGAAGCGCAATGTGTCAGGTTCGGATTTGCTCACGTAAGCAGCACTATATTCGGCAGCGCCATACGCGTTTCCTATCATCTGAATATCCATGTTTGCGCGCCAAGTCGAAAGAATTATTGGCGAAAAATTGTTTACCGAGGGTGAGTCTCTATTTAATAGTACTTTTAATGACGGGGTACCGTCAGGTGCAGTTTTTACCTCAACTTCCGTGCGAGGATGAAGAGTTTTGGGAAAGCCAAATCTACATTCGTCGGCTTTCTTTCGACAAGAAGATCCACTGTAGCATACATGTTGCTGCACTCGGCGAGCTAATCGGGAGATATCGCATGCCCATTCATCTGAATTGCCACATGGCGGTCGCATTGCCAAAATATCAATGCTTGCAGACCGTGACGACTTACAGACGGAGCACTGGCACGAATCTAGGTCATCGAGCGACTTTATCAATACAGAAATATACTTGTCAAGGACATCAGGGGCATCTTTTATTCACAATAGTGCATGAATATGAGGTGAGCCTCTTTGCTGAAACTCAACTCGCCAAAAGAAATCAATAATTTCACCCAGAGGTTGGCTTGGGCCGCGAAGTACGTGGTCGAAAAAAGCTTTAAACCTTCTGTTAAAATGCCTGGCAGCAAAATCAGGGTTTTCGTTAAGGTACTTACGTCGTTCTTTAGACGTTAGATGTGCAGCTCGTTCCATAGTCAATGAAGGATTGCAAGCCCTAAAGAAATCGGGCCATACTGTGTCTGCCGCACTCAACGTTAAGAAAAAAGTTGGCCATCGCGTGGGAAGCAGGTGTCCGAGCAGGTGAAAGCGCGACTGGCTGGCCGAGACGATCAAGAACGACCACCTATCTATAACTACTCTGTGCGATGTGGCGGAGCAAAAACCGCTGGTCCCTCAGAACCGAAGGTTCCTCCAACCCCCCGGTGAAAACCGCTTCTCGGACAATCTATCCTAATCATAGCCATGGGGCTCTCCAGCATGAGCGGGTCGCTGAACTTGATGCAGCTGAGCGCGAACCATGACTGGGCTCCAGTTGTGGGAACGTGGCTTTCTCCTCTTGTGCAGGAAAACTTAATTTCCACCTCGCTTCGCTTGATGGAAATACCGAAGTATGCTGCCTACGTTCTCACCACTTTCAGTGGTACTTTGAATGTCATTCCTATGAGGCGAATTTTAAATGAGGGGCATATGGTTTGTGCTGGCCGTGAAGGGCGTCTCATGAAATAGTTTTCGAAGGGGTATCTCGTTAGGTTTCCCTAAGACAATAATAAAATAAGCACTGATCCAACCTCTTGCAAGTACAGAGCCTCAATCTTAAACAAAAAGCGGCACAAAGACTAAAAGACGCAATACACGTCAACTCGGGGACCTACTGGCCACGAAAGAATTGCTAATGCAAGTGTTGCTAAAGCGCTGAGAAATTAACATTATTCCTGTTGTCCTGTTGCTACCCATTGCCTACGCCTACCGTTATTCGTTTTCAAAAGTACAACTATTTTCAGCGTACTTTTGCGCGGAGGCAAGATTAACCGAGAGTTCCAGGGCTCGGCAACGGTGTAGTAGTGCACTAAAGGAAAATGTCAGGTTATCAAAATCGATCAGCAGAAGATTAGACAGCGGAGGACCGCAAAACCGACCAAGCAATTGATGCAGCTTGCTATACAAAGCATCTACGTCAAAGTACACAACAGTTACAGATAAAGCAAATCGAACAGACTATCAACACTGGCGGATAGCTCCAAGAAAGCACTTCAAACGATGTAAAACCTTCAAAATTTCTCCCATATTCTGACAGTGATCGCCAGGATATAGGAAAAATTCGGAAATTCCCTTATTGGTAGAGGTCTGCGTATGAGGCATGCGTGTGAAGTGTTGATACACAATCTCGATACACTCGCTTACTCCTAGCACTACAGGTCAACTAAATGAAGTTTGACGACAAATTAAATGATTTCTCAGCGTATCAGGCTGTTAAGCTTTCTTGTATGAAAAGGTTTCGATCGGCTCGTGGGGGGGGGGGGGCATCGCGAAATTTTGTGTAGAACACAATATTTAGTGTCGCCCCAAATTAGCAGCGTGCTCAGCTAGTCTAGAGAACTAATGTCTTAATTGGTAGGTTTGTAGCCGAGCGATTTTGGTTTGCTTCAACGGACTTGCATACCGTTTTCAGGCGCACATCCAGCCCAATTCTCTAGTTGGCCATTTTTGGCGCCCCCAATTTTTTTTTGGCTGCCTGATGTACATGTACTGTCGCCGCATCAATTTCACGAGGAAAAATTAGATATAGTGCGAAAGTATGGCATTCCTGGCAGCTTTTTGGGAAGTGGGCGTATTTCAACTTGTGTTCCTGGATATGCATGCATTCGCAGCTCCTTTAGCCCCCCCCCCCCCTGATCTCTTCAGCCATGAACGAGTGTTGATACCCTACGTGTTCTCGCCAAAAAAGGATATGGCGCCAGCCGCTACGGCCAATACGGCTTCCATTAACCACAACAACTCTGGGGGTCAATGAACTCGCTCATCAAAGCAGACGTTGCGACGTAATTGTAGGAATGAGCTCTTATTATTGCGTGTACAGCACACGGTGGGATCGACATCGTCGTTGTTATAGTGTAAAGCGATGCCGAAATCATCACCACTGGAACACTTCAAGGCGGGATCCCGTCAGCATGTTGACCGAGCGAAAAAAATCGGATGGATGTTGCTTGAGCGGTAGATAAATTAGATGTCGCAGGTATATATAATTGATTCGGGAGTATCAAATGTAATAGGTAATTTGTCTTAATCTCAACCGGATGGGTCAACATATCAGCATAAATTGATTAGGGAGCAGGTTATTTAATATAACAGGAATCTCGACTGCATATATGAGCAGCAATACATATCATATTGGTCAGGTATTTGATGCAAGAATAATGGCACCTCAGTGGCATCCACCCATGGACTCTGGATAAAATCCAGAGAACAAGCGGATCATTACTTGAATGAAATCTTCGTTTGCGGTGGGATGGTCCAGAGGAATTTTGCCCAAGAGGACCTTGATTTCCTTGAGAATCTCCATAATATCGAGCATAGAGCCCCAAAAGTGAATCAAGTCGACGACCATAACCGCCACAATGGCTCCTGTCGATGAGGATTTTTTGTGAGATACGGACTTGGTGCAAGCGGCAGCACTCGGTGAGAGTCAGGGCAGAAATCCAGTAGCGCAAGTAGCTCGGGCCTCCAAGCCCTCAGGTTCTCTATCTCATTTCATTCTCAATCCAGCTCTATAGCCCACAAGACTCTCGTTCTACAGATTAAGAGCCTTGCCGAAGCTCCCACTAAGCTATGACGCCGCCCCGACGCTCCCCAAGAATCGCAGTACTGCTGAGCCCCCAACCCCCGGTCCAACAAGCGCGCCTAGTGACGCCCGCCTCGCTGGCAGCGACACCTCGAAGGCGGAGTCTGTCTACTCGACGTGCACCGCCGAGAAGCCGCTCCCGCCAGGGCGCTTCAAGCGCAAGAAGCGGAGACACAACGCAGACTCGTGGGTCACTCCAAGACGGTCAAGATGGGCTACGTGGGCAGACACGCGGAAGCAATGCAGGTCAACAGGAAGGCGATTCCTCCCTGCGTATTGCTGGGCTATCTGTTAAAAGCAGATCTTCCCTGCCCATCCCAGCTCCAGCTGGCCAGAGGGAGCCGATCGGCCACTCTGCACAAGACCACGCCCAGGCCCAGCCGACGGACCCCAGTGGACACCTCAGCGCATGCCAAGATCTGAGTGCGCGCCGCAGTAACGGCCCTCGAATGCAGCCTGCTGCGCGAGCTCCCGTCATGTTCGGCATCGCCGACCATCCAGATTCCGTTCGAGAAACAGTCGTCCCGTCGTGCGCGGACATCGGCGATTTACCGGTCGGAGGCAAGCCGAACCGGAAGAGCATCACTGTCGAGGCATTTTCCGGGTTTGTACCAGTCGGCGCATTTGATTCAGGCGTCCGGTGCTGGTGGAGAAAGTTTGTCAACCAACTGACAGATGCCCAGATTCTGGACGGCCACCGGTGGGCCGACGTGCAAGGCAGAAGCATATTTGCCGCGTCACTCTGGGGAGATGCGGCCGATTGGTTTTCGGAGGTGCGGGCATTTTAACCTGGCCTGACACTCGAGCTGGCTGGGGAACTACTCGTCGAGAAAAACAAGTCGAAACTCCCAGAGCACGAGCTGCTAAACCGGCTGATGATGGAACAAAAGGCTCGAGGCGAAACGTATCAAGCGTACGCGCAGCGGCTGCTCAACATGGCAGATTCGCTCCCTAGCGGTCTCTCCACCGAGGCCAACGCGCGTTATGCGATGCACACCTTCATCAAGAGGGCGTACTACAAGTACTCGGACGAGTAAAAATCATTTGTGGAAAGATTATCTCCGACAACCTCCGCTGTGACCAAGTTACAGCGACTGGTCGATCACTTAGCGTATGTACATGGCCGAGAGCGACGGTCAGTTGCTTCCGAGGCCAGCCACCAGCTCCAAACCTCATGATCAAGGAAGTTTTAAACGGATCAAGCAAGAAGATGGACAGGCGTATCCGCGGCAGAGCCACCCTATGACGAGAACAGTAGTCGAGCACAAGAGGAAACCAGCGTACCGTGCCCGTAACCCAGCCCAAGGTGACCCAAGACAAGCGAATCGCACCAATGCAGCAGCATCAAACAGCGTACGCTGCTTCAACTGTCGCCAAAGTGGCCACATTGCTCGTGATTGTCCGGCCCTTGTCGGCGCAGCGGCACGTTTACATGGAAGTGCGGCCGCCGCGTTGAAAGAAGACAGTGCCTGAAGCAGCGGTGTAACGGGGTAACACGCACAAATGGCTACAGTCGCTTGTTACTCTAACAGATGCGATGTCTGTTAGAGGTTTGAAGACCGCTGCTGCGCCAGAGGTCTTCAACTTCGACGCGCTCGTTCAATTACGAGCGCGCTCTCTTCAACATCACGCATTGACCAAGCCGTCAATGGTGGTTGACGTGCCGGGACCGGCACGTCTAACCTTGACAGGGGGATGGTGTAACGGGGTAACACGCACAAGTGGCTACAGTCACTTGTTACTCTAACAGATGCGATGTCTGTTAGAGGTTTGAACACTTCCTCGACCTTGGTGTAAGGTACCAATGGATACATACATTTACGACCACCACGATGGGTGGTCAATGCACATTTATTATTCCTATTGGCTGAAAGCAGCATCTTTCAGCCAATGAGTGACTTGCATGTTAGCAGAATCCTGCCAACCAGCCGTTGGCAGATTCCTAGCTTAGAATATTACATTTAGAGGAAGTCAGAAACATAAAACAAAAATAGCAGTTCTCATCTTTTACCAAAACACGCTACTTGGAGTCTTTATCTTGTTTAAAGTATACTCGTGGATCTCGAGTATACTTAACTCAAGTAAATAAAACCTACGCTTCCTCATACACGTACGCATACGTGTAAGCCGTAGTAGTGAGCCAAGGTAGGCCCATTACACCTGGTACCACTTTGTAGTCCGTCTAACGACCGACTACCTGAACGTTCGTACGGAGCTGTACGAACGAGGAGCCGAGAACCTTTTCATGAGCGCGGAGGTGCCCATGGAAAGCTCCCCTTCGCGTGCAACATGAGTTGCACGCGCTGACTGCCTTCACCTGTCGGATCCAGAGTGGGAGGCACTCCAACGACTGTCAACAGTTATTGGAGATGCGGCTGTAGCTGCAATGCTGCGCACACTATCGCCGACGGAGCAACACGGTGTTGCTCTGGGATTCATCATGAAGGAGCAGCGTGATGCTGCTTCCTCTATCACGGTGGCGTCGGGGACGACACCGCGCGAGCAATCGTTGAAGCTAAACGTGAGCAACTATGCCGGAAGATAGGGCGGGCCTCTCCTCCGTTGGCTTGTCGAACTCGACACTGCCATCTCGGCTCGACGTATCGTCGACCCGTTGTCCAAGGTTGCGTTCGCCATGTCATGTCTTGGCGGACGAGCGAGAAGTTGGGCGTATGGACGCCGACTTTCTGATCCTACGTGCTTCAGCACGTATGAGGGTTTCAAGGAGGAGCTCAGACAAGCGTTTGCGCCCCCGCAAAATGAGTTTCGGTCGAGGGCAGAGTTCCTCGACCTACAGCAGGGTAAGCATGATATCCATGCTTACACGCAGAGAGCACGGTACTTGGTCTCGAACATTGTGACCGACCCGATAGACGAGGTGACCAAGGTCGTCACGTTCATGAAGGGTCTGAGAGATGGGCCTGTAAAGACCTATCTCTTCCGTGAGTACCCAGGTACTCTCGAAGCTGCGATTACTCTTGCGATACAGGAGGAGTTTAGTCTGAGGCAGGCTAAACTACATGCGAATGCGCCGAGGCTGCAACCGCCTCCGTTCGCGATAGCGGGAGGTCCGGAACCAATGGACCTCTCGAATGCAACGGCTATTGGTTATCAACAGCAACAAGGAAGTAATGTATGATGCTTCCGTTGCGAAAGGATCGGTCACTATGCCCGAGAGTGCACGGCACCCGTGCACCGAGATGGTGGTCGACGTGGCGATGCCGGGCATCGTCGCGGACAAACAAAAAACGCTGGAACCCAGTAGGCGCGGGGCGCCCTACTGGTGAAGCAGTCACGCATGTCCAACTCGGACATGCGACACTGAGGACTGCAGCCCCCAGTGAGGACCCTTCTCACTGCAAAATGCATGATGACAAACCGAACCTTGTCATCTTGAACGTGTCTTCGAAGAGAGAGAGCAACTCTCTTCGTGCTTTGGTTGATTCGGGCGCGTCGAACAACTTTGTTCGACTGCGAAGTCTATCAAGGCTTGACTTCGAGGATTCAAAGATACATCGAAGTATGCTGGAGGTACGACTGGCAACGGGTGCCGTCGTGAAGACCGAGAAGCGCATGGTACGCGTGCGCTTCACGTATGAAGATCAAGAGTTTGTCGAGACCTTTATCGTCCTGGATCTGGAAGATAAGTTTGACATTGTATTGGGCATGCCGTGGTTTGCACGGCATGATCCGGTCATCGATTGGGAGAAGCGCACTCTCGTGCGCTTCGGTCGCGACAGCGGAACAGTGAGCGATGGCCCTGTTGCCGCTACGCACGCACCAAACAGGTGCGCGCGACTCCCACTCGAGACAGCGCCTAATGCCGCTGTCCCGGAGCGCCCTGGGCGCGCACGAGCACGCGCGGAAGAGCAGCAAGCGTCGGCTTCGCCGCCGACGGCTGAAGGAGAGAATGTGTTGATCTCGGAGATCGACACCCGCTTTTCAGCGAATCAGGAAGAGTCTCCGACCTCAAGGGGCACGGATGACGCAGGTGAGTCACACGCCTCAGCCGTGGAGGCCGACGCGAATCTGATTGGATCAGTTTTGGCCAATAACAAAAGCCAAGTTGACGAAACGCCGTCGACTCCGGGAGTCGATGGCTTGGGTGAATTTGATTCGTCGGCTCGGGGAGCCGACGCACCCTACGTAATGGGGGTCTCCGCCAATGGTTGGCGTCGAGGTACTAAAGTCGCGAAGGTTCCGAGAACCGGCGCTGCGAAAAGAAGTTTCGCGTCGACTCCCGGAGTCGACGCACCCTTTGTAACCAAGGGCTCCGCTAATAACAGGCGTCGAGGTGAAGATGGCGTGTCGGCTCCGGGAGCCGACGCTGCAGGCGGTGCGGACGGTTGCAAACGTTCCGCACCGGAAAAACTTGCATGCTGTCGTGCAGCCGGGCTGCACGACGAAGCGCCTGGCGACCAAGCCGGGCTTGAAGCCGCTCGCCCGCGGGATGAACCCACCGGCGGTACTGAAGAAGAACACCCGTCCACGGCTGGGCCTGGACGAGGTCAAAAGTCATGCGGAGCCGGGCTCCGCAGGACAAGAAGACGGCGCATGCGAAGGTCGCTACAAGGAATGTCTGCCGGGCAGACGGAGGCTGAGAAGCCGGACGTCGAGACGTTGAACGTCTTGACGCGTACCTGTGCCGGGTTCCGGTACAGGGAGATGACTCTCGCTAACCCTCCGACGCAAGCGTCGGAGTTGACTTCGCTTACAGTCATGAGCTGGAAGCGCTTCGCGCGTGACTTGCACGATGGACGCATCGAGTACATATGCATTCTCTCGGACGCCGAGAGAACGAAGAGCGAGAATGAAGAACTGAGGCAGTTCTTCATGGAGAGCACCACTGAGAGCGAGGACACTCTCAGTGCGAAGACTAAGAAGGAGCGCTTTGAGAAGCAGAGCTGGGACTCGCTGAAGTCGAGTCCCTTCTACAAGATTCTACGGAGGCATGCGGACGTGCTTCATGAAGAGATCCCTGCGGAACTTCCGCAGGACAAGGACATCCAGCACGAGATTGATCTCGTGCCGGGGACGAAGTACTGTGTCACGCGGCAGTGGCCACTGCCGCGAGAACAGGTCAAGGCGATCGACGACTTCTTTGAGAGTCGTCGCAAAGCTGGACAAGTGCGGGAATCGAAATCCCCGCACAGTGCTCCGACGTTCTGTGTCAAGAAGCCACAGGCGGCTGGCGCATCGTTCATGCGTACAACAAGCTGAACGACGCGACGATACCGGCGCAGACACCTATACCGCGAAAAGATGTAATCATCGATTCGATGGCCAGGAGCACTATCTACAGTGCTCTTGAGCTACGCGATGGGTTCTATCAGATCCTCATGCGTGAGAGCGATATCCCTCTCACGGCTGTGAGTACGCCGAGCGGCATGCTCTGGGAGTGGCTAGTGATGCCACAGGGTCTGATGAACGCCCCTGCGACCTTCAACAGGTGCGTGACGCACTTGTTGCGCTCGGTGCGCGACTTCGCACCGAGCTACTTCGACGATGTGTTCGTCCACAGCCGGGCTGCGGACGGGAGGAGCGATGTTGAGATGCACAAGGTGCATCTCCGGAAGCTGCTTGCGCTCATGCGCAAGCACAAGCTCTATGCGAACCTGAAGAAGTGCATCTTCGGGGCGAGCGAGATACCCGTGCTCGGGTGTCTCGTCGGGAAGAACGGCTTCCGCCCTGACCCTGAGAAGGTCAGAGTGGCCGACGCCGTCGAGCGTCAAGGAACTGCGGCAGTTCCTTGGCTTGGCCACGTACTTGTGCAAGTACGTGAAGGACTACGCGGGCATGATACGCCCGCTGTCACAGCTCCTGAAGAAGGACGCCGAGTGGGTTTGGACTGCTGAGTGTCAGCCGGCCTTCGATGCAGTCAAGCGAGGCTTGACTGAGGCGCCGATCTTGGCGGTAGCCGACCAAGATCGCCCATTCCACGTTGTGTGTGACGCATCCGACTTCGCAATCGGATGTGCGTTGATGCAGCACGATCACGAGGGCCGTGATCGTGTCGTCTACTACCAATCGCGTCAGCTGAAGCGGCTGAGCGCAACTACCGGGTACATGACAAGGAACTCCTTGCCATGAAGTACGCACTCGCGAAGTTCCGAGTGTATCTACTCGGAAGCAAACCGTTCGTGGTCTATACGGACCACGCGTCGCTGCGGACGGCTGTGAAGTCGCCGCACATCTCGCAACGGATGGCGAGATGGCTCTCATTCTTCGCAGAGTATAACTTCCGGGTTGAGTACAAACCCGGAAGACTCAATGTGGTGGCCGACGCGCTCTCGCGTCGACCTGACTACGCCACGACAGATGCCGACGTCGATGCCATTGACGCCATGCGATCGAGCACCCCAACGTCGTCACTGTTGGACCACGTGAAGGTCGCGTACGCGCACGACGCGGACGCGAAGCTCTTGCTGGCCTACGGCTCAGCGCCTTCTGACAAAGCTCGTCAGAAGTTGCCGAAGCATCTTCGTGCTCGTGCACACCGTTATCGGGTGCACGACGGGTTATTGCTCTACAGTGCAGTCGACGACAACGCGGACCGCGTTGTCGTGCCCAATGACCATGACCTGCGACTCAGGATCATGTACGAGTATCACGATGCACCGACTGCGGGGCATCAGGGCCGTGAATACCTTCTTCTCACGCGAGACTTCTACTGGGCCCACCAGTATAAATGCGTGCGCCAGTTAGTCCGTGCTTGCGAGGTTTGTCAACGTGTGAAGTCTGCGTCTTTCGCGCAGGCTCCCTTGCAGTCACTGCCGACTCCGTTGGAGTGTTGGCCGTCCATGTCTTTGGACTTCGTGTTCGGTCTGACCCGCGCTTCACTGCGCATCTCTGGCAAGAATCCGCAGATGGACGGGCAGACCGAGCGCGTGAACCGCGTGCTCGTTGACGTTCTTAAGAGCTACGCTCACTCGTTCCAACACTGGAGCGAGTGTCTGCCGATGGCGGAGTTCGCCATCAACAACTCGGTGCATGCCTCGACTGGGCATACACCGTTCTACGTGAATGCCATGAGGCACCCACGCCTCCGGAGTCTACACGGGATGGTGGCTCCTTCCTTAAGTGGGGGAGCATCTCCGACTGCAACGCGGCAGCCGCAGAATGCCGCTGACACTTGCACAGTGTCAGCCGCAACGACACGAAGTAAAGCCGAGAACTGCGCGTCTGTGCAGGGCACAGACGCCGACAAGCGCACGAAGAACGTGTCTGTGCGAGGCACAGACACCAAGAAGAAGAAGAAGAACGGGTCTGTGCAGGGCACAGACTCCGCGAAGACGAACGCGGTGGCCGGGCCTACTGCTGGAAACGAGCTGAACTCGTTCAGCTCGGACGCAATCAACTTCGTGCAGCGCAGACAAGCCGTCATTCGGTTTGTCCAAGACGCTATTGCAGCTTCTGTTGATCGACAGAAGCTGAACGCAGACAACGTTGGCAGGGGCAACACAAATGATTTCAAGAAGGTTTCATTGGTTTTGTTAGCTACTCAAAACCTGCCTAAACATGCCGTTTTCGACTTCGGGGCGAGCAAGCTCGCTCCGATCTTCATCGGGCCGTTCACTGTGCTGGTACGGCACGGAAACGCCTACACACTGGACAAACCGTCTAGTATGCGCCCCCATCTGACGTTCAACGTTGGACGGCTGAAGCCATACCTGCAGTACGAGCTACCTAGCTCGGCTGAACCGAAGCAGAAGACTCGGCGGAAGCCATCATCCTCGCCAGCGCGAAGTCGCGCTGGAGCAGCGGGTCGAGCTAATATTCCAGCTCGGCCGGAACGATCGAGGCGGCCTGGGAGGCCGTCGCAACCTGAAGATACTTCAGAGCGCCGAACCCAGCGCTCTGGTACTACTCCACGACCGGAACTCGGTCGTGGGGAGACGCGAGATCAGGGTCAACACCAAGTTGACCACACACGAGGCGTGTTTCCACCACCACCGCCGCCAATTCGTGACGCACACGAGTTGAGCGGACTGTTGGTCACAGTATCCCGAGAACGAACAGACAACCGGTTGGTTTTCGTATCCGTTGGAGAGGATTCCCTTCCAACCAAGATACATGGGAGCCGCGGAACGTCTTGCTCGAAGACGTCCCGGACATGGTGAGGGCGTACGAAGCCCACCTTGCGCTACACGCTGGAAAGTAATACGAGCGCTGTTGTTAACAACATCGCCCGAAGGCACTTCAAGGGCAGGCAGTGGGTCCTGCCCCCGCGGCAGCGACGCGCTTTGCACGTTGCCGCGCATGCTAGTCAGCAGCAGAGAGGTTTTCCGCTGCTGCGCCAGAGGTCTTCAACTTCGACGCGCTCATTCCATTACGAGCGCGCTCTCTTCAACGTCACGCATTGACCAAGCCGTCAATGGTGGTTGACGTGCCGGGACCGGCACGTCTAACCTTGACAGGGGGATGGTGTAACGGGGTAACACGCACAAGTGGCTACAGTCACTTGTTACTCTAACAGATGCGATGTCTGTTAGAGGTTTGAACACTTCCTCGACCTTGGTGTAAGGTACCAATGGATACATACATTTACGACCACCACGATGGGTGGTCAATGCACATTTATTATTCCTATTGGCTGAAAGCAGCATCTTTCAGCCAATGAGTGACTTGCATGTTAGCAGAATCCTGCCAACCAGCCGTTGGCAGATTCCTAGCTTAGAATATTACATTTAGAGGAAGTCAGAAACATAAAACAAAAATAGCAGTTCTCATCTTTTACCAAAACACGCTACTTGGAGTCTTTATCTTGTTTAAAGTATACTCGTGGATCTCGAGTATACTTAACTCAAGTAAATAAAACCTACGCTTCCTCATACACGTACGCATACGTGTAAGCCGTAGTAGTGAGCCAAGGTACCCCCATTACAAGCGGCGTCAAGTGGACGCGGTCATCATTGACTCGGGCGCGTCGTTCCGCTTGACGGGCCAACTAAAAGACATGGCCCACCTGCGCGCACTCGACCCTCCCGTGAAGGTCAAGGTGACAGATGGACGCGTCATTCGCATCACAACGGTCGGTAAACTAAAAATCTCGGTGATGGCCGAGCACGGTTCCCAGCGCGAGCGCAATGATGTCACCATCAACAAGGTGTATCACGTCCCAACGCTATCGGTCACGCTGCTCTCCGTGTCGCAATTGGTCCACTCCGGTCACGTGGTCCGGTTCGAGAACAATTCCTGGTCGGTATTGCGCGGCCAAAAGCGCCCCAGTCTTTTTCGAGCCCTTGAGGTTAATGGAGTGTACGAGGTGGTCACACAGGAATCCACAGTACGGCCCAGCGAGCCTGGACAAGCTCTTCTTTCTGCCCTACGCACCAGCGTGTCGCTATCGACGTGGCATAGGCGTTTGGGGCACCTCAACGTAGCAGATTGCAAACACTTGACCTCCAGTCCTGCCGTTCGAGGAGTGGTCATATCGCAACACGAGGGTTTACCGGCCTGTCAAGCATGCGCACTCGCAAATGACGACAGCCCCAGCGCCCAAGCAACGAAGCAGCAGTGACGAAGTCGCCGCAGGTGTGTGCCACATGGACCTCAGTGGGCCGGTCAAAAGGTCCTATCACGGCAACGTGACTACATACACGTCTACGGTCTACATCACAAGAGCGAAGCGAGTGAACGTGCACAAGAGTTCCTGAAGTTCGTCGCAAGATAAACCAACGTTCCAGCCAACAGCAATAAGACGGTGCGTACGGACGGCGGCACAGATTTCATGAACGCCAACTGTCGTAAGCTGGTTGCTTCGGAAGGTCTGCGGCACCAGCACACGACCCGGTACAGAAGCAGCCAGAATGGTGTCGCCGAACGCGCCATCAGGACGCTAACCGAAATGGCTGCAGCCGTGCTCATTGACTGTAGTCTCCCGCACTACTTGTGGGAAGACGCGTTGCGTCATGCTGCGTACATTCGCAACCGGATCCCCAAGCGCGATGCTGACATGACCCCGCACGAGTGCCTACTAGGGACGAAACCACCCCTGGCAGGTCTTCCCATTTTTGGACAGACCCTGATGGTGAGAACACCAGACCCGGTTCGGCAGAAGAAGGTCCGCTTCGCTGGTCGCGGCAAGCTAGGCGCATTCGTCGGATTTACGGACGTCATACGCGGCTACAGGGTGTACATCCCCGGCGAAGGCCGCCCGATCAAGGGGCCGACGGACGTGCTGTTGCTCGACACTATGCTGGTTGATGAAATACTGCTGGAAGTCGAGCAGGATGATCCGTCCAGTGAAGACGAAGCCAGCGACAAAGCTCCCAGCTCGAACGCCCGGCTACACCAAGCAGCAGAGGCAACCGATCGACTTCAAGACAGAAGTCTATCCCCCGATGTGGTCGCGCAAATTAACGGCACGTCGGCTCTGACTCGGCGCAGACGCTCGGAGCGAATCTCAACCCGAGAGATAAATGCGGCATTCTTGTACCTAGTCGAGATCATTCGCGAGCCCTTTTCGATTGCCGAAGCTCGGCGATCACCTCAGTGGCCGTTTTGGGAACGAGCAATTCGCCAAGAAATTCAAGCCCTCAAGTCCAATGCAACTTTCGTCCTCGTCGACCCGCCCCCAGGTGCGCATGTGCTTGATAATACCGTACAGCTCCGGATCCAGACGGGTCCGACAGGAGCCATCGTGCAATACAAGGCGAGAGTGTGGACAGAAAATCGGTGTCCGGTTTCGTGATCTTCCTGTACGGCACACCCATCGCGTGGGCATCGACGAAGCAGACTGTGGCGCCCAATCGAGCACCGCAGCAGAATTCATCGCGGCCAATGAAGGTCTTCAGCAGGCCGAGTGGGTGAAGCTCGTACTCGACGAAATTCTCAAGGACTACTAGCACCCGATCAAGCTCACTCAGCAGATTGACAGCGTTCCGGCGATACACCGAATCAAGCGTGAAGAATCTGCCAATGCCCCGAAAGCAGTTGACATACGATTTCATGCGGTCAAAGACGCGTGGTCTACGGGCCACGTGGCTCTTGAGTATGTTCCAACTGGCGAAAATCCCGCTGACTTGCTGACCAAGTCTCTCTCCACTCCTCGACTCGGTCACAAGCGAAGCCTGTGCGGCTGGTATAATGGCGCTCGGGTGACGTTCCGAGTCGCTGCGCTTGTGAGATACGGGCTTGGTGCAAGCGGCAGCACTCGGTGAGAGTCAGGGCAGAAATACAGTAGCGCAAGTAGCTCGGGCCTCCAAGCCCTCAGGTTCTCTATCTCATTTCATTCTCAATCCAGCTCTATAGCCCACAAGACTCTCATTCTACATTTTTGAATGGCATTTGCAACGTAGAGTGCGTTGAAAATCTCGACATTGAAGATGACCTCCTGGGGCGTTGGGTTGTCACGATCCGCAAGCGCGCGGCTGATCCAGTTCTTGGTCATTATTTTGATGGCGGGTAAGATGACAACAAAAAGGGATCGGAACGCCGCTTAGAGACGCGAAGGCATACATGTACAGTGGGTAGATCAACGTGACAAGCCAGAAAGGTGCTTTGCCGCTTCACCTCCTCGCGCAGCAACGGATCTGCTCGCCATCGAGACCCCCACGTGTAGGTACAGCAGGCGAAATTAAGCCTGTGGTCAGTTGAGACGAAAGCAGCATACAGGAAACACGAATACTGTGGCGAGGGTCAAATACACCATAGCTGTTGCAATCTCTGATACCAGGCCTATTACAGCAGCTTGTTGAACCTTCATCTCGAGACGGGGTACCATTTGACCCATTTGGAGGGTCATTGATCCTACTACTCCACCCGAGACGACCAACATGCGGACAAAGAATACCCAGTTCAGACAAACCCCGTCTTCAGGAGACGGAAGTGGTGCGGACTCCACCACTAGAGCTAATGCTAGACAGGGCACCGGGGTCACCACACAAACCAACAGTATGCGCCGAAAACTAGTGTGCGTCGAGTAGCGCTAAAGCCTGCGCCCGATCGACTGAGTACCGCCCTTGAAACTCAACTTGTACCGAGATCCAGGCAGACCATAGACGTTGACGAAGGCTTGGGGCGAAGCTTGAGATCCGATCAGTTGACATTAACACTATGTGAGGTTCTACGGTAGGTAGAAGGCAAACTCCGGGGATTATTTTTAACCCTTTCGCGTTAAAATGATACAGAAAGCGCCCTTTAGATGATTTTCCAAAAGACGGTAGAGTGTACCCCCTCTTAAAGGGCGCCTCCTGTGCCCTTTTGCACAAGTTCAAGCTAGTAATCAACCTTCTTTTAAAACAAATGATAATCGGTACGCAGAGTAATCATCATGTAATCATTGTCGATACAAGTTCTAAGTCATACGCATACATTCTATGTATCCTGCAAATCACCGTAGATGAGATGTCCCATGAGACAAACCAAAAAGGTTCCGTAACTTTGTACAAGGACGCCTAGAGCGCCCTTTTAGAAGGAAATATCAATGAGTTGTATACTATAACTTTTCAAGGATACTCGCGAAAGGGTTAACTCGTGGTGGCTCAACTCCACCCCAACTTTAGAGATGACCATTTCAATTCCTCGCCTTGATACACTGCATTAGGACCTTGTTTTTTTCATGGACCCACGCAGCGCCTAGTGTCGCCACCAGAATATACACAAGAAGTTGTTAGATGAACAATTGAGAGTTCTGTGTTAAACAAAAATACTCACCGTGATGTGTTAGCATCACGTACATGAACAGCGTGCTGAGTCTAAGCTGAACCATCGGTGCTTGTGTTTCCAACACGAAAGCGAGTTGCCGTAGAGTTGAGAACCCCAACATTCGCTTAAGCAAGGCGAGGGCCATGACAAGCGAAAGAAATTCGAGCGAGCTGTACACCAGTACATTCGTGACGGATGAAAGGAGATCTGCAGTGAAGATTTGTGCGAGCGCGGGGTAGTAGGTTGTGCATGTTGAAGAGTATAGCATTATGCAGGTCTTTTAGTATGGCATTTGCTAGTCAATGGTAGTCTTGTGAGTTGAGTGCCAAGTATTCGGTAATGAGAAGAACTCGTGTGCTTGACGAATGAACTAGTCGCGCTCTTGCCGAGAAAAAAAATATGTTCCAGTCCAAGGGTAGTACCGGGGATTATCAATGATAAGGAGTTTATTAATAATGTCATGATAACTTATCATGCCATTAACATCCTTTCCCACTGTCTCGTCAGGGCTGACCCGGATTTTGTCCGCCGGCGCTGTGGTGGCCGAAAAGGAAAAAACTATCGCTTTCTTAGTAGATGACATGAACCGATTTTCAGAAGGAACCACGCCCTTAACTACCAGGTCGGAGTCACGCCGTGAATTCGACCCCTTGCTCGCCATATTGCGCGAGCTCACCCACGCTTCTATCTGCGATTCCCACTGCACCTTTCGCGTAGCTGTGGAGCTGGTCTTGCGCGACATTATTAGCATCGATTCAATTTCCATGAGGCGCAATCGCTACGTGAATAAAATTCTCCTTTGCGACGGGATGACCACAAGAAATCTTAGCCAGGAGCGCTTTCCATTCCTTGAAAACTTTCGCTAAATCCAGCACGGACAGCCAAAAGTGTGCAAAATCAAGAAGTCCTTGACAAGGACCATAATCGCAGCAGTGGTTTTCCAGGAAGAAGAACTGTGGAGAGCATTCGACACCTACAGTGCGTTGAAAACTTCCACAATGAAGATGACGCTTTCAGGTTTTAGATCGTTAGTTTACGACTGGTCCGAGTTTTGGCAGTTATCTGAATCACAGGCAAAATCATGACGAACATGGCTTGATGAACTCCGCTTAAAGACATGAATCCGTGTATGTAGATTGAGTAGAGTAGATGTGTAGATCGAGTAGATGAGAGTAAGGGTCACCTGGCGATAAAATACCGACAGTTGGTGCTTAATATCGTTCCACAGCAGCAAGTCTTCTCTCCACTTCCCCGAACTGTATACGACGCATGCTTGAATAATGATAACATCGGGAAACGCGGTCACAAGAATCCTGAACGGTAGCGCAAAGACGGTGCGCATGCCTACCAGAAAGTCTAATGCTATTGAAACACACGCTGTTAGCAGGGCAAAGACCGGAACTCAGATGGTGGAGAGCTTCAATAGCGGCGCATTTGCACCAAATTGCTGCCATTTATGAAAGTGAGCACTAGCCACGAGCGAACGGAAAAATGTTTTGTTGTTAACCCCTCCGTCACGAGGCCCGGATTCCTATGCAGGAACTATTTTTTCAGAAAGCCTTTACTTGAAATTTGTATAGATGAAAAAGTACAGGAACCATATCTCAACCGTATCTCGGAACAAAGTCGATTCACCTGCCCAGCTTATGGGGCCACATGCTGCTTATCAAGCGTTGTTTATTAAATCCGTAGAGCCCATGCTTGATATGACGGGTATGGAAATGGCCCTTTTACTGGAAGTGAGTTTTCTTTGCTGCTAGACGCGTGTAAAACGACTACGAATGCGAAATTGTGTCTTGAACTAGAAAACGAAATGAGTGAAAAACGTGTGAAGCAAGCGCTACTGATCGATTACTCACGTAGTTACATTTCTACTAACCTACTCCAATGCGGCACTATCTTCGGACTCAACTCTGGCACCTTCCTATTTATTCTCCCACCTTGGCAGTACGGGCTGCTTTCTCGCTAACACCTTCCTCCTCGTGGTCGCTGTCATCCCCCTCCTCGTCGCTGATGTCATCGATCTCCTCATTACCAGCGCCGCTGTCATTGTCGCAGCCGTCCTCCACGATCCTGCCGTCTATGCGCTTTCCATCTTGCGTCAGTGAGGTCCGTCCTGGAAAACAAATATTCACATATATACTATTTGAGCAAGGTGGAAGCAATATCCAAAGCGATGCGTACCGTTTTAGTGCGTACTGCAGTTCCGACGGCGGAGGGCTGCGCATTCAGCATTTCAGCGGGCCCGGCATGATCAGCCAGTGCTTCACTATTCCTCCTGCACGCCTCCCTGTTGACAGCCATCTTGTCCAGTCCATCGACGAAGATCTTGTAATACTTGCGGAAACAATGTAGCATCTGCGGCGAGATAAGTTGTCGGCGTTGGGGATAATGCACGCCGCCGTCTTCTATCCAGCGGTAGTACACCTGCTTTGCTGCGGGGCAGAGGATAGTTCTCGCTTGATCTTATGTTTATAGAGGTCGCTGATCTAAATAGCATACATACAGCATGTAGTTAGCGCTAGTATGAATGATATCGCGAGCATCAGCACGTACCATGGCTCGACATGGTTGTGCTAGTTCCGCAGTCAAATGTGTGTACAATGCCGTTGGAGTCTGCTACGGGCGCCGTCCCAAGCATCGTTGGTTTCTTGGTCAATCTATCGTCCTGCGCCCCTTTCTGCTGGTGCCATGGAGCTGAGCTTCTGGGTGTAAGCAGCGGCATTATCGACGGCCTGACCAGAGTTTGCGGCGTCAGCGGATCGACATTGTTCTTCTCCCAACCTCGGAGCCGCTGCACGCGTCCTTGGTATACTCCTGATGCTTGTGATCTAAACTATAACGCTCCTCACCAGCTTTGAGTTCGAGTCGCAGTACGAGTTCCTTAGCATCGCGCTCCGCCACGCGGTGCGGCAACCGCACCTTGCCTTGGATTGTCGTTTTGGAGACTAGCCATCGCTCTTTACTGGCGGGAAGGGCATGTACTGGCCACGGTAAGAGGTGATTTCATTGAACTTTTTTTTCTGCAATTAGCAACCCAAGCCCTGTGCATCGAGTACCAAATTGGACCAATCAACCCGTTTATGGGCTTTTCACATGCTTGATATCATGCATGTGGGAACATATGACCGCCATTAGGTAATTTTTACATGCTGCTTATATCAAGCCTTAGTGACGGGGGGGGGGGGGGGTTAAAGACCCCAGCATCTGGTGGGCTCAGAGGCAGCAACTGCCAGACTTGGTACTGGAGTCAGCAACAGGATGGCAGTAAAACTCCACCGCTCTAGCTTTCCTTAGCTGTGTGGGTGCCCTTCCCCGTTCCGTTCAGCGTGCTCGTGGTGTCTCCTCCTAGTACTTTTGTGGTTCTGTTCGGATTCAAGTATGCGTGGGGGCTTCGGTGGACTCTGGATGCTGGACTGCGATGTGACCTCGTGCGGCATAGTTTTATTAGCATGGATTTTCGATTTCCACGAGTCGTATTGCTACGTAAACGAAAATTTATTTTACAATAGCGTCCCCACGACGCATCGTAGTAGTAACGCGAGTTTTCACTTTTCACTGCTCTCAGGACCTCAAGGACCGTACAGCCAGCATGGGCAGCCAAAAAGGAGCGAAATGAATAGCCACAATCGCAGCAGTCGTCTTCCAAGAAGGGGAATTGTAGAGAGCATTCGACACATGCAGCGCATTGACACCCCTTGTAGATGAAGAAGACGCTTTCAGGTTTGAGGTCGTGGTTTCTAAGTTCACGACTGACCCAATGCTTGGCAGTTACTAGGAGTAACCAACAAGAGCATGCCAAACATAGCTTAGTGAACTCCAGTAAGGAACACAAATCGGTGAATCTTAATCAAGTAGGTATGCAGTGGAAGGACTAGCTACTGCCGATTAATATCATTTTCGTGTTTGGTTAAAACAAATTAGGTAGTCGTGAGACGATTGCATGGGCGTAGGCTGCGACGCACTACACAGCGGGCAGCTCTGGGTTTGACCTAGAGCAACAACACTAATCGGCCACCATCACCGCGACCACCGCCGCTGACTGCACAAAGAAAGGCGCCAACAAGGCCGACGCTCCGGACGCTCCCGTCGTTGTGGTCGTTGTGGTGGTCGACTTTCCACCGGTGTACAGCTTCACCCCGCCGAGGTATGTATTGATCTGGTCACTTGAGGTGGTACCCGACGCTTCCGGGTGCAGCGTAGTACAGGTCGTGTCGAGATACATGGCGAAGGTGGCCGAGCCGTCGGAGTTCACGGAGCCCTTCACAGCTCTCGAGCTTTCTGGGATCGCGTAGCATTTGTCGTCAACCAAGACAGCGACCACCGAGCTGACAGTTCCGCAAGTGGTGTCCTCGTCGTACAGCCTCAAGAGGAGGTACGGCGACTCGCTAAACACGCTGTCCGCAAAGTCGATATAACTGTCGGTGCAAGCAGCTAATTTTCTGTAGCCGTCTCCGATGGTGCACGTGTCGAGGGGGTAGTCACTGCAAGAACTCTCCACATCGAATCCAACGAGTGTCGCTGTACTTTGCAAGCCTGGTCGGAGAACACCTTCAGCGCCGGGCCAGCTATCGCATCGGCATGATGCACAACCGCTAGCGAAAGCGCCGCAACCGCAGCGAAATTCGGTGCAACGAGCTTCATGGTGAGTTGGGGGAGGGTGGGAGGTGGTGTCGAGGGGTGTTCTGGTCAGTTTCGGCAAAAAAAAAGCGAGGGTACCAGGGCATGCCTGGGCTTCAGCGGGGAGCTCGAACAATGCCGTACTCAGCATAGCGATCCACAGTGAACTACGGGGCACAAGTCTCGCCTGGGCGTGAACGCAGTGGAAACCGACAAGATGCGCCCGCCAGAGAGGAGGCATGCTCCGAGACGACACTATAATAGCTCCTGCACTGTTCATAAGCGCGAGTTGCACTATTCATATGACAACCGAGCACGCGAGACTTTGTGAGCTAAAATTACCAATGATTCATTGGTAATTTACGAAACCGTCTCGAACCTGGTATCATTGCCAATGAACCAGGTTCGTGACGGTTTCGTGGTTTGGTTCGAAGTGGTTTGGACCGATAGAAACGCAGCAAACGAAATGAACCTCGATGCTGTGGTTGATCAAAATTTAGCGATTTGAAACCGCGCTGGTGCGGCTTTTGTCGATACATATATCCCGCCTTGTTAGTCTATGAGCCTAGAGAGATAAACCTCGCCTTGAAATCCCAAAGCTATGTACCCGAGGGTCTGCTTAATTAAGTAAATTCGGCAGAGTTCAATGTGAGGTTCCATATTTGCCCACGCGCTGCCCATAGAAGATGAGTTACTCCGTAATTGATTGGTTTTAGCATGCATAATCCTGGTAGTTCAATGTGGTACACGTCGTAAGGACAGCCCAATTGGATGGTTTCCTGAGCGCATAGGACCTCGCAGAGGTTTCAGGAGCAGTTAGGAAACCCTCGGTTTCTCAATCGCGAGGTGCAGCCTAGATCTAGCATAGCTCATTCTTAGATTTTCTCGTTAGCTTACACACCGCACCTCGCCCCGAAGAACTACAACACGTCAATTTTCCCCATACACTGAGAGATTGCTGGAAATAGAGATTCCATTTTGATCCCACTATACAAAAGGATAGGATAAAACGTGTCGTGAAGCTTCCCGTTCACTAATATTATCTGAGCAACGTCTTCAAGAAATACATATTTGAGGATGTGAGTTACGGACATCCCACATGGGTCCGCTCGATCTCGAAAGAGGGTTTTCTTGTCGCTTTCTAACGCGCGCTTTTGAGCGAGACCATGAGCTGTCTGCGTGCAATACTGTAAATAGAAGGTTACCCAAGAGGCCAAGTAAGCAGCAGTGCTAATTGAGAGGGAGCAGCCATTTTACAAGTAGCTCTCCAGTGCCAGTGCTTCAAACAGCCCCGATCGACGCCTACGAAGACTCAAGCATGCGCCCCTACTCCACCGTACTCGCAGCCGTTGCCGTCCTCTAGGCCAGCGGTCCAACTCCTGCCGCTGTTGTTGCTGCGCCGGCGATAGCCGCAACAGCGGTGGCAACTTCTTCTGCCGAGGGCTCCGACTCAGCAGCGGTGCGTGATAGCGACCAGAGCAGACCGACGGACGGTGAGGACGCGTTTTCCAAGTCGGCGGCGTCTAGCCAAGGCTGGGGCGCTGCAGAGGCCCTCCTCGGCTCAGACATGATGTCCAAGTTGAAGCAGCTCATGGAGAGTGAGAAGGCCAAGAAAGCTCAGTCAGCCGCGACTTCGTAAGACCATGTAATGCGGGGGTCGATGACATGGACGACCACCGGTGGTCCACCACATGTGTATGTCAGGGGAAGGTCTACTATACTGAAACTAGGTTGTTTTGGTATCGTTTATGATTGTTCCTGTTGGAAAGGCGCACAGTACCCCTACACCTAGGTGAGTGCTGCTTCGCCTATCGTGTATCGCCACTTTATACAAGAGCAAAGATCAATAAATATACACCTTATGCGTATTAAACAGTATGATGTGCATGCACGCACGTACAAGAGACACGAACAAGGTGAGCAGAGTCAAGCAACGGGTGAAACATAACGGAACCAACACAACAGATGCAATCAAGTTCAATGTCGTGTTTATGCAGGTATACAAAACGTAAGTGAAAATGGACGGATGCAAAGACCCGATCAGTCAATCATCACAGTATCCGGGGCGACGCGAGCTCGCTTCTGTGGACTCATCACCGGACGACTGGACACTTTCACAATTGCCCTTCTCCTCATTCGCGTTCCCGGCGTACGCGCGCTGATCTTCCGCTTCCCTGTCTTCTTGGGCAGCAGTGTGCCGTTCCGCCAGACCTTGTGCCAGATGCCGAAGCATGACATTGCAGACCCGTTGTACGTGTGCCGCACCTTCTCGCAGAGGAACACCCGCCATGCCATGGGCCTTTTGGACGTGTTGGGCAGCTTGTACTCGCTGTAATACACGGATGAATCGCCTCCCCGAGCATTGTCGGTACCTTTGAGTAGCGAGCAGACTTTGCAGGCTCGCGTACGTCACTTCCGCCCCTGCTGGTTGTTCCCCGCGCGCCATTCGTCGTTCTGTACAGGCTGGTGTGGTGCTTGCGTCTTGCTACGCTGTCGCGGCTAGGACGGCATCGCCTGGAAACGCTCGTTGCTCTGTACCGCCTCCCAGCCTTCCTCACGGAGCTGACAAAGCTCCAAATGGAGTTGGTTCAACAACTTGACGTGGTTAAGCTTCGGGAGATTGCTGGCTGCACGTCAAGTGTTGAAGACAATGAATGCGTTGATAATAGTGAGATCGACGAGCCCGAGATACAGGGACTTGTAGGACTTCTTGTACTTGATGCGCAGCTGCAGCGAATACCTACATCATGTAGCATACATGATTAGATACAACCATAACCTGTATATACAAGATACGATAACTTCACCTTTGGAGACGTAGTTGGCCATGTACGTCCACGCCGCCCATGTAGGTCTGGTAGGCCTTGACGATGCGCGGACATGTCACTTCCTGCTGCTCGCCAGTCATCTTGTCACGACGTACTATTCGGTCCATGGCAACACTTCCGCCGGTGCTCAACATGTGCACGACTCGGGTGTCCCCCAAACGCAAGACTCTCAATACCAGGAATGTATAACGCGTCAGCAACAATGTACGTGCCTCTCTCGATACTGGCCGGACGATTCTTCGGTATTTTGGCGGCTTCTTTTTGTCTCCCTATATCTTGTTTGGGATAAGCTTCGTGCTCAGCCCCAGCCGGTCGGTCCGGGCGGTGACAATGGAGTAGAACCCCATCGTGACCAGGAACCGTAGAGTAAAATCTATCCGTGACGACAAGGCGCATCGCTCCATCCGCAGGAGGTGAGGACCAAACACTTATCGTAAGCTGCGCACGACAGCCGCCGGGCCGGCCTTGCAGTCTGTGGAGCTGGACGCACCACCAGTCTCAATCATAGTAATGTGTTAGTCTGTAGGATACACGAGAAGATATTTTAGGCGCCAAAAAAAACACGGGCGCGCTTGAGGCACGCCCATCACCTACCGGATGCAGTACGCCGACTTCGAGCAACAAAGCATGAAAAGCTTCGTCCCCCATTTGTGGCGTTTATCCTTCATGTAAACCATCATGCGGTTGAACGTAGATCGCGATGGCAACACAGCTTCGTCAAAATCCATGACCTCAGGAGGAACGGAGCCGGCAGAAAAACGGTCTTGAAGTGCATCGATGACCGGGCGTAGCTTCCAGACTCTGTCGCTCGCGGCACGTACGTTGCTGTTGCTACTGGAGTGAAGGTTTCGCGACAGGTGCATGAATCTGTCGCGAACCATGAACTGACCAAAACATCCGCAAGGATTCCCGCCTTCATCCGTCGTCCGCCAATGGTGCGCCAGCGTCTCCTTGTTCGGCACGATCGATCTTACAATAAGAAGCCCAATAAAATAAACACAATTCGCGTGGTGTAATGTACGTTTTTTTTCAATTCACTTCGTAACTGCTCTTCCATCTTTGGCTTGAACTCAGGGTGTTTCAGCTGTCGAGCGACTTGCTTGGCGTGTTGACCCTCCACCCCCTCATCCATATTCTCTTTGAAGTAATCATTGGACTCGAAAGCGATATCCTCCCAGCGATCTGGTTGCATGAAGTAGAAGAACGCACCAGACGGAGTATCAGCCGCGTCGAGTGCTTTGGCAGTCGGACCCGACTCTCCTGAGTACAGGTTAGGATAGTCTTGGATCAGCGAGTTGGCTGGGCGAACCTCGTAGGGTTGCATCGAGTAGTCGAACGCCGTTGACGTGGAGAGGTCCGACCAGCCCTTCTCTCCCATATCTCGCAGCAACTCGTCGGGCACAGTCCCCGACAGAATATTCTCCATTCCACCAACAGCTGCAATAAGCTTGCCATCGAACCGGAGCTCCGGCGGCACGGGTAGTTGCACGTCGAGCTCAGTCAAGTCATCTTCAGGTGCGTCGCCCTCGTCATCTCCGTCATCGTTCTCTGCATCGGACTCGAACGCCACATAGGTTCGTGGGTCTTCAGAACCGTCGACAAGATTAGCATCTGCAAAAACGGTAAAAGGTGTACATACAAGATAGATGCATTCTCAATCGTGTATGTGCAGCTGTGTTAACCTCCAGTCGCAACATCGGCTTCTCGATCGTCTTTGGACTCCTCTACTACTGGCGTAGTGTCGCCATCGTCTGAAGCGTCAGTGTCATCATCCGGGTGGTAGGACGACTCGCTTCCATCATCGGCATCTGCAAAATCGGGAGTCAGGTTACGTCGCCATTCTGGCGATGGTTCTACAACAGGTTAGATCGCGAGTTGCATACGCTAGCACATACAACAAACATGCTCGAACCTGTCGGAGATTCGGCTTCAGGTACTGCAGGTGGTGTCGGCGTCTTCGGATTCGGTGTTGGTGTCTTCGGAGCGGCTGCTGGCGGTGTCGACGTCTTCGGAGTCGCTGCTGGCAGCGTCGCCGTCTTCAGAGCGGCTTCTGGCGGCGTCGGCGCCTCCGGAGTTGCTGCATGTCCATGAAACCCATAAAATACACGATTAGACACCAGCCAAAGCTGTAGGGTACAGCGTATGAGCATATTACCGTTGGGTGAGTTGGGATGACCGCTTGTCCGACGTTGCACTGCGCTTCGACGTCTGGCATTAGGGGGTTTCAGTTAAAAATGTCTTCAAGGAATGAGTCGGCAGAAAACTGTAGAAATCCAAGGAATGATTTTCATGGGGGGGTTCAGTTAAAATTAGAAACACGAATCTTTCAGCAGCACCGCTCAACTTCTGGAGAATCCCACTCTTATACTGAATATTTGGAGGAAAATGTCTCCTTCTGACTTCAAGAAGCTCAAACGCGGCGTATTGACCACCATCTTCCAGCTAGCGATGGTCCGGCAGCTACAGGAGGCGAGTCCCGCGGGACACGGCGAAGAAGACGCCTCAGAAGACGATGTCCTGCCAGATCTCGTGAAACCGCGCCACGCGTTGGACTCCGTGCGGTACTCAGTGCCGCGCAAGAATGCTGTGCGATCAACGGCCCACCAGCGGTTGCTGCACATGCTTGGAGATGAGGAGTTCCGCACATTTACCCGCGTCTCGAAGAACACCTTCAACGTGCTCCTCGACCTAATAAGCGACGACGTGGTCTTCCAGCCGAAGCCTAACAGCACGAAAAGACCGCGACGTGGCCATACAACTTGCGGTAACGCTGGAATGGTACGGGGCATACGGGAATACATTTAAGAGACTGGCTTGATGTTTGCCTGCTCCCAAAACATTGCATCCATTCGCTCGTAAAATGGGCATGCCTTCTCAATCAAATCTTCAACCTGAAAGTCACGCATCATCATCTCTTGGGTTATCCCGAACCCAGTCTGTTTCATCACGCGCCCACGGGTAGCTTTGTAGCGCCGGAACCGCGAATTCCAGCGACTCTGGCAGGTTTTCTTGTCCCATTTGCTCGTGTGTCGAGGGTCCGCAGGATCGTTCTTCATCCTGTAGTTGTGAACATACTCCGCCATGCTAGCAAAATCAGACAGCTTCGTCACCCCAGTTCCATGGGCCATGCCATTTCCAGCTGTTGACTCGCCAAGATAGATGGCGCGATTGCTTGGCTTCTCCATCCAACGGATCATCCCATCGAGTTGGATGCGCGTCGTGTGCGCGTACTTGCTCGGCGCCCGCATCCCCGTCTATCCCGAGACGTCTTCGTCCGTCTGCTCCAGCTCGTCAGCCAGCACCAAGTACTCGGAGAGCTCCTCCGACTCGTGCGACTGGTCCTCCTCCTCTGACTCCTCGAGCATCTCTGCTACCACATGACGCACCACTCGTTCTGCTGCTGGTGCCTCTTGCTGTGAGGTTGGCCGCTTGGACTTCTGCTGGGTTTCTGCGAGTCATTCGTCTTGCTAGCCTTCTTCCTAGATGCCTTCTTCGGTGGAGCGTTTGCATGCTGGGCCTTCCCGCGCGAGGCCTTCTTCTGCTGAGTCTTCTTTGGCACGGCCTTCTTCGTTACAGCCATCGTCTGCGAGGCCACCTTCCGTGGAGCCTTTGCTTGCTTTCGCGAGTGCGTGGTTTCCGTTTGCGAACGAAGTTGCTTTCTGTTAGTAATCACTAACCCGATGAAACCGATGTAAATCTGTTTAAAAGGGTTTTTCGTATGGCCAAGGAATGAGGCTTTCGGATGGAATGAGCCCAAGGAATGGACCTCCGGCGGCTTATTCCTTGAAGGAATGAGCTAATTCCTTGGGCTCATCGTTTGAAGAAATTATTAACTGAAACCCTTTATTGTTTGCAGATCCCTCCCGCCTCGCCTTCTTCTTCGCCTGAAGTGCAGCTAGTCACACAATACCGTTAAGATAAAAGAATAACGCACAATTTGCGGCTTATAAGCGTACCGATGTCAAGCTTGTCCAAATACTTCATGAGCTCTTCTTCGCCCACGAAGTAGTCCTCGCCACGCGTGTTCTTCTTCGTCTTCCCGGGCTTCAAATACGTAAAGTCATCAGATAAGCCGGTCGGCTTTCTGGAGTGCCGGCCGGTCTTCTCCAGCTCTCGCCACCTAGCCTGGAACGCCATTCCTGGCGGCGGCGTGGGTTCTGAGCCCTCGGCGGTGAATCTTCCAATGAGGGGAAATTCAGTGGCGACCAGTGGTTCGCCCTTCATAATACATATGCGATATGCAAGTTTGATCGGTAGTGCGCTTTCTCGTGCATTTTTGGCCTTACTCAAAGTATCATTTATGTCGATTCCGCGGGAGCCATGGATACATCGCCTACCCCTCGTTGACTTAAACATTGTAGCGACCAATACAAAAAACCAAGTATAGAAAAGCTTAACGTGTACGGTCCACGTTAAGCTTTTGCACGTATCATGTACTTCTCTGGGCCACTTAACCCTTTCACTACCAGACATTTCTTTGCAGGTCCGGTGCGGACCTATTAGTTGACCAATGAGAGGACATAATTTCAAATTAATCAACCAATCGTGGGGCCACTAGCGGCCACGTTGAGTCTCTGATGTACCCCACGGTACTCCCCCCAGTTTGAAAATTTGAGGCAAAGAGCATCGAGCGCGGCGATCTCTCCTCACCGGTGTGCGGCTTCTGCGGCAATGCGCCCTGCGAGTGGCAGCAGTACAGCAAGGAGAGCATCGGCAGCAGGCTGCGCGTGCTGACGTCTACGCACAGGCGCCGTACCCCCCAGCGGATCAAGCGCGCGCTCGCGCAGCTTTACTTCTACCTGAAGCATGGGTCGCTGTCCAAGACGACGGAGGTTGTCGTGCCGCTGTGTAGATCGCCAACCTCAACAACACAATCAGGTAATGTATTTATCTCTGTTATCGTGCTCCTATGGTAGCTCTAACGGATCGAGATATGTTATGGTCTTGTTCTTCTTCAGACGAGTTTGTGCGACGGCATCCCCCGCCGCAGCAGCACACAAAGCATCCAGCGCTGAATGAAAAGTGAGCGAGGTTGAGGTGAGCGCATCTCGATAGTGAAACGCTGTGAAGTAGGCGACGTGGAACCCGCGGTGGCACCCTGTGCAGCCAAATAAGACCTTCTTCGAGAAGCCTCTCAGCGAGCACAAGTAACATGTAAGTTTTCCAGTCGATTGTTGCCTTGAGTTTGGGGTAATAGTGTGCAAGCTATCATCGGCCCCTAAAACTTGGTTTAGTGGCTCTGTTGGCGCAGGTTGTTGCCGGTGCGACTTCTCCATTCGTGCGCGCTGAACGTCGGTCAGCTTTTCGGCTACACGCCGCTTGAATTCGCGTAGCGTCACGCGTGACGCTCCGGGTCCTGCGACCTTCTGAAAGAGTGCGAAAGCATTGATAAGTGCTAAATCAATTGCCCATGTCAGGATACTCATTGACAACCTCTTCTCTTTGCCTCTGATCGGGTTCGTGCTTCTCAACGGATCCACTCTGTCAACTCCATTCATGAACAGGTTGTAGGCGACAACTGCGGCGGGTACTTGGAAGGTCTGTCGATGCAGTACTTGCTCGCCCGTCCAGCGACGCAGCGGAGCGAGATCATGGCACAGCCAAATGGCTTCAGGAGACGCACCCAAGAGAACACGTTGTGAAGGTGTGCCGGCAAGATCATTGGTATAGAAAATGACGGTAAGTTTGTCGCGAAATACGACGTACCCCGCATTGTGCGCAATCTTCAGGTGGTGTGTAGGACGTTTGCAGGTGCTCAGGCAGCTTTTTCTGAGCACGCTTCTGAGCGTCCTGTAGCTTCTCCCAGCCCGTCGGCACGTCGATCGCTGCGACTAGCTCCCAAGACCCACGCGGAGCAACATCCACTCGAGCTTTTGATGCCTCTAGCTCCGTGCTGATCCACTTGCCCTGAAGCGATATTCTGACGGTCCCTAGCATCTTCATCTCGCCGTCCGTAAATGCAAGTAGGGTTTAGCCAGGTTGTGCCTCGTATAAAAATATCACACAGCCGTCGAGGACTGGGGGTTGGGAATGGCTTTGTGAGATAGCCGCACATTGCGACCCACAAAGCACTTGCATCCTTTCGCTTCACAGGAATATCTGCACGTTCTAGTGTTCTAAACATCGCTGTGCGAAGTGATGGAAACACATCAACGTAGCGCTCCACGGGTACGGTACGGGTCCTTTCGCCAGAGCCATTATCCCATACTGAGTAGGCATACAGACTCTCCCAACCCGATACGCCGTAGAAGCGGACACCATATTTGTCCGGCTTCGACGGCATAAACGTCTTGGCTCCGGAGAGGGCATTTGTTCGCACTGCGAGCTCGTCCAAGGTTACTGCACCCACCGGCACAGCAATAGCAGCGAACTTCTGTTGCACTTGGGTCAACACGTGTCTGCTGTGCCACAGCGGGTCCTGCTCTTGGCGCTGCACGGGCACACTGTCAGGGCATGCACTTGGAAACAAGCTCGGATACTTTCGAAGCGATTGCGTGCCATAGTCTTTGCGAAATCAGCTTGACCTAGGAAAAGCTTTTGGGGCCAAAGCTCTTTGATCTCAGTTAGAGGTATGATACTCATAGCAATCTCTAAGCCGATATAAGCATCAATCTCAAACACTGTGGCCTCATCCTGGCCTTGCTCCTTCAGCACTGTGTTGGTACAGGTCTGCAAGGAGTCACGGAATTCACGAGTGAAGAAAAGAGAAAACAATCCTAGCTCACCGCGCTCTTTGAATGCTAACTTAACTTCTCCATCTCGGATAATATGAAGCCCGCTCTCACGAATTAGCCCGTCAACATAGGCGTTGCCGGTGAGTTTACGCAGAGCAGCTGAAGTCACCTCGGCAGCCACCGACACACAATCCGCGTCGGATTCTTTCGTATCCTCGTCTTCTGAAGTTGCTGGTTCGACCTCGCTGTCCTCCTCCTCGTTCTCAGAGTCCTCGAACTCCCATTCCGCAGAGACATCATCCTCGTTAAGCGGCTCGTGTATCTCCATTGTTGTTCTGCACGAAAGTAGCAAAATGGCACTAAGAATACAAATAGGGATGCAACCGCCGAAAGCCGAGCTATTTTGGTCCTTACGGTACTGCTAAAGTTATGGGTCCGGTACGGACCTATTCATCTTGGTGATCCCGACACCGTTACCACGATAGCGGATATTCTACTAATCAGCAACAATCATCGTTTGATTTTCGGGTCCGCCGTGGACCTACAAGCCATCTCGATTTGAGCGGTAGTGAAAGGGTTAAGAATCGACAATTCAATTTAACCTCATTTTTGGCGATCTCACCTGATTGGCTAAATATACGGTTTCAGCCATATGATTGGGTGCAAAGTTTGATTAGAGTACAAGCTCACGAAATTGCTTAGAAAAAACTCAAAATCTAGACGAATGCCACACCTTCCGCACGCGTTCTACGACGGCGAACTGCACAACACTGTATTGACAGCGAACTAAGATTTCCAATGATACCATTTTGGTGTAATATCGCCAAAAATTGTAGCCATTTCGCAAAAAAAAATAATGTTACCCAAAATCGGGCTTCGAAATTTGTTCTGTTTCCCATATTCCTGCTGTTTTTGAGCAGCCAATAGTATAACGCGAAACCCCAAAATCTCAGCTTTCTTTTGAGCTATTATTTGTCTATTTGTCTTAGACAGTTTTTTATCTTTTAGAGCGGAAAAATTGAAATGTCCTTAGGTGGGCCAGAGAAGTACTATTCTGGCCCACCTAAGAAACAACATTTCTATTAAACCTCAACTTTTTCAGATCGCATTGGATTGGCTATAAATCGGACTTAAGCCAAATGATTGGACAATGACCACTACCTCAGCCAAGTCTCCAGCCTTCAAGGCTTCGTAAAGTTCGACTGGACGGCAAATCGACGAAATCGCTTAGTAAACCCTCAAAATATATGCGAGCACCACAACGCCCACAGGACCACTATCATACTCTACGATGGTTCTCCGTATCGGTAGTTAAGTGCTCTACCCAATGATACCTATCATTTTGAAAATCGCTAAAAATTGTAGCCATTACGCAAAAAAACTAATGATACCGAAATCCGGGTTTACAAAACTTGCTCTGTTTCCTTGAATCTTGCTGTGTTCAAGCAGCCAATGAGCTGACGCGAACACACCGAATCTCACCTTTTGTTAGGTATTGTTCACCCCCAACTGATAATTTTTGATTTTTTTATGGCGGCCAGATAGAAATGTTGTTTCTTAGGTGGGCCAGCCGAGTACGGTCCAGGCTTTCGGGTTCAAGGGGTTAAAAAAAAGTCAATATGAATTACCCATTCCTGCTGCACTGCTAAAGTTATCCCCATGCCGCTGACATAGTGAATTCATTTCTAGCAGTTTTAGTGTTCGAGGATAGGCACGGCTTCCTGCTCTCGTTCATACTTGGAAGTGCAACGTGTGCTTCGGTTTGAACTTGCTCCAAGCCAATAGTGATCATATCGTGTCTTATGGATGCATACATGAAGCTAAAACAAGTCTGTACGCTATCCTCCTCCTTCAGCAACGGATCTGCTCCCAATCAAATACTGTGGCAAGGGTCAAATGCACGATAGTTGTTGCAATCGAATCTTCATGTCGAGACGAGGTGGAATATGACCCATTTGTAGTCGGAGGTGCAAGTGGTGCGGACTCTATTATACGTGAACACTTGTTTGAGTTGAGTGAGTAGCTCGCAACTGCTCGACTGAGTACAGTCCTTGGAACTCAACCTGTACCGACGTCCAGGCAACCTCAGACGCCGACGAAGGCCTCGGGCGTAACGTGAGATCCGGCCAGGTGGCACCGAAGTCCCTGGGGAAAACGTATTATATACTAACTCGTGGCTTCTAGTGACTTCGAACCAACTTGACGATGGCCACGTTTCAAATCATTCACAATGGTAAATTGCGCCTACGCTCCTTTATCTTTGTGGACCCACGTGAATTTAAAGCTAAAGTCAGCGCCTAGTGTCGCCACGTGGATGCATGCATATACACAACTGTTAGATGGAACAAACTCAGTGTTCTAAGGTTTGAAGTTTGCACCCACCGTGGTGTATCAGCGGTACCTGCATCACGTAGAAGAACAAGGTGGTCAGCTTGGACTGTATCATCGGCGCTTGCGTCTCCAACACGAATGCGAGCTGCCGCAGCGTTGAGAACCCCAGCATTCGCTTCAGCAGGGTGAGAACCATGGCCAATGAGAGAAACTCGAGCGAGCTGTACATCTGCACGTTGGTGACGGATGAATGGAGATCTGCTGTTGACATGTCGGCGAGCGCAGGGTAGTAGGCTCGATTGGGCATGTTGAAGAAGATCACCTCGTGCAGACCTGTTAGTAGGTGTTTGTTAGTAGGAATTGACAAAATATAGTTGAGATGCGCGACGTACAGTAGATAATGGGCAATACGACTTCGGCGTACTCGATCAGCACGATGTACTCGGTAATAAACAAAACCCGCGCACTCTTTTGAATGAACTGGGCGCGTTCTTGCCGAGACAAAATCGTTTCCAGTCCAATGGAAGCTTCACATGTACATGTAGGATTCACCAGTGTATTCAGGTTTCATAAAGGATTTTCTGACCTCCTTTATAAAGGAGGTCAGAAAAGGAAGACCACTGAGAAGAGTCGACAGCGCCGGAGACTCGAGTCCTTTGAGGAAGGTATATTTGAGAATGAGAACACACTTGGAGCAGAGGCTCCGTACGTAGGGGAATTCCCCTTGGAGACATGGGGCTAGATCTCTAACCTAGCTACACTTGTTGCCTGTCCTACTGCTGGACAGAATGAGCACTCGCAATGACACATATCACCTCATTGGTAACATATCACCGCTGAGTAATGCTTGCAAGGTTTTCCTACTTGCAACAGTCGTCCTCCACGAAGAGGAATTGTGTAGGGCGTTCGACACGTACAGCGCGTTGAAAACTTCTACGATGAAGATGACACTTTCAGGTTTCAAATCGTTGTTCGTAAGTTGACGACTGATCCAGTTCTTGGCAATGATCTGAATAACCGGCAAGATCATGACAAACATGGCTTGGTAAATCCCGGTAAGGGATACGAAGCCGTAGATGTAGATCGGGTAAATGAATGTGAGCGCTATCTGACAGTAGAAGACGGACAATTGCCGCTTAATATCGTTCCACAATGATGGATCTGCTCTCCACTTGGACCCCGAACAGTATACAACGCACGCTTGAATCATGATAACGTCGGGAAATGCAGCCACAAGAAGCCCAAACGGTAGCGGGAAGACAGTGAACACGCATACCAAAAACACTGTTGCTATTGAAACACCCGCCGACAATAGGGCAAAGGTCATGACTTGGAGGGTCCAGAGCTTCAATCGCGGTGCACTTTGACCCATTTGCACCAACACGTTCCCGTTAATGAAAGCGAGTACTAGCCATGCGCGAATGAAAAACGTGTTGTTGTTAAATGCCCCAGCGTCCGGGAGATTCAGAGGGGCAGGCTAATTGCAAGACTTGGTAGTGGTGTCAGCAAGAGGATGGCGATAAGTCTGCTGGTACTCAGGGTTTTCAAATAGGCATCGAGTTGTTGTAGAATACCGCCCGTGGAACTCGACTTGGACAGACATCCAGCCTGCCCAGAGGCGCTGGCGAGTTGCCTGAAGCCACCGCATCATGAAATTCGGCTCTCTTAACAATAATGTTCTCATCGGGCGATGCCAAACTTAGGAAACATCACAAAGCTAAAAGGGGCTATAGCGTTATGTGGTGCAAGAAAAGAAAGGAACTACTTCGAGGTACGGCGTATTCATAGAGGGCAAACTTTGCTGACACAAATAGTTTATATATTCGATCAAACACAGCACTCAATTGCTGAGTCATGCAACTATAAATGGGTTTCTGGGATCAGAGAGTTGATTTTCTTTGTCTTCTCACAAGCAATAAGACCTTCAGCGGCGATCATGGGCATCTTTTCGTGCTCGGTGGCTCTCGACAACATAGCGACAAAGCTGCAACCGCACAGTTGCTACTCCGTCCAGCGACTGCGCCGATTAAAGCAATACACGGAAACTCGTACGCTATGCCGACTTCTAGCCGTGTGCGTTCTCACCCCAATACCCTGCGTTGCGCTAGCTACTCTCATCGAGTCCGCCCCACTTGCGTCTCCATCAGCGGGTCCGTACAAGAACTTTGCCTTTTGGGCTCGAGCCACGATTGTCGTGTACTTTGTGGATTACTCCGTGCTGCTGCAAATGAGGCAAAGTTTATCACGGCTCAAGATGGAGCACCGCCATATCGTGGCAATCGCTCTGGTTGGAAGCGTTATGTCGTTTGCTACCGTATTCGCGGTAGCTGTTTGGGTGGCATTTCCCGTTCCGTTCAGCATGCTCGTGGCATCTCCACCCAGTACTTTAGTAGTCGTGATCGGATTCAAGTATGGGTGGGGTCTTCGGTGGAGCGCTGATGCAGGACTGCGACGTGACCTCGTGCGGCATATGCTGGTATTCATGTGGCAAGTCATGCTAACCATCATCTACCCGCTGTACATCTTCGGGTTTACATCCCTGAGTGGCGTTGGCCAGACACTGTTTGTCATTTTGTTACCTACCATTAAAGCTGTTGGAGAAAGTTGGATCGGCTACATGCTTGGCGACGACAATGACATCAAACCCGAAGTCATCATCTTCAACGTGGAGGTTTTTAACGCGCTCTACGTATCTTGCGCCGTGCAGAATTCCACATCGCCTGCTACTACGATAGCGTTAATGCTCGTGGATGTGCTCCACTTCTGGTTTTGCATGACTGGCACGATGGGAATTGCTCGACAGGCGAAAGACCTTATGGCTAAGATTCCACCAGATCACCCTCAGGCAAGTGCGGGTTTTGTAGAGATAGCGTTGCAACTGCTGGAAATTGAAGACCGCGCTGAGTCGCGCACAAGCAGCATATCCAGCCGGACAAACTACAAAAAACTGAGTTTGCTGCTTGCAAAGAGTCTGAAAGAAGTTGAAGCGACGCCAGGCTTTCCAAGTCAGAGCTCACTCGGAATCGGGGCCGTGATTCATGGTAATCCATATGACAGCCGGATATTCAAGAAGTTAAGGCCAACTTCGCAAATCTACCCACTGAGCTCGACCGCACGTACCACGAGTAGTGCTGTGAGCGTTCGCCCAGGTCCTGGAAATGAATTTAAAAATGCTGACTCTCATCAAGGATTGGAGACGATCTTCACTCGCAAGGAGCGAGCTAAGTTCATTAGCACAACTACCCGGGTTTTGTTTATTACAGAGTATCTCGTACTTGTGGAGTACACGGAGGCCGTGCTCCCCATGGTTTACGGTACGTTATCTTTACAAAAACTCAGGAGATTGGGGACAAATCGAGGCTGACTTATTCTACAACCTCCAGCGCTGTTCTTGGTGATAGTCTTCCACCTGCCCAACAAGAGCTACATCCAGACTTTCAACGGGCTCTCAAGTGAGCAACTTTATACAAACACGGGCTATGTGCTGGCCTACAGCTTCCTGGAACTGACTTCGCTGATCGCAGCGCTGGCTGTGCTAAAGCGCACACTGGGGATATCATCTTTACACCAACTTGGCTTTATCCTGGAAACTCAGGCGAGTAGGATACAATCGAAACTAATGCTCTGGTTCGTGTACGTCATGCAAGTCCCGCTTGTGCACGTCGGTAAGGGAGCGATTACTACAGAGCTGAAGAATTTTACTATTCAACTTTTAACCGCGCTTCATGAGCAGGTACCGATTTCAGCTTCAAATTCAAGTGGGTCAATTCAAATCGCTGACGGATACTGATTGATAAACCATTTCATCAAATTCTTGAACGGTATTCCGAGTTTTACCAAAACCAAGAAGCATGAACGTTGCTGCCGCCTTCCCGAGTGGCTATGTGATCCTGAGGACTCCAAGGAAGAAAAATCTGTAGATCTCCTACGGCTCGTGTCGGGCTTCGTGCACGTCCGACCGCAATGATTATTTCGTTTGGATGCAGTTGCATCGCGTTGAAGGAGGAGTGAAGATTAAGCTGGCGCAACGTCCCCGCGCCTTGGCCGTTCGTCCTTCCGGAGAGTGCTTTTTCGACCAGGATAATGGCTACAAATCTGGCGAAACTTTTATCCCCAGGACTGCTCGCGGGGGCTGGATTACTTTCGCATCGAGCAAGACTGGAAAATACCTGACGGTCGACGAGTGGGGCGACGTATGGTGCCGCGAGAACCTGGCCAGTGGTGATGAGTCAATCAACTGGGAGGTCCTTCCCCAAGAGTAGCAGTGCTGTGGCTCTATTTTTTTTCGCCTTCGCTTAAGCTGAGAGTTTTTAGTATATTCTTTACAACAAAATTATTTCGAAGTGGTATTTTCGATACTTAAGTAATCTATGCGTTATTGGTGAAGTTAAGTTTTCAGCTAATAACCTAATGTAAGCTCAAGTGGCAACGGCGATACGAGACGGGGGGGGTTGGAGAGAAAAACTTAGGAGACAACATCATTCCTAGTTTTGCTCCACGGTTGACAAATCTCGGGAGGATGAGCGTTGCGGCCGACTTGCCTGGTTCTCCCTGGCACGTGGTCCTGCGAACTCCAAACAAGAAAAATCTGCAAGACGCCTACGGATCACACCGAGCGGCATGCACATCCGACCGCAGCGATTCTTTCGCGTGGATGCAGCTGCTTCCCTGTGGTGGAGGAAGGGTGCAGATTAAATCGGCTCGCAGTCAACGCGTCGTGGCCGTGCGCCCATCTGGCGAGTGCTTCTTCGACGGCGGTGGCTACCAAAGTGGCGAAACTTTTATCCCCGGGACCGCTCGTGGGGGTTGGATCACTTTCGGCTCGAGCAAGACTGGGAAATACCTGACGGTGGATGCGTGGGGCGACGTGTGGTGCTGGGAGCAGTCGATTGGTGCTGATGACGGGTCGACCCACTGGGAAATCCTACCTACCTCCTGAATAGTCTCGAGACGCTACGTTTTGCTGGGTACTTTTCGTAACTCGACTGCCGAATTCCTTGGCGAGTAAGTATCCTACTTCGTAGTACTTCACAACAATGATAATTTCCAAGTTTGCAAGAAGTTATTTTTGCCCCATCTCAGCTAAAAGTGGTTGTTCTTGCCTCATCTTGCGCGCATGTGCTAGTTCTATCAATTTATCTACGAAAGACTTGGACGGCAAAACTTGGGTTATCCACAGTATGGCGACGGAACAGATTACGAATTGGCTACCGGATAGCCGCAGTCGCCTTTGGGCAGCATGGACGTCAGTGCAGGTCGAATTCCAGGGGCGGTACTCTGTTGAGAGGATACAACGGCTCAACGATTACATGAAAACTCTGGATTACCGAAGAATAGGCGCAGTGTGTCTTTTGACACCGCTGCCTTGTCTTCTCTCCGCTGTTTTGATCGAGTCTGCGCCACTTGCACCGCCCGAAGATGGGGTTTACGCCAACTGGTTGTTCTACATTCGCATTTGGGTCGTGACGTGTTGGATGGTTGGGTCGCTCACTCTACAAATGGGTCAAATGGCCCCGCGCCACAAGATGAAGATAAAGCACGCGGTTGTGATGGGTATGCTGTCCGGAATCGCGACCTCTTTAACGCATTTTGGGATCGGAATCGTGTTCGTCTTCCCAGTGCCATTTGGGATGCTGATCGCCTCGCCGCCTTGTGTCGCGGTGTTGGTCGCATGTTACGCGTACTTCTGGGGAGCCCAATGGAGATCCGATCCGCTGTTGCGCACGGAGGTCAGGCAGCAAATGTCTGTGTTGTGTTGTCAACTTTCGCTCACCTTTATCTATCCTAGCTGGATCTACGGGTTTATTTCAGTCTCAGGCTTCTACCAAGCGTTGTTTGTTCTGGCATTGCCCATTATCAAGTTGTTGGCGAAGAATTGGATCAGTCGAGCGCTGGGCGATCGCAATGATGCGAAACCGGAAGAAGTGATCTTTAATGTGGAGATTTTCAACTCGCTATATGCTGCCAATGCGCTTCAAAACGCTTCAACATGGGGAGTGAGCGTAATTATCATGCTGATAGACTTGATGAATTTCTGGGTATCCATGCTGGACATTGTGAAAATTCTCAACGAAGTCAAGACTCTGATGGACAAACTCCCGAAAGACCACCCGGTGGCAAATGAAAACTTTGTGGAGGTGGCAGCGCGATTGTTTGATATAGAGACGAACTCGACGACGAAGAAGAACTTGGTTGCAGCGCGTAGATGGACGCGGGTGGAGTCGTGGGTCAATACTGGGAGGAAGTCCAGCAAGGCGCTCGCTGTGGAACGAAGAGCGATCGTTGTAGCACGCAAAGGTCTACAATACAAATTCCAGGACCAATTAAGAAGAGTTTCACAAAAAGTGGTCCCTGTCAGCCCTTTAATCAGTGGTGTTCCAGATCAGATGGGGACGCGCAACGCTGCCATGACTTCTCCGAGCTTGTCACCTCTGGAAAACGGTGTAACCAGTGTTGGTGCGCCATTAAAGTTAGAGACCATTTTTTCACGCAAGGAGCGTGCGCGTTTTATCAACAAAACAGCTCGATTACTGTTCGTGTTGGAATATCTCGTCCTTATCGAGTACGTCGAGGTGGTGCTCCCCATTGTCTACAGTACGTGAGAAACCAACATTTTCTTAGCTTATGCTACTCACAAATACTTTATACTTGATTGCACAGGTCTGCATCGAGTGATTTTGTTTCATCTGCACAACCGCGCCTACTACCCATCTCTAGCCACCCTATCAAGCTTCAAGCTCCTGTCCAGCACGCTGAGTATATTGGGCTACGGTACACTGGAGTTGATGTCATTGATCATGACTTTGGTCACTCTGAAACGAGTGTTAGGCTTCTCTTCGCTGAGTCAACTCACGTTCGTTCTAGAGAAGCAAGCCAACAAGATCCAGAGCAAGCTAATGATCCTGTTCGTGTACCTCATGGAGGTATCACTGGTACACCTCGGCTCCGACCTCAGCTTCAAATTTGCATGGATAAAATCTAATCCAGGACCTTGAAACCTGATGAATTCCAGCCGATAGTGCAGGAGCTTCAAAACTATTTTCACTGCACCTAAACAGAAAATAGTGACCGCGTAAGTTGGTCGCTAAGTATAAATACTTATTTCACCTTTGAGACCACTAGCTCGATTGTCCGTCATAAAAAAACTACCGCTCAGACGAAGATGAGGAGTTTGGCAAGCTGGAAACAAATATCGAATGTGGCTCAGCTACTGCAGCCTTACGGCTACTACTCTGTGCAGCGATTGCGCCGGCTAAAGTCTTTTTCCGACAAGACAGGTCGCTTTCGAGTTCTGATTTTGTGTGTCCTGACACCGCTCCAGTGCCTTGCTTTCGCCACGATCCCAGAATTGATTCCTTTGGCGCCGCCCGAATCAGGGCCATACAAGAACTAAGCGTGAAGACATTTTATATGCAGACAAGCGCGCAGAATTTATCAGCACAACGATTCGAGCGCTGTACATAACGGAGTTCCTTGTACTCGTCGAGTATACGGAAGCCGTGCTGCTAAAGGTGTACGGTACGAATGTAATATCACTAGCTCTTGTATTTTAGACTGAAGGGCTAACACGGCTGTTTTTTATCTTGCTAGCGCTGTACTCGGTGATATCATTTCACGTGCCCAATGATGTCTACAACTAGTCATTCGTGAACGTCTCGAGGCAGGAGCTATTCGCGAATGTCGGTTCTGTACTGGCCTACAGCATGCTGGAGCTGACGTCACTGATTCTGGCTACGATGGTTCTTAAACACCCCCTGCGACTCTCATCCATGCATCAGCTCGGGTTTGTCTTGGAGGAACAGGCGACCATGATTCAGTCCAAACTGATGTTGTGGTTTGTCTACGTCATGCAGGTCCCTCTCGAGCACGTTGGTAAGATGAGATGCGCTAGTTAGTTTGTTATTGAGTGAGCGGTTTAGTTTGCTAACTTTTTTGTGCTGTACCAATAGGCACCGATTTCACTTTCAAATTTAAGTGGGTACATGCTGCGTAGGGGCCTCTTAGTTCTCAAGGCTGTCGTTTGCTTAACGTAACAAAAAATATGTGCTTGGATATGGCTATGTCGCTAGGCTCGGAGCTTCTTCAGATTTTTTTTAAAGAAGAACCAAGTGAGACTTGCTTCGTAAAAATCGGTTTGATTTTAATTCAGCTAATCCTTTGAAGCTCCAGGAAACCACGTGCAAATCGGTGTGTTGGGCGCTGCACATTGCGTTGGACACAGCAGTCTCTGAGCCAGGGAGGGCAGTTGAATGAAGCGCATGGCGCACCCAGCCAATGGCGCGTTGTCCCTCCGCGCCATTGGCTACTGACGCGCTATTCCAATGCAGATCTCTCAATACTCTTATATTACTATTCAGAAGCCCTTAACTGTCCTCCATATCCTTCCCGTGCCACCCATATCACTAATCCGAACCTCTGCAGCTTCAACTGAGACCGACCACAATCCAATCCAACCTGCGTCACCAATGACCACCCCGGACACCTCCGTGACCTCGGCTCTCCTGGTCCCCGAGCCGTCCCTTCCAGCCCCCAACCCACGCACCTCCTCCCCAAGACGCCCTCGCTTCTCGTGGTCCGTCTTCTGGTCCTACACAGGCCCTGGCTGGTTCATGAGCATGGCCTACCTGGACCCTGGGAACCTCGAGGCGGATCTCCAGAGTGGGGCCTACACGCGCTACCAGCTGCTCTACGTGGTTCTACTCAGCACCGCGCTGGGGGGGCTCTACCAGGTGCTCGCCGCCCGACTGGGGGCCTGCACCGGCCGCCACTTGGCCCAGCTATGCCGTTCCGAGTACCCCCCGGCCGTGGCCTTCGGGCTCTGGGTCATGACGGAGCTGGCCATCATCGGCAGCGACATCCAGGAGGTGCTGGGCTCGGCCGTGGCCTTCGAGCTGCTCTTCGGGCTGCCGCTGTGGCTCGGCTGCCTGCTCACGGGGCTCGACACCTTCACGTTCCTGGCGCTGCACCGAGCCGGGGCCCAGGGCGGCCGCTACCTCGAGATGTTCTTCCTCTTGCTCATCGCCACAATGTGCGTGTGCTTCTTCGCCGACTTCACTATGAGCGACCCGGACGGGGTGGAGATCGCCAAGGGGGTGGTGGAGCCTCGACTGGACAAGCAGAACATCATGCAGGCGGTGGGGATGCTGGGGGCAATCATTATGCCTCATAATATCTTCCTGCACTCGGCGCTGGTGCAGGAGCGGCAGATTGACACCAAGTCGACGAGGAAAGTGAAGGAGGCCAACTTCTACTTCAGTCTGGAGGCGGCGATGGCGCTGTTCGTGAGCTTTTTGATCAATTCGGCGGTCGTTTGTGCGTTTGCCAGCAGTTTCTTCAGTACGCAGTGCTACGAGCTGAGCAGTAATCCGATCTCGAGTTTGTATGGACGGGATATCCAGACGTCGTGTATTCCAGCCAAGGCGGCGCTGAGCTCGGGGAGTGCGATCTATGACGCGTTCTCGGGCGATGTTTGCGTGTTTGGAGGCGTGGAAGGGGTGTTTGGTGGGAACGTGACGACGACTGGGATCATGGATACGGTGAGGAAATGCACGCCGTGCTATGTGAATGGACGCGAAGATCGAGCTGTTGCTTCTGCGTTTGGCACGGCACCGACGGCTGGTTACTGCCAAGAAATTGGCCTCGCAGAAGCTGGAGAAGCTGTACGAGAGGCACTGGGAGGGTATGCCAAGGTGGTGTGGGCCATTGGCTTACTTGCCTCCGGTCAGGCGTCTACGATGACGGGCACTTACACTGGTCAGTTCGTCATGGAAGGCTTTTTGGATATCCGGATTGCCGCCTGGAAGCGAGTGGCGCTGACGCGATCTGTGGCACTGGTGCCTGCAGTGATCGTGGCGCTCATCAGCCAGCACCGGCAGTTCCAGAGCGACCGCTTCAATGAACTACTCAACGTGCTGCAGAGTGTGCAGCTGCCGTTTGCACTACTCCCGTTGTTGGCGTTCACTACTAGCAAGCGGCTTATGGGCCCGCTTTTCGTGAACACTAGGTGGATCGCAGCGCTGCTAGTCGTGGGTACGGCACTGCTCTGCAGCGTCAACTATACCCTCGTATACGATATCCTCCTCAAGAACCTCCCGGAAAAAATGTCGTCATTAGCGTGGATTGGTCTGGTTATCATTGCCGGGCTCTACGTCGCGCTGCTTCTGTACCTGCTGCTTGTCTACCCGTCCGAAACTTCAGTCCATGTTTTGCTTCCATCTGAACCTTCATCAACTGAGGAGCGCAAGCGAGCTGGAAGCGCTGAACAACCCCTGCTTGAAAACGAGGGAGTCGTGTGATCTAGAAGGAATGAATGAACATTATGTGTATACCAAAATGCTCATTGCTACGAAAAAAACGGTGTCTTGTGCTAACCACGTAGACCTTTTAGTCCCGGTCACGAACGAGAGCTAGCCCTCGGGATCGAAGCTCTTGCTCCCATCTGTACAACAGTCATAAACGAAAACTTAGTGGTGATAACTGCCACGTGACGAAACCTTCACGTACTCTTGGTAGCAGGTCTCGTAGTAGTTTTGCAGTCGAGCTTGTCGGATGGCCAGGACCTCCTTATTCAGCAGCTCTCGCTCTTCGTCAAGTCTGAGAAGAAGAGGAAAATCGCGTCATGTTAGACACGCTGTCCGCCAACAACACACGCAAGGGATTTGGTCGGTCGTGCCTTTTGTTTTGCTGGATCCGAGCGCCGCTGCCCGTTTGCCGGTTCTGCTTCTCTTCCCAAACCGCGCGATTCGCGTTCGTTTCGTTGAAGTGCGTGTACTTCCTGGCCTGGTGGAGCTCCTCCTCGCGAGCGATGAAACGCGCGACGTTCAGCCCGGACTGCTTCTTCACACCAGCAGCACGTTCGGCAGGTCGAGAAGAGATCCCAGCAGGCAAGCCGCGGTTCACCGGCATGATTTCGATGGCGACGGCTCACTTGTTGGCTAGATCTCGATTGAACTTCGTTGCCACTGCAGCTAGCATTCTGGAATTAATAGACGAGGGGTTTCAACTGCTCTGCTAGAGAATACATTAACTAATTTAGTGGCAGTCAAGATATCACTGCACCATGTTCAGGATGCGCCCAATTGAACTTAAAACTGAAATCGGTGCCTGTTTGTACAGTAGAGCATACATGAGTAAGGAGTTAGACAGGTAGGCCGAATCTTAACGAGAAACAGTTAGTGATAACTTACCGACGTGTTTGAGAGGAACTTGCACGACGTAGACGAACCACAGCATTAACTTGGACTGGATCATTGTTGCCTGTGTCTCCAAGACGAACCCGAGCTGGTGTATGGACGAGAATTTTAACGTGCGTTTAAGCACCATCATCGCCAAGATGAGCGAGGTCAGCTCCAACATGCTGTAGGCCAACACGGAGCCGACATTTGCGAAAAGTTCGTTCCTTGAGAGGTGGACGAACGACTGGTTGTAAGCGCCATTGGGCAGGTGAAATGCTATCACCGAGTACAAGGCTAACAAAGTCGCGTCAGTTGGTGAACCTAGTATAAAGTACTTGCTAGTGTTAGATAGAGGTAGACGTACCGTACACCATGGGAAGCACAGCTTCTGTATACTCCACGAGAACGAGGTACTCCGTAATGTATAGCACTCGAGTAGTTATGCTTATGAATTCTGTGCGCTCTTGCCGAGAGAAGATCACTTCAAGCCTCTGGAAAGATCGGTTCGATTTCAATTCAAATGAAGGGCCTGGGCTGATGCTGCCCACGTTTGGCTCTATTACCATTTGACTTGATGGGAATATTTTGCTGGCTTGAGGCATCAACTTGGAAACTCCTCGCCTTAAATCCGTTCGGATTGCGGTCAACCTCTCAGCCGTCTTTGAACCAATCGAGAACCTCTTTAAGGTAAGAGCGGCCTTCGCAATCGGTGCGTCTTTCTTCTTGAAATTCATTCGAGACCGTAGCCGGTCGCCCGATTCGGCACGGTCTTCTATTGCCAACAACCGCAGCGCTATTTCCACAAAGTTATGCGCGGCGGCAGGATGATGAGGTGGAATCTTGGTCATCAACGCCTTCACCTTTCTAAGCACTCCAAGAGTGCCTCGCATTGAAAACCAAAAGTGCAGCACGTCAATCAGCATGAGTGTTACAGTTGTTCCTAATGACGTAGACTTTTGAACGGCGGCGGATACGTAGAGCGCGTTGAACACTTCCACGTTAAAAATCACAACTTCAGGCTTGATGTCATTTTGGTGCGAGAGGTTGTAGCTGATCCAGTTCTTGCTCAAAGATTTTATCAGCGGCAAAACCAAGACGTAAAACAACTGCGATACCCCAGTGAGAGATGTAAAACCGAAAATGTAGAGGGGGTAGATGAATGTCAATGCCACCTGGCACATGAAAACCATCGTGTGTCGAGCCAAATCTCGACGAATTCCAGCATCCGACCACCAGCGACGACCCCACATGTACCCAAAGCCCACCAAAATAATTAAAACACTAGGAGGAGAAGCCACGAGCATACTGAATGGTACAGGGAACGCGATCCAAACAGCCACCGCAAACACCGAGAAGAAGGAGAAGATACTTCCAACAAGCGCAATCGTTATAATATAGCTGTGCTGCATCTTCAGTTTTGCCAAGCTTTGACTCATCTGCATCACCATGGAATAGTCGACGAACCCCGTTACAATCCAAGCTCGAACCCAGAAGACGTAGTTCTTGTAAGGCCCCGCTTCGGGTGGCGCGAGGGGGACCGATTCAATTAACGTTGCCAGTGCGACACAAGGGAGCGGCGTCAGGATGCACGAAAGCAGAACGCGGAAGCGATTCGAGTTTTCCGTGAAGGTCTTCAGTTGGCGCAGTCGCTGCACAGAGTAGCAGCCATGGGGCTGCGATAGCTGGGCTACGTTAGAGACGTTCTTCCAGCTCGCCAGAAGCCTCATTTACGCAAGAGGTGGCCTCTTGCTACGAACGACAGCAGAAAGGTGACCCCGGGGTTGGTATTTATACGATTAAGTGCTTGCGAAGTGTTTTTTGTCACTCCAAATCGAGAAAAATATCGACAACTCACGGGACAGCACGGGGTGATCCGTGCCAAGTTTACCGCGAAGTCCAGCGCTGGTACCGGTAGCACACGATTCCGCCAGCTACTCACAGCACAGCACACAGCAGCAGCATTACGTATTGTAATTCCTTTACGCCACAGCAGCTTCAAATCACCGACGGCGACCTAGGCTCAGGCTCCGAGTCCGGGAAGCTCAGTCTCCAGAAGTCGTCGGGTGTCTGGTACGGCTCGAATCGCGCACGATGACGCGAGCACTTGTTCTTCTGTGCGGCAGCGTCCGCCGCCCCGAGTCCCCCCAGCGCATCGTAGTACTTCTTGCACTCGACGCAGTCGTGACCCGGCAGGGCCCTCCTCTCCTCCCTGTTGCGAACAACTTCAACGTAGGCGAAGCCCGCCTTCTGGTTCTTCGCCTGCTCAGCTCGCACATTCTCCTTGTTGGGTCCAGTCGAAGCAGCAGCAGCCAGGTTCTGCTCCCACTTGGGCTTCTTGAGCATGCGGCGCTTCTCCTCGGCCCACGTAGCGGCCAGGCCGCTGCTGCTCCTTCTTTTGGCAATTGGTTTGAACACCTCAGCTTTCTTCTGTTTTGTCTCCTGCTTCTGCATCTTCTCGGCCTCCTTCTTTACTGCAACAGGCTCAGCAGCTTCTGGGATCGTCTCCAAGTCGGAAGACGCCGCGGTCTTCTTCTTCACCCAGGATGAAATTGCAGCGACAGCCTTGGTCTCCTTTGATTTGCCTGCTTCAGTAGTTTTCTTATTGTCTTCGACACTGCTACTGCTTTTGTCAATTAACGGGCCAGCGGCCGCAGGAGCCTTTGATGCGGCCTGCGCGTCCCCCAGCGCGCGCTGGTACCTGTCCAGCAGCTTCTGCTGCTCCTTGAGCGTCTGCTGCAGCAGCTTGAAGCGCCTGGAGAGCGCCGCGGCCTCCTGCTCCTGCCGGCGGATCGTCGCCAGCAGCGCCGCCTTCTCGTCGTCCCACGCCATACTCAGACCAAGTGAAACTGGACGCGCGCCACAATACCGTGCCGTACCTACGCGAGAAGACGTGCCACACACACCTTACATAAACACGGTGTCGCGAAGGAAAATGGCCGTGATGGGACCAACGTTGACGTTTGGCTGCATGCACCAACATGCAGGGTCCGTCCGTCCTCCTCTCCCTACCTACCCGCGCGCGGACGCCTATACCCTGCGCGTGTAGTAAACAGCAGTCCTCTTTATCGTATGAGGGTTCGTAACCCGTTGTGGCCATGATGACCAGGTGGTCTTCAAACTCAAAGGCGGACCTGGTTTTATCGGACCTCGGCGAAGTTTTACTCGCTGGTCGCACATACTCCCGCCCAGTCTCTTTAGCCTGCTCGACACTACGATCACCGATTTACCCGGATATAACACAACGTCACGACCCAATAAAGCCGCCTGCCTGCCTAGCCAGTCTACGGTCCGCTGTATCACTTCAGCTCTTGCTACCGTCGGACGCTCGCCATGCGCTTCGATGGCATGCGCACGCGCAGCGCCAGCGCGCGGCCCACCAACGCCACCGCGGCGGACGCGCGTACGCAGCGCGCGCGCAGCACCATGCCGCGCGGGTCCATGCCCGTGCCACCGGCATTGACGACGCGCAACTTGTCTCGGCCTGCTGCGCCGCCATCCGTGGCGTCCTCCGCGTCGCGCGCAGCCGAGCCGCTGCTGCCGCCCGTGGACGAGCTCTTCCCGCGGCCGGACCTGGAGCCGCGCATGAAGAAGCACCTGGTGCGCGTGGCCAACGAGACGTCCAACGCGCTCATCAAGGACACGCTGCTGCAGGACGAGCCCGGCAGCGTGCTGTGGCGGCCGGCGTCGCGTCCGCGTGGCGCGCCCGGCAACATCCACGTGCTGCGTGGCGCCGCGCGGGACGTGAGCGAGGCCAAAGACGCCACGTGCGTGCGCGCGGTCAGCGACGACGTGCACGCGAGCATCGAGGAGTTCGCGCTGCTGTTCAAGCTGGACTCGAGCCGCGAGGCTGCCGACCACCTGCTGCTGTTCAACGCCGACCTGGTGCAGCACGCCACGCTCTACACGTTGGTGTCGCCTTCGGGCCAGCAGCCGCGCCGCTACGTCGGCGTCAAGTGGGCGCTCGTGGCGTCGCCCTCCAGGTTCTTCCGCAACCGAGACTTCTGCTACTTGGAGTGCCAGAAGGAGTTCACGGACGCCAAGGGACGCCGCGGCTGGGTCAGGTCGCTGCACTCGCTCAAGATGCCGTGCTGCCCGTCGCTCGAGAAGGGGCACGGCATCGTGCGCGCCAGCATCTACAGGTCCGGACTCACGGCGGTGGAGACGGATGAGCCGGGCGTGCTCAGCGTCACGTACACGGTGGAGCTGGACCTGAAGGGCCGGATGGCGCTGGAACTGCTGCAACCTGGGTTCTTGCAGCAGCGCGTGGCGGCGCTGGCCACGGTGGACAAGCTGCTGCAGCAGCAGAGGCTGAGCACCAGCCCGCTGCTTGGAGATCTGGACATCCCGGCCAGGAAACGCACGCGCGGGAGCTGCAACTTGTGTTACCGAGAGTTTGTGGGTGCAGGAGGACTGAGGGACACGCTGGCGTCGATCACCAACCTGTCGACGCGATCGAAGCGTTATGTGTGCCGCAAGTGCGGCGAAGGAGTGTGTCGACGGTGCAGTGACGACTGGTGGCTGGATGTGCCTGTTGTCGGACGGACGAAGGTGCGTATCTGCACGGTGTGCTCTGCTGAGGCTAAGCAGTCGCATATCTCAGCACACACGACTCGCGCGGGCACGTATCCTATCCGGGGAAACAAGGAGCCTACTACGGAGGTGGAAGGTGTCACGCACCCGGGGCTGCTCTCGCCTCCGCAGATGGTCAGGCGACGCTCGCTGTCAATGCTGGATCGACCTAGCGACGCCGCGTCCTTCTTCGCGCAGCAGGAGGAGATTAAACGCGACTTGGAGGTGCGTGCCACGGAGCTGAGCCGCCGCGTGCAGATCTGGGACGAGATGCAGATGTACGAGCGCGACTCAAGCTTGATCCCGTCGCAGCAGGAGGAAGCCAAGAAGAAGTATTTGCGTGAACAGCGTAGACGCGAGTTGGAGCCGCGTGAGCAGGAGAAGGAGCAGCAGCATCTCAGCCGTATCCCGTCGTCTCGACTGGTGGAGCAGGAGGAAGAGAAGGAGGAGCCCGAGGCGGAACTAGAACCGCAGCGCCAGCCTGCTGGAAGCATTTCCACGAGCGAGAGCGAGCAGCCAGAGCACCAGCTCCCGCACGACAGGTACCCGTCATTTATGTCATCAGAGCAGAGCAGTAACCAGGAGGCCAGCGACATCGAAGGAGATGATGTCATTCGGCTTACGGCCGAGACTGGCGCGCGACTGTCGTCTGACTACCGCGATAGCGATCTGACGGACTACGAGGAGCACACTATCGATGGTCTGGGTGAAATTCGCACGACCACAGACCTCACGCGCTGGTGGCAAGACCAGCAACGCGTTAGCGAGACCGGAGACCACCAGCCTCGTCGGCAGCAGCCTCAAGCCAGCTTGTCCCCAGTCCAATCCCCACGGAAGGATAAGCGGCGTGCCAGCAACGACGACGTCAAGATGCAGCAGCAGCAGCGTTCGGCATTAGCATCGGCGGCAGTACCAGGCAATCGTAACGCGAAGCAGCAGGAGATGGTGGACCTCTTCAACCACTGGAAGCAGGAGTCCACGAACGAGATCCAGGTCCAGCACCAGCGTCAGAACCACACACCCGAGCAGCGACAGCAGATGCAGGAGTTCGAAGAGCAGGCACGGTATCAGGAGGAGCAGGTGCGCCGTCGGCAGCAGTCCGACTTTGAAGAGATGGCCCAGTACCAAGAGGAGCAGGCTCGTCGTCGCAAGCAGTCGCTCGACTCGCCAATCCGGCGCTCGCAGTCGGTGAGTCAGAGTCAACCCAACACGTCAGTCCTGCAGCAGATTCAGCAGCGTCAGAAGGAGCTAGAGAACCTGCGGCGCCATCGCCAAAAGCCGCGCGACGACGAACCGCCCGTGCCAAGTGTGACGAGCAGCGACCGACTTTCGGCTATCATCGCGCAGTCCTCGATGGCGGCCAAGGAGCGGTACCTCCAGCAGCAGCGACAGCAGCAGCTCGACCACGAAGCCGAAGCCGCGCGTAAGAAGGAGGCGCGTCTCCGCGCGAACAAGGCTCTGGACCAAACCGCCGGAGAAGACGTCGAGCTGATGGAGACGTCCAAGGGCGAGTGGGTTCCGGCCAGCGAGCCGCGCGCGTCCAACGTGGCGTCGGTCGTGAGCTCTCCTCGTCACGGCCCGGGCTTCTGTGACCACTGCGGCTCCCCCGAGTACATGGGCCAGAACGGCAACGTCAAGCCCAGCTGCAAGTGCGCGACGACCCCGACCAAGGCCACGGGCACTGTTCTATTCGACGGCAAATGGATCAGCAGCCCCACGCCGCAGGATTCTCCGTAAGGCGTACGTACGTAGATACAATATCAAGTGATGTATGTCGTCCAACCACGACTGCATGTAGAGAGTCGTAAAGTATATGTCGTCCCCGTGTGGAAGGAAACCAGCACCACTGTGGTAAGCTTAGCAATGTCAAAATCTCGGTGGTCAAACGTCACTTCAACTTCTCTTGTCCTGCATCCATTCCTTGAGGCTTTCAACTCACCGACGCGGAAGTTTCTTTCGGTGGGTGCCGCGCTGTTGTGGAGAATGCGCGACACACAACGCCCCGAAGCTTGCACGTTGTCGCCATTGCAATGGGCGCGTAGAGACTCGACTGGTGATTCGATTTCGACTGGGCGAGCTGCACACGCACACTCCGGATACCTTTGCGGGCAAACCTCGGCCGCAGCGAGCAGGCCGGGCCTCGTTAGCGGCGACCGCTGCGCTGGCCGGACCATTACGCGTTTAGTGCTCGCAGCGTAGGATCACTACGATGGACGCACGAATGTAGGCAAAAGCTACGGAGCAGGAGCAAGATGAGTCGCTTCTGCTGTGCCAAATCGTAGGAGGTTGGTTGTCAATTGGAATAAATTCTCTGCCAGCCTGGAAATGTGAGGAGGAGAAGGAGAACGTTGTTGCTGGTGGCTGCAACCTTGGGGAGTGCCTGATGGCAACGTTGATGGTGTCGAAGCAGGTCAGGCGAAGCTGCCTGACGCCTAATGCGGGGACTTCCCGGTGAAGTTGCCTCTGTGGTGCACCTGTATGATGGCGGCTTTTACAGCGCACAAGAAACGCATCTCGAAATGGGCCCAGACCTCAAAAAGTGGGCTGCAAATTTTGTCTGCGATGTGGCATTGCGTCCGTCGAGTGGCTCGATCCGAGTCCCGCTTGTACAATCGTAGTGGTTCGTGCGCTGTCACACCACCGCAGAGTTCCCTCCCTCCCCGCCAACCGTGCTCACCGATTGTATGTGCTGTATCCAGCCTCTAAAACAATGTATCGTAGGCACGACGCCTTCGACATTTTTTCGCAATTCTAAGTATTATAACTTACGTGTTACGTTCACAGGGACGATAGTGCCAGCTATTCACTCTAAGTGATGAAATTTACGCTCTGTTCACGAGGAAGCTGCACTGCTTGCTTGCATTTATTTTGTTTGGCGCATGAATCTTTATTGTCGTTTTTTCCTGCACAATTCATGGTGGTGCTTTGTCTGCACTGCATGCAAACAGGAACTTCGAGCCAGAACATGCCATGCAGGTCGCTGGTGGAAAGAATACGCCCGTCATTAACGCTGTAGATGCCACTAGTGCTGCTGTTCCTGTCTTCAGCTCTGTCCGAGCACAAGATCACTAAAGTATGCAGGCCCCCCAAAAATGGGCACTTGCATCCGTCCGAAATGGGCTGTCGGCCCCATCGCGGATGAACATTTTTTTAGAACGGCAATAACAGATGACCATAGCCGCGTCGGGATTGGCTGTAATGCACACGAAAATTGCCCATTGGCCCATCGCGGATCCGAAGCGGCGCGCGGTTGACACGGACGGGGGGATGGGCCGACGACGCCTCTTTTCATGGTGCACGCCGGGCGCTGGCAGAACACAAGCGGGAAGAACGTCCGAGCAGGAGGAAGCAAGGAGGCCGCGCTGCTCCGCCGACGCTGTCGCTGTCTCGACGCCCAGGGGCTCCCCGCACTCCAGCCGCGCCCTGTGTCCTGCACTTGCAACAGCAGAACCCCTGGCGGCTCGCAAAGCAACAAGCCACTGGCTCTTTGCAACGGCTAGGTGCGTGTTAACACTTTTTGTCTCTAACCGTGTTGCCGCTCGTGTTGCCTCTCTAACCGAGACACTCAATTGCCGTTATGCATCCGTTTAGGTGAAGAGGTCAAGAACGAGGTGTAGGTGGGTTAGCACCACCTAAACTCGAGTTTTGCGCTTCACTTAACCGTCATCTTCTGGCAACAAACCAGAACAGGTTGGTAGCCACGTTAACGCGAAACCTGTAGCCAAGATGGCGCACCTGGGCGATCGCCCCTCCGCCCGCTCGACGTCTCGCTCGGGGCGGAGCGGTCACCTCAACGACATGGATTCATCCATGGCCAACTCGACCAACTGCGCCAACTTGCGTCTTCGCCACGCCGCCGGTGCAGCAAATGGCTACACTCCGGGCAAGCTGCCCCTGCCCGACGACTACTTCACCGTGCCGCAGCTCAGCAGCAAAGAGAACAAATACCTCCTAGGCCTCGCTAAACACGCGTGCAAGGAGGTGGTGTACTACTCACGCCAAGATGACGGGCCGATGAAATGGCTACATTTGTCTTCCGAGGACGGAGTCGACGTCTTCCAAGGCGTAGACAGCTCCGGCACCACCTCCTCCCAGCAAGACGCAAAGGCTCTCACTTACCTGCGAGGCTCGTGCAAAATCCGCGCCACAATCGACGAGATCTCGGACTTTTTCAAGCTCGACACGGCCGATAAACTCTCAGGGTTCGCCCAGACCGTAGGTAAGGATGTACTGGACCAGAAGACGCTGTTAACCCTTGCAACGCCCACTCCAGACAACCCCAAGCACTACGTGGCGGTCAAGTGGACGGCCATTGAGTCCCCCAGCAAACTCGCTCGGAACCGGGACTTTTGCTACATCGAGTGCCACGACGAGTTCATCGACACCAACACGAAGCGACGGGGCTGGGTGAGGAGCATCCACTCTATCCGTTTGCCGTTCTGTCCGCCTTTAAACAAGAGCCACGGGCTGGTTAGAGGGAGTTTGTATCGGTCGGGCTTTATCTTCACGGAATCGGCTGAAAAGGGTTGCGTGGATGCGGTGCACACTTTGCACGTGGACATCAAGGGAAATGCCCCCAACTGGATGAAGATTCTGGTTATGAAGCGCCGCATCAAGAACATCGCAGAGGTGGATCGCCACTTCCAGCTGCAGAGGCTGGCAAAGCAGAGACTGTTAGGGGATTTGGAGCTGCCGGCCAAGGAGAACGCGACCCATTGCCAGCTTTGTGAGACGAAATTTGGGCTCTTCCACCGTCGAAGACGCTGTCGCAAATGTGGCAAGGTGGTGTGCACGTCCTGTGGGAATGAGTATCTGCTGGATTACGCGGGCATGGGACCCAAAAAGGTGCGCATTTGTGTGGAGTGCTCCGAGTCGGTGGTGTATGGCGTCAGTGTGCCCGTGATGGATGAAGCTGGCCAGATCGAACACACTGGTGCTAAGCAGATAGAGGAAAATGATATCCACCCCATGTATGATGATTCTCCACTGGGGGATTCCGTTGCGTTGCTGCAAAGCCGCATGCTGTCGATGGACGAGCACGAGTTCTACATGAAGACCGAGGACGAGAGCGGGATTGCAGACATGGAGGAGGCCAAGCGGATGAATAAAGAGTTCGAGGAGATGCTCATGAAGGTCATGGACGGGATCCCCGAAGAAAACTCGCAGGAAGGGTCGACTCGGAGGTTTAATCCTGCTGCAAAGTCACTGCTTGATGCTAACAGTGCGTCCGGCGAGACGATCCCTGTTGAAACACCTCTTGGTGGTGAGCTGCCTCCGTGGGAAGAGCGGCGAACCCAGAACCAGAAGACTCAGGAAGACTATGAGGATGACGATGAGCTGGGCCTACCACCCAGCAAGAGCGAGCAGATTAAGAAGCAGCTGCAGTATGAAGATCAAATGCGTCGTGAGCACATCGAACGCGCCAAGAAGCTCCGTCAGTACGCTGCAGGACCTCAGTCTTCTGACTACGTATCTACTGGCTCGACTGAACTGGGTGACCAGCGAGACGACGTGAGGCCTCGAGCGCGGGGAATTGTGCGGAACGAGTCGGGTGACTCTCTTCGAATGAGCTCGGAGTGGGGCGAGGAGTACTACACAGGGAGAGGAGGAGCCATCAGTCGCGTCGGACCCGGAGTGATGACGAGTTTCCGCTCGAATGAGTCCGCTAGCTCTGAAAGAGGAGGCGTAGCGAGGTCGGACTTGTCTGGAGACGGTCGACGCTCTCGGTTGGGGTCTCATGGAGCCACGTCGGTCTCCTCGAACGAGCGGGAGTACCACTTCGGTAACGGAGGTATCCCCCGCCATCGCGTCGAGACTGCACACCGTCTTAGACGTGATAGTGGCGAGGAGGAGAGAGATGTTGAGGATGAATTTGAACGTCAGAGACGCACTCAGCACTACTTCGACATGCGCAACGCTCGGCTGACGCTGTTGAGTGGAAGAGGGGCTGGTCAAGTTGAGGGTTCCTCTCGACAACAGCAACAGTTCGTAAACAATGAGCCTCCGGAGGCGCGCGATAGTGTGGAGAGATTATTCGAGTACGAGCAGCCACCGACAAGGTTCCGCTCGTCTGGAATCGGAGCTGGCTCTGACCCTCCGGTCCCTCGTCACTTGACCGGGAGTGAGTTGGAGTCGCCCTACACGTCGCTGAGTGACTCCCACTTCGCGGGGGCCTTCACCACCCGCCGGAGATACCGAAGCGACGACTTGGAAGACCGCGACAACGAGGCCTTCCGCTTGGCCATGTCCGCCATGCGGCTGTATGAGGAAGAGCGAGGGCCGCAGCTGCAGGTGTCCGAGGAAACGAGACGAGCGGCGCTGGCCAAGATGATGGAGGTCTACGCGCGGGAGATCGAGCGCAGCCATGACAACCACTCGGGCCCTTACAGTCGAGGCACGATCGCTGACACTCGTCGACTGCACCACGACGTTGGAGTGGCGCCTCCGTTGCGACGAACTGTGAGTGACGACCGTCCGGCGTCGTTCTACGGCTCGCCACTGCAAGTTTTCAGCCACGAGGACCTCGCCCCTGCCCCTCGACGACACCAGCGACGTAGAGATGTACCACGCCGAGAGGATTCGTACGCTCCGAGTCGCCCGGCGATGCAGAAGACAAGTGAGGAGACCCACGAGTACCGAGACCTCTCGGACCTTACCTCCAGCGCGTTCCAGGCCTTCCAGATGAACTCTCTCGGGCCGAGAGACGCCCCCAAGCTGCCCATTAAGGAGGTGGAGAGCTCCGAGGACTCGGACAGCGCGGCTCAAGACCGCGCTCAGTCAAGCTCCGTCCAGTTCCAGCGTGAGTCGACGAGCACCACCCACGTGCAGCTCAAGTCGGACACGTCTGGGGGCCGCTCGGCTGCAGCTCGAGCGGCGTACGGCAGCATTGAGAGCAGCGACGCCGCCAACATCCCCGTGTCGCGGCCGAACTCCATGTACGGAGTGGCCGACTCGGACACGTTCAGCGACATGGACCTCATCGATCTCCCGCACTTGATGCGCAAGGACGACGTCGAAGCTGGGGCTCGCAACTCGTTCGCGGATCTGCAGCAGTGGAGCGAGGAGACGCGCGACGAAGGCGTCGAGTACGTCCCAGTGAATGACCTACTGTCGCCCCTGCACTTGGAGGGCGTGCAGCACGTGGAGGACGACGACAGCGAGAGTCAATCGTCGAATGCGTCCTCTCAAATCGACTGGCAGAAGTCGTTGAGTAACAAGTACCCGGGTGAACAAGGCCGAGCTGGGACGGACTCGGAGCCGTCCTTCATCCAAGCGTACTCGATTACCCGCCAGGAAGAGTACTCGGATCTCACCAACTCGGGGTTGTTCGCGGCCAACGGATTGTCTGCGAGTATGGTCACACAAGACGACGAGCAGCCTCCGCGTCGCTACCGCAAGCCTCCGTCTCTCTCGGAGCTGCTGTCGGAGTACAGCGGCAGCGAGCGCTCGTCGCTCCCGTACTACTTGGAGTTCGGCGGGCAGCCGGAGCTGGAACCCGAGTACTTGCAGGCCATCGAGAACAGTCGACTGAACGGAACGGATGATATTGGCTCAATCCCAGTGGAAGGAGGACAACGAGGTCATGTGAGGAGAAGATCGAGTATCCCGTCGGAGCTGGAGAGCATCACGTCGTCGCGCGAACTTTTCCTGTGAGTAGGAGCCTTTATTACCTTACCACCCAGTGTACATACACCCTCGTGTATGCGTTTAATGTGCCAGAACTGAGGGTTCTTCCAATAATGGAAATAACTGAAAGCAAACTTGGACTCTCTTTGACTACTTTGACATTGTAAACATTTACTATGGCGTCTCAACATGTAACACCTCGTACTTCTTCCCAGATTCCGGACAGCGGGCATGGATAATTCGTACTGCAGGGTACTCAGCGACTTGATAAACGAGCTCCATCTCGTGACTTTGTGGGAGAAAATTAATCAGGAACAGCTTGTCCATTCTCAAAAATTCCCTGTAGTCATCCGCTTGCCCCACTGCAGCAGCGACATCAGCAGCCGTGAGTAGGTTTGCCCTGAGTTCGATTCCATACTTCACTTCGTGGTTGACAATGATGTCGAATCTTCGCTGCTTGTCGATCTCTCGATCCTCTGCGATAATATTCCTTGTCGAAACGCTGTTCGACGTGAAAATCCCCCGAATCGATTCGTACAATTCACACTGGAGAGCGGACTCACTCGGGGTTTGGCCCTTGAGCGCTCCGATGACATCTGTCTCCATATACTGAAGTGACGTAGCCAACAGCTCGAGTGGGTCATCAGCAGCTAAAACTTCGTCAATGTGACGGATGGGTAGAGCTTCTAGGCACACTCGCCGCATCATCGGGGATGAAAACTCCAACGCACCGTTGTCACCTTCAGTGATCACCCCAGTACATCCGTCTTAAAGTCGGTCTCTCCCCGCACACAATTCCTCAGCAGCGAGATGAGTGATTTCCAGTCCGAATAGTCCAAGAAATCCACCAAATCATCCCGCAGTCGGCTGTAGGTCCAATTGTATGTTTCCAGATAGGCGTAGAAACTGTCGATCTTGAGCCAATGCTCCCATTCGTATCGCTCCACTGTGCACTTGAGACGGTCAATCGAGCACCGGATCAAGGACCCGAAGACACCGGGAGCGCCGGCAGAGTAGTTCATGATGGCTGCTCGTGTTGACTCACTGAAGGGATACGACGGCTCGATAAGCTGGAAGAAGACAACCATTTGTTCACTTGAGAAACGCTCGACCTTGACCATCAGGTTACACAGATTAAAAGGGCCGACACCACGCCGTCCGCTTTGCATCTGAGGCAGCTTTACCAGATCGTGAGTGCCAACGCCAAGGAATCCGAAAAAATAAGGGGAAGTTTGCCAGTTGCGGAGGACGTCCAAAAACTTACTGGTCAGCTTCTCGTTGCGAAACATCACATCCATTTCGTCAATTACCAGCCACACGCGCTCCCCGCGCTCTTGGAGCATCGCCTCGAATTCGCGTGACGATGCTGCGCTTCCTCGGCTAAGCGCACCCCAAAACGTGTCTTCCGATTTCGTGTTTGTCGGCGTCAAAGTGCAAAAGTTGACGAAGACGGATGGAAATCCTTTGACGAAATTCCACAGTCGGTGCGCAATGGTCGTCTTTCCAAACTGGCGGGGTCCGTAGAGCAGGCACAGTGGCCGAACGGTGTCATGAGGAGAAGAAAGTGACGCTTCTAGCGACTTGTACGCCTTGATCGATTCCATGGGCACCGAATAGGCCTCCAAATGGACTGGACCCTGGTATACCACGGTTTTGTGCTGAGTGAGTTTGACCTTCTTCCGCGGTGGTCCATCGTTACTTGGTGGTAGCACCACCAGCACGTGGATCTGGAGAGGCAGTGGAGGGTCCATTTTCTCTAGCGCGTTCAGAAGGAGGCCCTCCCCCAGCAGCTCTTTATCTTCCGCTGTCAATGCTTTGATGAGATCCGTCGTGCCTCCCTTCCTCAGCCTCTTGACGTCTTCGGAGGCGGACGACAGCCAGGCCTTGTCCGTCATTTTGGCCAGGAAGAGCTGCATCCTGTCGAGTTCGCACGTGACGGTGTCGGGTTTCTCCTTCTTGGTTTTTTTCTTCAGGTGGTGGACAAGAAACTTGCTCCAGTCGACGTCCGTTGGGATATCCACAGTGAACACACCTCGTTCTCCTACTACAGCGCAGGCCAGTGTCGACTGGGACGGCAACGCCATTTTTTCTCAAACACTGGAATGGGGGAATAAAAAAATGAGCGAAAGTTGTTGTTTTCCGTAACGGACAAGGAAAATTGATTGACAAAGTCGTCCAGCGTTTTTCCGGCCGCTGTATTTCTGGAGTGGAGTACATTCGATGTCTGCCGAAAATGAGCACGAGGGTTCACTGCTGGAGGACTTGCAGCGATGTCGTCGGCTGGTAGCTGCCATCCGTGGACAGGTGTTGGCGCCGTCGCGGAAGCAGCATGCGTTGGAACAACTTGTGGATGCCGTTGCCAAACGCCGAGAAAATCAACAAAATCGATGGTGGACTAACGACGCAATGCCCTCTCCTCGAGCGCGATACCTTAGGTAGCTTGTTCTGTATGTGGAGATTACGATATGATGGACAAAATGTAGTGATACTCGTTACTGGTGGCCCGTGTAGAGATATTCAAGTCCGTCGTATCAAAACAATTCAGAGACGATGGCGCAGGTCAGCGAGAGACAAACACTGTTCGCTTGTATAACTTAGTCAAACGCGAGGCTTAACCGAAATTGTGTTGCTATCATGCTGGATAGACACATGCTGCAGAAGCGGATCATGGCGAAGGCCCGAATGATGCAGAAGTGGCGAAGTAGACAAGGTTCTCGACTTCTATCTCTTCCTTTGGTAGCTCAACGTTGCGTTTCTAACTTGGTTCGGGCTGTTCAGGCATCTCTCGCTTCCGCAAAAGTGCTCTTTTGATACAACGCATCTTCCGTGGGCACTTCGTTCGAAAGCACAAGTGAGTATCGGATACGGTAAATCACTAACTGGGGTAAGCATGAGTTCTCTAACCGTTATTCTAACGCAGAATCGACATCGCCTCCTACCTGGCGGGGCTTGTGTCACGGGTAGAGCGTCTTAGAAGCGAGCGTGAGGTCTTTCACTTGAAGTGCGAGAACATCCAGCAGGAGCTTCAGCAGCTTCGCGTCGATATCGACATAATCCAAGATAAAATTTCAGAAGAGGAGAAAGAGGTGGCGCTTATCGCCAGCAAAGGAGTCATTGCAGCGGACACCGCCGTCGTCCATGAAGACGCAGCCGAATCGGTTGCGTATTACAAGGGCGAAGTGGCGGAGCTCGAGGAATTCGCTCGAAATCTCGAGAAGGAACTGCAAGAGTTACGGGAACAGGATCCAGTCGTGCACTATGCTGCAACGCTCATTCAGGCACTGTACAGAGGCGTCCGGTGTCGAACGCAGCGCATCCGAGAACGCCAGCGCCAACGTCAGATTTATGCTCGGTACGAATTAACCTGTAGATTTAGTAAACGGTTGTTGAGATCCGTAGTACTGACCCCTTGATCTACAGAATGCTTCAATCCAAGGAACTGTGTTACGATCGCATCCACGCTTCGTGGGTTATCCGCAACCAGAAGCTCTAGGACGCAAGTGCAAGAATCATCGCCGGTCTGTTCCACATCCAACGAGCCAAGCACGAGCGAATTTTCCTTCGTCGAGATCGTGCTGCGCGGCGAATTCTACGTTTGTATTGAGACGTGCAGGCCCGAACGGCGGCAAAGCAGAGTCTTCAGTGGAAAAAAATAAAGTTTCACGCAAAAGAACTGGCCAAAAGGAAACTCCACATGTTGCGTCTAGTTACTTGGTCAGGTTGGGTCCGTTGTGTGCAAATGGAAGCACAGCGACGTACGACAATCGCAGACCGTGAAGCGGCAGGCCTCATGAAGTGGCAAAACACCAAGGCGAGGCAATTTCGATCAGCTTATCGAGCGCGTGTGATGAAGCGCGACGTCCTAGAGCATGAAGTTATGAACCAGCTTGATACCCGCGTGCTGCAGCATATCCGTGCCGCAGTCCAGACAAGTGATAAGGAGACTTGTACTCTTAGTGCACAGGAAGTATCCTCCAGCTTCTTACTGCTGATCCGAAGTGATGTTTGGACGTGGCAAGTACCTGACAACCAGCTCTACCTCCTGGCGCAGCGATACGATCTCCCTCTCGAGTTGCTTCCACTGAAGCGAATTTACCACTGGCTGGCTGGGGAATCGCCAGCTTTCGTGGATCTGTACGCACCACTTCCAACTCAAACTCTGCTACTTTTCAGCCATTTATCGCAGTGCTTTTCGCTTCACTCCCGTATATTGTTACAGATACGACGAATCCATGAAGCTTACGAAGCCCGCATGCTCATGCGCGAATACCTGGCTCTACTGTACACTGCGAACGTTGTGAGACTCTCTCCTTCGACCACATTTTCTTCTGAACAGCGTCAACGCGCTGTGGATATTTTACGTGGAAAGGATCGGGTCGAGTATCTCCCCATTTTACAAGGTAGAGAAGTCGAATCGGGCGCGAACTTGAACAACCAAGGCATATTGGTGCAGCGTGGCGCGTTCACGTCGTTCCATTGCGGGTGGAACCATCGACTTTGCGAACGTTGTTTGGCTATGGGGCCCGCCAGACAGGAATCATCTCGTCAGTGCAAGTGCTGTGGTCATCACCAGTACGAAGCAAACACTGTGGCTAGAGACTTGAGGCTGGAAGCGCAGGAGGCTTTCCCTGAAAATGACGCCCCAGCAAGAGTCTTGTGGGCTTCCTCGAGCGAGAGATGCGACTTTATGGTTCTAAACGCCTTCCTGCATGCCTTATCCCCGGTGGGTCACGACAACCGCGAGAAACTCCCTCTCGATACGCAGTGGAAACTTGCGATGCGCAGTGCGTACGAACCCATGGTGCAGCTGTATGACCACCTTCCAACTGGATCACTAAACGATCTCTTGAATGTTGGAGGCTTGGGCAAAGTCTGCTGCCCACCAGGTGAGAATGAGCAACTGCAGCTATTTATCACGATATTGAAAGACGAGTGGACCCAGCTAGACGCTCAACTGGCATCGGAAGCTCAAGTTGCAGCGACAAATTTTACTACAAGAGAAATATTTCAGAATGGAGACCATCCGATCAAGAATGTATTAACCAAGTCAATGGTGCAGCGCAAGAAAAATAAACGAATCGGCCAACCGGTTGGACGTTTGAAGCCGCTCGTTAACGTGACCCCAGCTACGCAGCACTAGCTAAGCTACGCTTCAGCTCACTTCCTGACCTTCAGCAGCAACGTCTTGTTGCCCTTGATCTTCTTCTGAAGCTGCATCAGGCCGAAGAGAAGAGCCTCAGCTGTGGGAGGGTAACCAGGCACGTAGATGTCCACGGGGACGATACGGTTGCAGCCGCGCACCACGGCGTACGAGTAGTGGTAGTAGCCGCCTCCATTCGCGCAGCTCCCCATAGACACGACGTAGCGTGGTTCCGGCATTTGGTCGTAGATTCGACGCATGGCCGGCGCCATCTTGTTCGTGAGGGTTCCAGCCACGATCATGACGTCTCCTTGGCGTGGAGAAGCTCGATACACCATTCCCATGCGCTCGCAATCGTATCGTGAACCAGCTGACCCGATGCAAATGTACTCAATGTTACTCCAAAACGAAAGCGTTTAGACCGTGGTTGTCGTGCAGAACGTACCAAAGTGCATCATCTCGACTGCACAGCAGGCCAGACCGAAGGATACAGGCCAGATGGAGCTCTTGCGGCCCCAGTTCACAAGATCATCGAGGCGAGACACGACGTACTCTGATGTGTATGTAGAAAGCATTAGTGGCTGGCATGATCGAGAGTTGCAATTGACGATCTGGTCCACCTACCGGCGCTGTTTCGGGCCGTAGCATTCCCAGAGAGCAAGTCTGCGATGGTGGAACGCTCCATGGCCTCCGCATTGTCTGGACCCGACTCATTCTTCGCGGCGGAAGAGGTCGTATGGAGGAAATGAGTAGCTCCTGCCGGCTTGAGCACCGTAAGCGACCGCCGGCACAGAAGATTTGAGCGGATGCGAAGCATGGTGTCGAACATGAAACCCTGAAGACTGAAAAGGATGCAACCGAGGCAACGAAGTGACCAAATGTTTTCGCGACAAAGCTGACGGCCACCTTCACAATAATCTGGTTCAGGATCTATGTGAACTCGAACTTCAGGTTGGATAGATTGCGCTGGAAGGCTGATGGCCACCATTCCAGTCATCTTTTCGAAAAAAAATGCGGCAAGGTATCGATCAGTAAATGAACACGTATTATTAATAATACTAGCACAAATACAAACCTATGTACAAGTTTACGCGGTTATGTTGGTGGCCACCCTGACAATGGCTTACCCGGAGGTGTTGATGGCCACATGCTACAAGCTTCACCGTTAGACCCTGGTTGGCGAGTCGCCGATGGCAGTCCATATTTCATTCTGGCGTGCAGGTAACAGGAATGTGTAGCCTTGGCTGAGAAGGAATACGATAGGTCACTCATTCTTCTTTCATGATGTCTTCGTTTTCATTATTTGGAATGGTTTTCAGGTAACGACATTCGATGCAGCTCTCCGTCACCCATCTGTCCATGATCAAGTGACTCGTCTACTTCCGCACCTTTAGCAGCAACGACTTGTTGCCCTTGATCTTCTTCTGAAGCTGCATCAGGCCGAAGAGAAGAGCCTCAGCCGTCGGGGGGCACCCAGGGACGTAGATGTCGACCGGCACGATACGATCGACACCACGCACGACGGCGTACGAGTAGTGGTAGTAGCCACCTCCGTTGGCGCAACTACCGAGCGACACAACATAGCGGGGCTCGGGCATCTGGTCGAAAATACGACGCAAAGCAGGCGCCATCTTGTTGGTCAGCGTGCCGGCCACGATCATCACGTCAGTCTGACGAGGAGAAGCACGGAACACCATTCCCATACGCTCAAAGTCATAGCGGGAACCAGCTGCATCACGTCAAAAGAAAATGTTCTGTTAGAATGCTAAGATAACACGACCAGTAGACTTAGTTACCAAGTTAAAAACGTACCGGCGTGCATCATTTCGACGGCGCAGCAGGCCAGGCCGAACGAAATGGGCCAGAGCGAGCTCTTGCGACCCCAGTTGACGAGGTCGTCAAGGCGGGACACCACATACTCTGAAATAACGTTAGAATGTTAGAGTACTGTCGAGTTTGAATGAGTTTCCTGTCCGTTCGTCACCTACCGGCGCTGTCTCGGGCGGTCGCGCTGCCGTTGAGCAGGTCGGCGACGTTGCCGCGCTGCGAGGCCTGCAGTTGCTTCTGAGCCCCCGCCACCGCGGAGGTGGTCTGAATTGCCCTCGAGGAGCTGGCGACCACGGGTCGGGCCGCACCGCGCTGCAGGAGCTGCGAACCAAGGCGGAGCATCGTGATACAGTAGCCAACTGGAAACGCTCGAGAGCTGGGGACGTCGAAAGCTCGGACTGTCCGAACCGGAGGAATCTGCGGCCAGGAGCGAGCAAAGCAAAGCGAAGGGGGCAGGTCCAGCCTCCAGCTTCATCTCGCTCGCTTGTATGTGGCGGATTGCGCTGGCACCTGCGCTGCTGCTGATGGCCACCTCGCCTGCGTTTCAAAACGCGGTGTACTCGACGGCAACTTACTTGCAAAAAGTAACGGAGACCGGACCTGGTCTTGACACGCGAGTTATCAGGATTGTCGACACCTCGAACGAAATGTTGCAATAGTGAAACCAAGTCATTTTGATCCATGGTCCATCGCGATGATTATGCTGCGCTGATTGTGGCCACCTTTGCTGGACGGGTTATGAGCGGACTGAGACACCACCCGCAAACAGGCTTGCTCGTTCCGGCAGTCTCACTTTCGACTGCAGTACGTGTAATGTACGAGGTCGAGTGCCGATATGCCAAGCTGGCCACAAGTCTGTCAGTGGACATGCCGGTACAAGTCGATGCTTCTTCGACAAGCTAGGTTACTTCGCGACTCGGAATCTCCGAATTGAGCCCAGACCCCCCCCCCCTATCGACTCGAATGTTGTTCACCCGCATCAAACAAGGTACTGTACGCCTTCGTGCCCACTTGTCTGCCTCTGTGTGTTCATCCAAATTCATTTTCTTGTTGTCTTCTTCCAACGATATGCAGGTTCCGCCCTATCCTCGGCTGCGTTCAAGTGCGGATCGACCGCCTACTTCCTCACTTTGAGCAGTAGCGACTTGTTGCCCTTGATCTTCTTCTGGAGCTGCATGATGCCGAACAGCAAAGCCTCGGCTGTGGGGGGACACCCCGGGTCAAACACGTCAACGGGCATGATACGGTCCACGCCGCGCACCACCGCGTACGAGTAGTGGTAGTAGCCGCCGCCGTTTGCGCAGCTCCCCATCGAGATGACGTAGCGCGGCTCCGGCATTTGGTCGTAGATTCGACGAAGAGAAGGTGCCATCTTGTTGGTGACCGTGCCAGCGACGATCATGAGGTCCGTTTGGCGCGGAGATGCACGGAATAACAAGCCGACGCGCTCGAAGTCGTAACGCGATCCGGCTAAATAATGGCAGAAGCAAGGGGGTTTCGTTCAGTCAGTACTTGGGATCTTCAGGAGGTGTCTTCAATCGTGGGGCTACGCACCGGAATGCATCATTTCTACGGCGCAGCAAGCCAAGCCGAAGGTGACGGGCCACAGGGAGCTCTTCCGACTCCAGTTGATGAGGTCGTCCAGGCGGGATACGACGTACTCTGCCGACAAGTGCAAGATCGGAGTGAGCAATAAAGCGGAGAAGAGGGCTGCAGTGATTCCACTTTCACGTACCAGCGCCATTCCTCGCTACCGCATTTCCAGCCAGGAGATCCCCCACGTTCCCGCGTTGCTGGACTTCGGCTCCTCCGGATGTCGAAGATGTGGCGTGAAGGAGACGAGTGCCTCTGGCTGCACAAGCCACCGCGTTTTGCGTAAACTCGCTACGGTGAAGGAGCCCGGAGCTGAGTCGCCACATCGTTGAATGCAGGAAGATCGACGCTGCCAAAGTTGACCAAGCCCAGCCACAGGAGAAATGGAGAGGCCTAGAGATCCTTCCCACTGGACTCGAACTGCGCTGGATTACGGTGGTCCAAGTTGATGGCAACTTGAACGCAGCAGGCCAATTGGCATCGAGGTCAACATGCGATTATTCTGCCCAAACGTGCCACAATCGCTGCAACGAGATTACTCGGGTCAAACCATGACGCCAGGACGAGTCTGCGCAGCCAATCCAGGACGGTCTTTCGCTCATCTGCCACAACAAGGAGGTGTATGGTACGTACATCTATCTGCCCGCTGCTGCTGCTGCGCTGTGTTGTGTCATCCAAATTCATTTTCTTTTGTGTCTGTGTGTGCGATGTGTCTTCTCTCAACCAAATACAGATGCGCCAAGTACATGTAGCTGGCCTACACGACAGTCTTGTTCCCGGAGCTCCCGTCCGCCAGAGAGGCAGCCAGCCACGCACGCAGCTTACTTCCGCAGCTTCAGCAGCAGCGACTTGTTGCCCTTCACCTTCTTCTGCAGCTGCATGAGGCCGAACAGCAGCGCCTCGGCCGTCGGCGGGCAGCCGGGCACGTAGATGTCCACGGGGATGACGCGGTCCACGCCGCGCACCACGGCGTACGAGTAGTGGTAGTAGCCGCCGCCGTTGGCGCAGCTGCCCATGGACACGACGTAGCGCGGCTCGGGCATCTGGTCGTACACGCGGCGCAGGGCGGGCGCCATCTTGTTGGTCAGCGTGCCGGCCACGATCATCACGTCCGTCTGACGGGGCGACGCACGGAACACCATACCCATGCGCTCGAAGTCGTAACGCGAACCGGCTGCAGCGAGCGACAAGGCGCCAAGAGGTCAGCAAGGCGATCAACTATGGGGGTCACAAGAGAGAGAGAGAGCGTACCGGAGTGCATCATTTCGACGGCGCAGCAGGCCAGACCGAAGGTGATGGGCCACAGCGAGCTCTTGCGTCCCCAGTTTACCAGGTCATCCACGCGGGACACGACGTACTCTGCAAGTGTGGAGAGAGAGAGGAAGTGTGTGAGTCAGAGCGCGACAGGGAGGGAGAGCTGTGACTGCGCGTACCGACGCCGTTGCGGGCCGTGGCGTTGCCGTTGAGCAGGTCCTGGATGTTGCCGCGCTCGGCGGGCGCCGAGGACGACGAGGTGGCGGGCACCGCCGACGAGGCGCAGCGGACGGCGGACGTCCGGGCCAGGGCTCCTGAGCGGCGCGCGAGGGTCAGCATGGTGGGCAAGAGGCTTGCTGTGTGCGGCGTTCGTCGAGCGATTACAGCCGCCCGCTTTGGGGGCCAAAACCACCAAAATCCCCGGCAGAAACGATATCGGCAAGGACGGGGCTATTCTATATTACAGGTCGTGCACGACTGTGGATTTCATGACGTGGTTGATCAAGTCTCAAAGGTTTTGACCGTCGGAATTCTTGAAGGCTCTGTATTCGACTGAGTGTACCGAAAGGATGGTACAGACGCAAGTTGAAGACAAGTTGCCGTAGCTACGGACACAGGCACAGCGCGCAGCGAGGCGAGAAGAGCATGGCGGAGGCCAGGCGACCGATGCGTTGGGATTCGCTCGCGGGACTTGGAGAATATGCGTCGTCTTCCGGATTGCCGGCTCGGGATTTGGCTTCGGCGCCCTCTCCGTTCAATCCGAGCACCAGGTAGGCCGCGGACTTGGCGGATATGTAAGCTTGCAAGCTCTCGGCGATGGTGCTCGTGCTCTCGATAGGCTGAATGTCCACTTCGCCGTTGATCTGGGTCGCAAACACGATTTGGAGAGGTAATGCAATAGAACGGGAAAATGAAGTTTGTACAGGCCGACGGTACCTGAGCTCCTTCGATGATGTTGCGGTACCATTCAAACGGCTGGGCGTCATACTCGCCGACGATCGGTTTTTCGTGGAAGTGGACGACTTGTAAAATGTCCACTGGCCGCATGAGCTTGAGCGTTGCGTTGAGGCAGCGGGTCGCAGCCGCTGACTTGTCCACCGCCACCACGAACACGTACTGCTTGCTAATCACCGAGTTGACTGGGGCAGGAGGGACGACCAGCGTAGGTATCGAGGTAGTGCAGCGCAGTACCTCCAACGGAACATGGTGAACTTGATCAATTGCCGGTCCAGCTTTGCCATGGGCCCCTAAAACGAGGAAATCCACTCGTTCACGCTCTGCAACTTGTAAGAGTTGCTGAGCAACTGAGCTTTTGCCGTCACTCGCCTCGCACGTGATCTTGACACGGTTCGATGGTAGCTGCAGTCGAGCGCAGTGTGCCTTGTACTCTGAATGGCAGGAGCATAGTTAGATGTAGCCCGAATGAAAAAGAGCTCGTTTCACTGATGCACCTTCCGCGATGAACTCGCCGGAAATCTGCGGCAGTTGGAGGCTGGCGGAAAGCTCTTTGTCGACGTTAACGATAGCAAGCTGCCCTTGCCTTCGTAGGCGCACCGCCAGCTCGAATGCTAGATACGATTGACCTAAGTTGTCCAATTACAAGCATTAGAACTCATAAATATGATTCGCGCAAGCTACTATAAACAATTGAAGGCGTACGGCTGCCGTCAACTGCGACCATGTACTTGGCCGTCGGAGAAAGGCACCTGTTGTCTTGGTGCTCTGACACACACCAAAACATTTTGTCAGAGTGATGACAATACTGCAAGCCCAGGCCCACTCACCTTGCTCCATCTTGCTGCGCAGTTCCGTCAGGGTTGAGTGCACGTCCAAGAACAACCCCGACTCGCTTTCACGCGCAGCTGCAGCCGGGTCGTAGTCAGCGTCGTCCATTAGATAGCAAAGCTGCTCATGGCTCCACTCAGAGACGTCTTCAGGCGCTAGCGACTTGACCAGCTCCAGAACTTGATCGGGCCGATCCAGCAGGTAACCTCGGAACGTCTCGTTCGTCAGCTCTGGCTGCACACGTCAGCCCTTAGTCCACTACAGTACACACCACTTCACTATCAACTTCGCCAAACCTCCTTAATGCTCAGCGCCAGTCGCGTGCTCTGGATGCACAGCTGCAGCGCCGGCGACGGCTTCTTGAGCGCCAACACGTCGCGCATCGTCAACTAACTCGCACCTCTTCAAGCAGTATCATGTCACTCAAGCGAGGGGAAAACTTCCGTAGTACCAAATGTAGGTGTGAAAGGTTTCAATTTACGGTGTGTTGGTTAGTGACCGTGCTCAAAGCTCAAAGCACACCGATCGAGGGCTGCCTGTCGCTCAACTCGATCCACCCGGTCGCCATGCAGGACGGCGGCGAGCTGCACCCGGCGCAGGTGCTCAAGAGCGGGCACGACGTGGGCTCGAGCCACTACGCGGGCGGCGTGCCGCCCCACAAGCGCATGCGCAAGCCCATCGTGCGCAAGAGTGTGGACCCGAACGCCACCTTCATCAACTACGTGACGCAGCGCCGCTTCGTGCTGGCGCGCAGCGTGCGGTCGCACGCGCTGCCGCCGCACTCGTTCTACAAGAAGCAGATGCTGCCGCCCATGGCCTACGCCGGGGACGACGACCTGGCCTCGTGCGTGTGCACCAAGTTCTGCCGCTGCTCGACCAACAAGCAGCGCTGCCCCGTCAACTGCCTCACGTGGACGCCCGAGGGCCGCCGCCTCATCACGGGCAATTCGGTGGGCGAGTTCACCCTTTGGAACGGCCTGGCCTTCAACTTCGAGACCATCCTGCAGGCCCACGACGACGCTGTGCGCGCCATGGTGTGGTCGCACAACGACAACTGGCTGGTCACGGCCGACCACGGCGGCGTCATCAAGTATTGGCAGTCTAGCATGACCAACGTGCAGCTGCTGCAGGGACACAGGGAGGCGGTGCGCTCGCTCAGCTTCTCGCCCACGGACTTCAAGTTCGTGTCGTGCTCGGACGACGCGACCGTCAAGATCTGGGACTTTGAGAGCGGACGCGAGGAGCGCGTGCTCACAGGACACGGCTGGGACGTCAAGTGCGTGGCCTACCACCCGCAAAAGTGTCTGCTTGCCAGTGGCAGTAAGGATAACCTGGTGAAGATCTGGGACCCCAAGTCGGGCAATAGTCTCAACACGCTGCACGGACACAAGAACACCGTCTTCAAGGTCGCCTGGAACTCGAACGGCAACTGGCTGCTCACGGCCAGTCGCGACCAGCTCATCAAGATCTACGACATCCGGATGCTCAAGGAGTTTGCCACGCTCAAGGGCCATGCTCGTGAGGTTACATCTATTGCGTGGCACCCGTGGTATGAGCGTCTCTTTGTCAGTGGCTCGTACGACGGATCGCTCATGTACTGGGAAGTTGGGTACGTCTGTCTCCCTGTGCTGCTTCACATCGGGTGCTGCGCTTTCAGCTACTAACGGCAGTTCTTGTTGTATGGTTCACAGTAAGGAGAACGCGCTGGCGTCCATTCCTCAGGCACACGACACGGCGGTGTGGGATATTCAGTGGCACCCGGTTGGCCACGTCGTCGCGACTGGAAGGTATGTCCGCTTCTCATTTCGGCATGAATGTTCATGAGGTTCAGCGCAACTAATGTGTTTTTATTATTTGGTTACAGTAATGATCACAGTACGAAGTTCTGGTGTCGCAACCGTCCGGGAGACCCGATGGATGACAAGTACAATGGCGGCCAGACCGTGCTCAACGAGCACGAAGCTGGAGAAGGAATGGCGCATATGCGAGGAGGCCTGAACAACGCAGAAGTGCTACCTGGCATGGCGGACGGTGCCAGCAGCCTCCGCTCCAGTGCCATCAATGTTGCGAACTTCCAGACATTCAACAAGTCAGCTGACAACCGCGCAAATGGTGGTCGTCGCCCGCCGCCCGAGTCATACACGTGCAACCGCTGCGGGACCAAGGGCCACTGGATCGAGGACTGCCCCACGAAGGACCAGCACAACCCGAACGGCCAGATGCAGCGCAAGATTCCGCCTGAAGGCTACTTGTGCAAGCGCTGCAACGTTCCTGGTCATTACATCTCGGACTGCACAGAGCCTAAGGTGCCGCCGCCGTCGTACACGTGCCACAAGTGCCGCCAGAAGGGTCACTGGAAGCAGGACTGTCCGATGGACGGCAACGGCGCGATCAGCGCGCTGCTCAGCCAGATCCGTCCTCCCGGTGGAGCGGGTTCCGGTGGCGTTCCGCCTCCGCCGCCCTCCGCTCGAGGGTTCCCGCCACGGGGCATGATGCCGCCGCCTCCGCCTGCTGCAGGAGCAGGGGCCGGATTGCTGGTGCCGCCGCCACCCCCGCCTCATATTCTTGCTGGAATGAAGCGCGCTCGCGAAGATGACGGCGGCAATGGTGTGGGTATGCCTCCGCCGCCTATAAACGGCTGGCCGCCCATGGCAGGAGCCTCGGCCCGTCCAGGGCCACCTCCAGGTCCGCCCGGAGGCGCAATGCCGCCGCCGCCCGGGCTATTGGGTCCGCTGGGCCAGCCCGACCTGAAGAAGCTGAGCCGCGACCCGAGGCGGAGGTAGATGCGCTCCAATCGTCGAACAGCGGAACCCGATCGATCGTCACCGAGACGGTTGGACACCTACGGGAGGAAGAGCCTAGTGACAGTAGTAGCAGCATTGCCCGACAATCAATAACGTTAGTGAAATGCAAGCGGAACCATGGCCCATGTCAAACGTGCGGCGATCTGATCGCCTGCTGCCGAGTGATGTGATGATGATGCCGGCAGGTTTGTTTGCGCGGCACTTGAAGTTCGGTTCAACTTGACCCCCCGAGCTCGTTTCGGATGTGAAAAATCCATGCGTCTAACAACGACGCCACCCCAAGCAGCCCCCAAGCATTGCAGGAGGAGCGCCAGCGCCCTACATGTGATGCATGGTGATCTGGCACCAGTGCAGCAGCTTCGGAGCGGAAAGCTGTCGAGCACGTGACCGGAATCAGTCAACGGTGGGAACAAAGAGCCGCGGAGCGGACTTTCGCGGTTGAAGATGGATCAGCGCGCGCGCTGCGCGAGGTGCCGGCATGCTGCCACCTGCGTGGTCTCCCTCGACCCCGGCCCACCGTGGGCCCCACGCCATCTGCGCCAAGCTGGCTGCGCCGCGGTCGCTCGCTGTCCTACGGCGAAATGGCCTCGCGACGTTCGGGGCGCAAGCCGGCGCATTTGGGTCGGAGGCAATACCTCCTCATCATTGGCTGAAAATATGCTACAACGCTGCTTCATTGGCTGAAAATCAAAACATGCTTTTCTTTCCGCCCAAGATTGCAAATTCCAGCTGCAATTTCGCATAGCCCGGCCACCCAAGGTCTCACAGGGCATCCGATATTGAAGGTGCAGACGCAGTACTATCCCAATTAGTAGCTCGACGTCCATCGTATCAACTCTCGCGACGACGACAACCAGGCGGCCTGGGCGACCTCGTGGTCAACCGCCATTTCCATACTTTTCCCCAGTGCGCAGGAAGCCAGCCCGCGCGCCATAATGAAGACGCAGCGGGAGTCGGCCCACGTGCCGCCCACAGCGCTGCTGCTGCAGACGTCGCGCGCGTCCGCGCCCATGCCCGCCGGCCACCGGCGCAAGCAGCAGCTCGCGTTGGGCGGCTCCTCGGACCGCCTGCGCAGCCCGGACGACCGCCGCGCCGCCCGACGACACCACGCGCGGCCCCAGGCGGCTCCGCCGGCGTCCGCGCCCTCCGCGCCGTCCTACCAGCACCTGGGCACCATCGAGAGCGTGCGCACGGCGCTCAGCAGCACCGGCGGCGGCGTGAGCGCGGGCTCCGGCGTCGGCTGCCACGAGGTTATTCTCAGCGGCGCGCTCACCAAGCGCGGCCAGTTCTTCAAGACGTGGATCCCGCGCCACCTGGTGCTGTCCCGCGGCGCGCTGCAGGTGTACCGCAAGAACCCGTACGCGGCCAGCATGCAGCAGCAGGAGAAGGACCTGGCCCAGCTGGAGAAGAAGCTGCTGAAGATGGAGGTGGCGCGCGCCGACGCCATCCGCGTCGAGGCGTCGGACGCGTTCAAGCACCACCCGTTCTGCTTCGTCCTGGTGGCGCGCAAGCGCTCGCGGCGGCGCGGGCTGCTGGGCGGCGGCAGCGGCGACTCGACGACGCGCAGCGCCATCACGTTTAACAGCGCCGGGGGCAACTGCTTCCAGCACCGCAAGGAGAGCAACCTGGACTCGAGGAGGATCGACGACGGACCGGTCGTGCTCTACTACCTGCAGGCCAGCAAGGAGGCCGAGAGGCAGCGCTGGATCCGCGCGCTGCAGCGCTGGATCGAAGGCGAGAGCCCCGCCAAGCTCGGACGCGGCATCCTCAACTACATTGTGAACAACGAGTACAGCAACTACCGCTACGGACAGAAGGTGGTGGGAGGTACGTCCTCCTCGAGGTCGGTGGGGCTGGCCGGGGACTGCGGCTCGACGGTCAGTGGACCGGCGGCCTTGTCGCCGGCGTCTCAGGCCGGTCGTAGCGTCGAACAGGAGTTCCCCGTGCTCGCCAATTTGATCCGGGACATGCACGACTGCAAGAAGGAGGACGAGATGGTGTACATCCTGGACCAGATTCTAGGCGAGGTGCAGGACGGCGCCAACAGCGGCTACATTAAGAAGCTCATCGCCACGGCGGGGGAAGTGAAGCTCGAGGAATCGCAGCACGTCTGGACGACACACGTCAAGACGGCGTACGCGAACGTGATGAAGGCGTTGCAGACCGCGTCGTCTGGACAAGAGCCGAGCAGCCAGGCACCCACTCTGCGGGCCCCTACCACGTATGCGATGCGTCAAAACTCAGCGGGCAGTGTGGAGTCGAGTGAGAGCAACCGCTCGCTGAACAACGTGGACATCATGTCTTTCCACCGCTTCTACAAGCTCGGACGGAAGCTCGGATCGGGCGCCTTCTCGGTGGTGCACATTGCTACCCACCGCGAGACGAAGAAGCAAGTTGCTGTCAAGTGCATCGCCAAGGCGAGTTTGGGTCCCCAGGACGTGCACTCTTTGAAGCAGGAGGTGGAGGTCATGTCGAGTCTAAACCACCCGAACATCGTGCCTCTGCTGGACTACTTCGAGGAGGACAGATACTACTACATTGTGACCCCCTTGTGTACGGGCGGCGAGCTGTTCGATGACCTGGTCAAGCGCAAGAGCTACACGGAGGAGGATGCCCGCGTGCTCATGCGCAAACTCGCGAGTGCTATCGACTACCTTCACTCGCGTGGCATTGTTCACCGTGACCTGAAGCCGGAAAATATTTTGCTGAAAACGTCGGCGCCAGGCGCAGAGGTGATGATCGCTGATTTCGGCTTCGCTAGACCCATGAACGGTTCACGCCGTGGTACGGCGTGCGGCACTCCGGGCTACGTTGCTCCCGAAGTTGTACAGGGCGAGCCGTACGGAGCTGAAGTGGACTGCTGGAGTCTCGGCGTGATTTTGTTCATCCTGCTGTGTGGATACCCGCCGTTCCCTGGTGCCAACCACGCGACGGTGCTGGACAAGGTCGCGAAGGCCGAGTACAAGTTTGAGTCTCCGTACTGGGACGAGGTGTCTGATGAAGCCAAGGACCTGGTGTCGGAGCTTCTCACCGTTGATCGCACCAAGCGTCTCGACGCCTCGGGTATCCTGGCTCACCCGTGGATGGACGAGACGCGCGCGTCGGTCATCAGCATGACCGACGACAGTGAGTTGCGGAAGCGTATCACGCGCAAGTGCTCGGACCTGTTGCCGGCGCTGCACCAGATGCGGAAGCACAGCCTAACGCATGGCAGCCCCAAGATTCGTCCGTCCGACATGAACGTGGACGACATGGAGCTAGACGAGCTGACCATGAACAGCGACAAGGAAATGCTTGATCGCGAGCTCGCGGACATGGACGGCTTCTAGAGTGAGGGCTATCATCGGAAATAGCCTCGCCACAGTGGGCGGCGCATTGGTGTGTTCCCCGGACAGCACGCTTGCCGCCCTCTGGTGAGATGGGAAGTACCAACTACCGTCTCAATGTGTATGTTTGTACATGTATGTAGCTTTGATTGCCGCAGGTGCTGATGGAGAGCTCCAGGCTGAAGAAAAACTAATTGGGTATAATATCAAGCAGACTTGTATTTGCACAAACTCGTGCGTGCATCATCAGAGTCCCATGTCCTCCGCAGCTTTGAGCGCGAGTTGCGCCTGGATCGCTTCCTGCGTCATGAGCTCGCAGAAGGCCTCAAAGTCCAGGGCCGACAGCACCAGCTGCAGGTTCATCGTTGCGTCTTCGTGCTTGGGACTGCGTTGCAACACCCTGCAGTGCGCAAAGAACTCGTCGGCTGTGAGCTGGTTGCAACGTCGCGGACAGAGGAGACTTGTGTAAGCATTGAGTTGTCGCGTTGCAATGTAAATTGGCCTAGACACGCCTCACCTGCTCTTGGCGCAGGAAGGTTGCTACCACGTCTTCAAACAATTCCTCATAGCGCTGCTCGACGACACCAAAACAAAAAAACTATGGTAAATGCGGCATCAACAACCGGCAACAAAACGTCATCGCACGCACTCGGAAGAGCTCGTGCACTTCATGTCCGTGCTCTCCATCCGCCTCCACCCCACGGAAACCAGCAGCATGTCTGCCCACCAGCATTTACACACACATCTTCGTAATTTTTCATTACGCCTCAATTCCAGGAAAATGAGCTCTTCGTCTACCGTTGAACAAACTGCGCCAGCTTGGCCTCCACCTCCTCTGAGCAGCACCCTCCACTCAAGTTAACTCTCTCACTACTCGCCCAATAACCTCGAAACAAGCCAAACCTTGGTCGCAGAAGGCCATCAGCCTCGCCACCACGGGGTCGGAGCTTTCCACTGCTATCAGCACTTCATCCATTACGTCGCTTCAAGTACCACACGCCTCTTCACTTGCTCTTTGTATGGCCCGACAAAAAAGTAGGCACCTCATTCGCGCTTTTGACAGCCTGAAAGCTTCCGGAATAGCTAGCCGATGGAAGCGCGCGATGCCATCGTGTCGTGGCTGGAGCAGGGTGACAACTTCCTGCGCGTGACGGCCGCGTCCCCGTTCTCCCCGCGCCGAGGCCGCGCTGGATTCCGCGACGTGGCACAGACCGAGGGCGCAGCGCTGGGCGAGCTCGCGGCCTTCGTGAACCGCAGCCTGCCGCGCGCCAATTGGGACGCCAAGCACGCCCGGCAGATGCTCAAGCACTACCTGCTGCAGTACCGATCCACGGCGGAGGCGGCGGCCGGTCCGCGATTCTCATTGGACGAGAGGGATGCGCTGCGCGGGCTCAAGACGGTGCAGGACAAGCTGGACAACATGTGTCGCCACTTCCAAAGACTCCAGCAGCTGCACGAGCACGCGGGCGCGAGGGACATGGTGACTATTAGGAGGAGGTCAGCGCTGCAGAGAACGCAGAGCCAGACGCAGCAGCAGACAGCGTACGTGAAGCTGCACTTTGCCTTGACGGAGGCCCAACGCAGAGAGCGGGAGATGGATGTGATGCCCGAGAGTGACTTGAGCAATTCGTGTGACAACAGTGAGGCGGACAAGAATGCAGCGGGGCAGATAATGTTGCAGTCGATGGTGGGTGGTGAGAAGGAGGAACAGGAGGCACGGATTGAGCTGACGGCTGCATATGCGCAGGGTAGGATCAGAGGAGGCAAAGAGAACGATCAGAATGCAGGACAGGAAGTAGTATCTATTCAGTCGGCGCAAAGCGTGCACAGGGAGACGCGGAGGAGTGTCAACAAGCAACAGGAGCAGAAGAAAAAGCAAGTGCCACAGAAGCAGGGGGCTAAGGAGAAGCAGGTAGAGGCGCCAGAACTTCCCGTTCTTGAGCCGACTTCGGACGAGGAGGATGTGGATGAAGAGCTTCCGACGCTAAGGCGGTCGACTCGAGCTAAGCGACAGTCTGCAGGGAAGGCGGTTCGTCCGAATCAAGATTCACCGGCGAGAAAGAGGACGAGGCCCGAGTCAATCGCTAAGAAAGCTGACCAAGTGGAGGTAGCGGACGTGGCGCCCACGCAAACCACTCAAGGCGCCAGCACTTCTGCCTCGGATGAGCCTCAAGATTCCCCGGTCAACGACGAGAATACTCCAAGCCTCAATACTCGGAGTCAGCAGCGAAGGCTTGTCTGCAAGTTTGCTACAGCTTCGAAGCCTTCGCAACCAGCAACCAGGCCGTTGTCGGGCAATACTCAACCGAAGAAAACCACACTCGCTGATGCGCCTCAACCCGAAAAGCAGCTTCCTCAAGAGCCTGTGTCGCATCCTTCCAACCATGATCGCACCCGAAAATCGACACCAGCCTCCGCCGTACCGGAAGCCTATCGGTCGGCAATTGCGGAGGTTATCTCGCAGCGGAAGCAGTTGATGTCTCGTATGGGCAATGATTCTCAGGCCTCACCGGTCCAGGAGAAACGCCAGCGTAGTCTCAGTGAGAGCGATTACGGTCTAAGCGATATCGACCTCCCCTCTCCAGACTCCAAGCGAAGCACACCTAGCAATAACGCACAAAGCTCCAAGTCTGCTCGCGCGCCACGAAGTCGACACGAATCAGGCCCTACAGCGGGTCTCCTCCCGCCTCTCATGGACGCATTTCGTACCCCAAGTGGCAAGTCGAATCTGGAGCGAAAGCGCGTATTTCACCGAGCCAAGGAGCTCGCGTTCGAGCAGCTCAAGTGGCACCGCGAGAACGAGTTACAGCAGTACGAGCTGGAGCTTCTGCGCCGCGAAATGGAGGCGCGCGAGGCCTTCGCGCAACAAGAGCTGCAGCTAAAGAGGATGCGCGTCCGGGCTGACACCATTCAGCACATGGTTTCCGCTGGCGCCAGTGTCAAGGATATCGCCGAGCGTCTGAGCTTGCTCTAGGCACAGCATGAAGTAACACCATCGCTCGCGCCAAGCCGACACCTTTTTGGATGACTTTCACTATCTAATGAAGCGCGTTTCAACTTTCGAGAACGGCGGTGCTATGTCTGTTTGGTGCCGGTTGAGACTAAAAAGTCGCAGTCGATGGAGCAGCCGATGGAGCACGTGCCGACGTCCGATTCGCAGCGCGACGCCATTGTGGAGTGGCTGGAGAGCGACGACAATTTCCTCCGAGTGACGGCGTCTTCAGCCCCGGCAGCGCCCCACGGACGTCGCGGCTTGGGGTGCGACCCCGTGCATGCGGAATTGGTCGAGAGCAACGCTCTAAACGAACTGGAGGCGACGGTGAACGCGGCTTCTCCTCGAGCCAAATGGGACGGCGAACACGCCAAGCAAATGCTGAAGCACTATCTGTTGGAGTTCAAGTCGACAGCAAGAGCAGCCGCCCAGCCAGGCTTCATGTTGAGCAAGACGGGCGAGAGCTTCGGTATTAAGACGATCGAGGACAAGCTGAACTGCATGTGCCGCCACTTCGTCCGACTGCAGATGCTGCACGACCCGAGGATCAGAGCGGCGATGAGGTGGAGAGCGCTGTTAAAGGAGAGGTCCAGGAGAAGACGAGCGGTGGCGATCTGACATCCCCGCAGCAGAAGGACGCAATGGATCCCAGTGAAGTGCCTGCACACCAGTCACACCAAAAGGGCGCCACATCCAAGACCCAGGAAACGCCAAAGGAGCCCAACAGGCCGCAACACCCAGACCGCCTACAAGAAGATACGGACGAGAATAGCGTCGATAAGGGCAAAACTACTTGCGAGAAACGGTCATAGCACTGCCAGCAGCCCAGGGGTTGTGGTGAAGCAGAAGGCGGGTAGGAAGAGCCCCGCAACGAAAGACTCGAGCCCGCAAACATCGTATATCGGCCAAAGTACAAGCAGCAGAAGAAGAAAAGGAAGAAGGAGGAGCAGGAGCGACTGGAGAAGGAGAAAGCGGCTCTGATGCCCAACTTCATTCATCTCTCGTCCGAGGAGGAAGATGAGGAGCTTCCGTTCCTGCAGAGCAAATCTGCTGCTGTCAAGCCGGGGAGACGGTTGAAGAGAGCGGGATCTGAGTCCAAGTCGGCTCCCAGTGATGAAGACGATACCCCATGGCTCAAACGAAAGATCAGGCGCGTGGAGAGTACCGGCAGTTCTACTCGAGCTGACGTGCACCAAACACCACCTCGAGCCACGAGGAGTTCTTCGAAGACGCCCCCTCGCACGAAAAAGAGTACCCCACCCAAAGGCAAGAATACGCCAAGCAAAGGCAAGAATGCGCCAAGTCAAGGGAAAAACACGTCCAACAAAGTCAATAAATCTCCTCCAGGAAATCGAAAACCGGCACAAAAGGTGGTTAAAGCGCCCAAAGCAGCAAAACCTGCGAAAGTCCCGACTCAGGAAGCTGTCGCTGTTGCTGATGCGCCGAACCCGCATAAGTCACCCGTGGAGAAGTCGCCAGGAAGTGGGCAAGAGGCTGTAAAGAGCATTTCGCCGGCCATGAAACCAGTACCCAGTGCAGCCTCCGACCCACCAAAGATCCAAAAACCAGAGATTCAAAGCACGGACGTCCCTCCAAACGTTGTGGAAGCTATTCCACAATCTCAAAGTGAAGCGCAAGGATTGGCGGTGCCCCAAACTGCGGTCTCTGAAGTGCAAGACCCTCCAAGGCAGGAACCAGTATCCTAAGTACCGTATTTGCCCGCACAAGTCGTGAAGAACACCCCTGCTCAACCTCGTGTGCAAGTTCCGGATGCGTTGCGTTCGGCCATTGCCCAAGTTGTATCTCAACGTCAGGAGCTGCTTAACTCCCGTTGGGGCCGCCGTCAGATCCGTCAACCCAGTTTCAGCGACAGCGACTATGCTCCAAGTGGCGGTGACGATGAAGAAAACGAAGAGGAATATTTTGAAGAGGACTCGGACACCGCGAGTAAAGACAACAAGCATCGAAATCCTTCAGCCCCCGCCAAGAACAGCGCGCCTGCCCACAGCACCCGAAGGGCCCTCAAGCCAAAGTCCCCCCGCCCCAGTCATAAAATTACGCAGCGTGGCACCGAACGCTCACCGCTTCGTGTCCAAGACACATCGGTAGTTAGCAACTCGCCAGGGGTGTCAAACCTTCCCCGTCGTGGAAGTCGCCAGAATCTGACCCTCTCAGCCGGCCACATCCCTGCTCTGCTCAACCTTCCGGATACAATCGGTGGCGATACCAATCTGGAGTACAAACGCGCGTTCTTCCAGGCCAAGAAGCTCCCGTTCGAGCAGTTCAAGTGGATCCGCGAGGGCGAGCTGCAACAATTTGAGGTGGAGCTGCTGCGTCGCGAGATGAAGACCCGCGAGTCCTTCGCCCAGAAGGAAATCGAGCTCAAGCAGATGAACATCCGAGCCGAAGTCATCCAGCGCATGGTGCTCGCTGGCGCCAGCGTCGACGACGTCAGCGAGCGGCTAACACTTCTGCAGCAGAATAGATCACTTTGTTAACAACTTCAACTTACCAGGCGTTACAAATCGTCTATGGGCGTTATGTTTCGTTGTTCTGTCAGCCTTATTTTCCGTCGTATTATTTTTAGTTCCTCACATTAATTATTTATCAAGCGATCAAGCATGCACGTGAAGAAGGGCTCGCGCCAGTCGAAACCGCGCAGCGACTCCGTCGACTCGGACGTGGTCCCTGTGGAGGATCTGGGCAATAACGAGACGCCCGTAAGCGCCGTCACGTCCGGTATGAAGCGCAAGAGCGACGCCCCGGAGAGGCCGACGCAGCACAAGAAAAACTCTAGAAGGACGTTAAATGAGGCGGATAATCCGGTAATTGAGGACAACTCTGTGGAGGATGAAGCGGAGCTGCAGTTGCTGGCCATTGAGGCGCGCCGGCTGGACTTTGAAGTCGCCAAGTGGAAGCAGCAGCAGGCGCTGCGCCGCGGGACGCTGCAGCTCAAGGCCGAGGAGATCAGCCTCAAAGAGGCCACCACGAGGCAGACCCAGCAGACGCAGATCATGGAGCTCAAGGCCAAGTTGCTCAAGGCGCTGGACGAGGTCGGCACGACCCCGGCTCAGTCAAAGAAATATCTCGCGCTGCTGGACGGCTGAGGACACTTTGGAGGACAATGGGATAGGAACTATACTTTAGCAGACAATTTGAAAATTATTTTCGGCCGCAGCATTGAATAGTTTGCTGCTGCGCCTACATTCACATTGAATTATCGTTGTTGGTTTTTACACTAGACAAATGGGCTACAACGCTCTGGTTGCTGTTTGAAGCTTAGTAGTTGTAGCCATAGCCATAGCGCTGGCCGTAGAAGCCCCCATAGCTGTAGCCGCCATACCCGTAGCTGTAGGGCTGGCCGAGTCCGTACGCGTAGGCATACTTGTAGGCGCTAGGGTCGTACCCGTAGTAGCCTCCGCCATAGCCATAGCCAAAATCGTTGCCGTACTTGCCGTAGCCGAACACGTTGTGGTCTTTGCCGTAGCTCGGGTACCACCCACCGTAGCTATATCCATAGTCGTCGTAGTCGCCGTAGCCTTTGCCGTAGTAATCGTCGTGGCTGTCGTCGTCGCAGTCTTCATCCTTCTTGTCGTAGTGCTCTTGGTGCTCGCCACCTTCGTGCGCGTCGGTAGATCCAGAGCTGCTTTCGATGGCCGTCGACTCGGTCGGAACTGGCGTCGGCTTTGGGTCGTCGGTCTTCGCGACAGCTTGGCTCATTGCCACGATCGTGCACACAGCGACAGCGAGCTTCGACATCTTCATGGTTGGAGTTGCTGGTAGGTTGCACTGCGAACGGCTTGCTTAGTTGCTGGAGAATCGCAGAATGGACAACCACGGAAGAGCTATTGCGATAGTTGATGGACCTAAAGTTGTATTGTCTTCAATCGTCTATGAGGCAAAATGATGAACTTGGCAAGATTGATCGAGATTGAGTGTTTGGCAAAGCGTGCCAGGTATTGCTGCTTTGGAAAAAGTGACAGCGGGTAGTCAAGATGGGTTAGCAATCCAAATGGTTGACTTATCGACAATCCAATACCTGCCCAGCATCTAATGCAACCCCTGGCCAACGCATAGGTATGTAACTTTGCTTCACTGTTGCTTCAGAGGTTCAACGCCATTTCTAGCTCTAGTTCAATCGACTCACCCGATGTATGCAACCCACACCACCACCCCGGGAACATTAGTGAAGCTACCGGACGATCTCCCACTGCCAATTGAATAGACAGAAAGACTTGTTTCTAGCTCTAATACTAGTTCAATCTGACTCGATGCATAGGAGGATGTATGCATACAATCAGCACCACTACCTCAGGAATTGCTTATTCTTCCACTACTGCAAGGTAAACATTATAGTGCGTACATATCGCGAAAACATCTCGAAAGTATGTCATTCAGAAATTTGACGACGCCCGAGCAAGCCATGCCCCCCGATATCGTGTACCACTACCCCCTGCCAGCAGCGTCTTCGAAGGCCATTCGCGTCGCGATCGCGTTCGAGGGCGTCGTCATGACGGTCATCATGAAGGAATTCGAGACCGTGGGCGAGATCAAAGAGCGGATCAAGGAGCGGATGTGCTACGACTTCCCAGCCGAGGAGCTGACGATTCTCTGGGCGAAGAAGAACAATCACGAGTGGCTCACGACTTTCGACGGTAGCAACCGCCAGTTACTTCACCCAGGCAACATCCGGGACGAAGCCTGGGACGTGCTGGATAACGCAGACTACGTGATGGACCCGCGTGCGATGGTAAGCGAGGCGGCGTTTGAGTTCCGAGGCGTGTTCGAGCTCCGGTCACACGAGATTCATGTGGTGGCGCTGCTTCCAAAGTACCGCGAGCTGTCGAACGGTAGGTACTCAGACTAGATTGACGTCTCTACTTGACTGACATACACCTCTGCGTGTTGATTGTTGCGGCGCACTGATCCTATCAGGAGTCATGCAGAAGGTTGGAGCCGGTTCGTCTCCATTTGCGTCCGCTTGCCACCGACTCGTGGTGCCTATCAGCAGCTTGCTTGGCTGCTTTCAGCATGCTTTGAGCCACGAAAAGAGCCTTTAACTTTAACGGGGCGACTCCTTATCACGGAGGCCATCGTCGTCAAATCCCTGCAAAGCGATGAGGGTCGTTAAGGCTCCACGGAACACAGAATTCCCTAAGACGAGGTATTACTCGAACGTAGCCCACTCAAATGTTCACTGCACATTGCTATTAACCTACTTTTCGTTTTATCGTTTGTTTTTACTTAGTTAATACGATCGCTAACGACTACTAAAGACCGAGGGCCTCACCTGTGCAAAGTTTCGTTTATCGTGCTCAACCTGAACAGTGGCAAGCATTTGCATGTATTCGTCCATTAATACGCCGTGCATCCGGACGTCATGGGAACCAGCAAGTCACGTGAAGCCTCTTTTAGTGCATATGCATGTTTTTCTTTGGAATGCTAAAACACTTAAAGATGTGACATCATACACGCGAACACAAGCAATATTCACTCGCATGGTATTTCAACCTCATTAGTCGAGACGCGTACGCTTCTTTTCCCCCTCGTCCCCATTCGAGTTGTCGTACCGATCCATCAGGCGACGCAGTTCCTTCCTGTAGAGCACCAAGTTGCTTTGTTGCTTCAAGTACCAATCGCGAGTCTTTGTGATCGTCACGAAAGTCTCGTGGCCTTCCATCTCAAACAAAAATTTCGTCTGCTTCTCATTCATCCATTTAGCCGCGAACTCCTTTGCATCTTCAAAATTCTTAAACTTTTTCTCGGCGCCTTTCATCTCCATTGAGACTTCCGCGCCTCGCAGGAACGACTGAATCTCATCGTTGCCAGGGAATTCCGCCTCACGCATCTCCCACGAAAACGGCTTCTCCAGCGATTCAACTTGTTCTCGGAGCCACTTGATCCGTTTTGGAGTGACAATCGTCACTACCGCTGTCTTCTCATCGTTTCCATCGACACTGTCCACGTACTGGGAGAGGTACTGGATGGAAGGTCCGAGTAGACCGGGATCTGCATTCTTGAGCCTATTCACAACAGTATCAAACAACGTCTTGTCGGCATAGTCGATAGCCACCTTCCAGAGCAGCCCAATGTAGCTCGACAGGAACAGGTCTTCATCCTTGGTTGACGTTGTCAGTTGCAGTGTCTTGTCAACTAGTGCCTGTTGAGCCGCACCACCGTCAAGGCTGTCAAACACGCGCAGAATTAATTCCAGCGCCGACAAGCCGCCCTTTCCGCTTTCGTCACTCCTACCCAGCGCCTTCAAAACAGCTTGGCTGACTTCATCCCAGCCGTACGAGCACAGAATCTTCGTAATTGGAGGGAACCAAAGCTCCATTCCCTTTTAGACCACCAAGTTCATCACAGTAATTGCCGAAAAACAAATTCACAACGGACGGATCACCAGCGTCAAGGAGAAGGTCGATTACCACCTCGCGCAGATTCATGGACCATACAACAGTAGCTTCTTCTTCCCAAAATTCCTTGTACCGGTTTTCGGCCTCCAGTCTGGCAGCGGTGGTGTCGAAAAGCGCACGAATTTCTTCTCCAGTCACAGGCTTCTGGTCGCGCAAAGCATCTGCAGCGGCATCTAGCGACATATATTTCAATGCCTTTTTCGCATGACCCACCGCCCGCCAAGCAACGAGCGCGTATCTCGAGCCGTCGTGACTTTATTCCCGGTATGTCCGTCTTCTTTGGTGCGGATTCCATGGTCCCGCCAGAGCTGCTCAAGTATTTTATGGCCAGGGTTAAGTAGATTGAGTTTGGTTCTTGAAAATCTCACGTGGCCAAGGTCTTCTCCCTGCAGCGAATACCAAGTTGATGATTCGCGGTGGCCTAGTTTATCGCATCCACAGTCGTTAGAGTTGAAGTATCTGACATCGTGCGTCAATTGAGCAATAAAGAAGCACAACTTCTTCTCGGGAGCAACGCGTGCGTTGGCTTCTTCAAGTGCGTGGAATCTCGCACAGTCGATGTCTTTCAATGCGCCAGAACCGAGGGTTTGGATACTTTTCGTGGTGTACTCACGCTCCAGTAGCAGCGCAAAAGAATCGTCTTCGTCGTAATCGCTCTCATCTTCGTCGCTGTCGTCTTCATCGTCCTCAGAGTCATCATCGTCATCATCGTTGTTTTCATCATCCACATAGTCCTCGTCGCTGTCAGTATCCCCGTCATCTTCCTCCCTCTTGTTCCCCTCACCCTGGTCGTCCTTGACCTTGACCTTCTTGTCCTCTTTAGCATCCTTTACGTTTGCACGTTGCTCACCAGACGTTTGGTCTGCATCCCCCTCCTCCTCGTTCTTCTTCTTCTCCTTCTCACTGCCCACACTCGAGATCGCCTGTGCCAAATCTTCGCTCAACTGCTTATCCTCCGTCCTCTTCAAGTGCCTCATCGTAGCGGGCAGACAGATCGAGTACACGAGAGCGAGTCGGAACCCTTTCGTCACTTCCTCCAGAGCATGCTCCGCGTCTGCATAGTGCACAGCGTAGTGCGTTGCGAACGCTGCACTACCGTCGGCTTTGCCGAAATCGTGTCGATACGTCAACTTCCCATCTCGATACACGACCAGGTCACCGCCTTCGTGCGCACTGGGCGGCTGCACCACCAAGGTCGCAATCATCCCGTCATCCTTCTCCGTGCCCTGGTGCTTCACGAAGTGGCCTCATTCCCCGTACACCAGCAACTTGTACAAGACGCAGTCCAGCGGGACGTCCGTGTAGCCCAGGCGGTCCGCGATCACCTTCCGTAGCTTGTCCATGCCGACTTGTCACAAGGGGTTCCTGAACTGGACCAAGTTCGCGTCCAGCTGCCAGCTCTTACGGACGTTCTCGTCCATCTTGGTGTCAAGATTGTGGACGAAGGGGGACTTCTGACACAGTGCGACCAGCTTTTCAGCTTGGTCGGCGACTAACGGCGTGTGAATGGTGCCCACACTGCCCACAAACAGCCCGGATACAGCGGGTAAAGTATCTGCGAGTCCGCCGAACGAGTACTCGCCTGCGTGCTCATCTCCGCGGGCAAGGACTTTGCTCACTTGAGCACAGCCAGCCCCTTTGGGCTTCAGCACGTCCTTGAACTTGCCTTTCCCGGTGAAAGGCCGAAGATTTCGCTGACAACAAGTGGCCTTTCACCGGGAAAGGCCACTTGTTGTCAGCGAAATCTTCGTCAAGACTCATTGTCGAAAGGTTTGATCGAAAATGAGGAGAGAACTCGAGCCTGGATAAAAAGAACCCCAGTCGAATTCTATCAATCAAACCTTTTACAGTTTTTTTGTTACGGATTGAGTGAGATTGAGGGATCGAGATGTACGATGACTCGAGCGGATCAAAGAGCGAGGGGGCTGACAACACTATGGACGATGATAAACAACAGCGAGTGGGTCGCGACTCGCAACGGCAGCTACCGCCAGGTATACCACCCAGGCACACACAGCCTGGGAGACTGGACACCGTGGGCGATGTGATGGGCCCGCGATGGTGAGCGAGGATGTATTTAACATGTTCGAGATCCAGTTGTTCGAGATTCACGTCGTGGTGCTGCTTCCAGCGTACCGCAAGCCAATGGTACGGTTCTTAGTAGGCTAGATTACTGCCCCCGCTTGACTGTAGTACTCTCTAACGTTATTCCTCTTGGCGTGTTGGTTCTTACGACAGCGTACTCTGATCGGATCGGGAGTAGTTTGGAGCTCAATAGTCCCATTTGCATCTGCTTGTCAGCGACTTTAGACGTCCGCTAGCAGCTTGGTTGGTAGGTTTCAGCATGTTTTAGCCCACGAAAGAGCCACGGGTTCCAGAGACCATCGTCGACAGCCACACGACATGAGTGCGGACTCATGTGTGGCAAACAAAAATGAGCCCTGCAAAATGTTGAGAATTATCGGAAGCTCTGAATTAACCCCAATGATATCTTTGCTTTGAATAAATGAAAGAACACAACGCCGTTTACCTTGATTTCTGTATAGTATACCACAAGTTGTATCCTATAGGATATTGCCGTTTGCAGATATTTTGGCCAAATTGTATGCTCTGTCTGGTGGGGTACTGACATCCGGTACATATCACGCCAATCAAAGAGGAATCCGACCGCAACAACGGTCGCTGGAATTTTAACTATCCACCGCTTCTTTTGCCTAGCAAGTGATAAGAAGCGCTATGAATCCAGGCGGGTTCGTGAGCGATACCTTTATGAGAAGTCTGGCGCATTATATAACCCCAACAAATTTTATCCTTAACAGGCGCGGCCCCAAACGGTGTCCAATATTACCGAGAAACTGATAAATTCGTTTTGTCCTGTGCTTGTCAGATCAGCGCCATAGTTCGGAATGGGATACATCAATACCTAAAAGGCGTAATTGACGCGTTTCAGCGCGGAAACCCCTCTGCTTCATCAGCATTTACGTTCTTCTGCAAGATGCCATACTTAGACGTAGTCAATTTTGAGTGCAGGCTTTCGTACCGCGAAATGTCGCGCTGAAAAATACGTGTCCAATAGATTACTTCGGTGATGACCACGCACCCAATCTGTGGGGAAGACATCTGCGCAGCGGGTTTCCAAGCAGAAGCCGTTTAGCAGGAATACCCCAGTGTCTACAACTTTCGTCGATCTCTGTAGCTGATAAATATCATAAATTACTCGCACATTATCATAAATAACTTGCATATGAAAAGGCATTACCGTAATTTATGTCGAAGAGTCGCATGAATGGCAAACTTCATGTGCTCATTTCTCGTGAACTGGAGCACTAGTGCAGCTCTAAGCATCACCGTTGACCTAGTGGTAGTAAGACCTATCCAATGATACCTCTTGTGTCTGCACTAGTAGTCTCCTTCTGGTACCTAAATATGCGTCTTCTCGGAGAAATCCAGTTATAGGTACATTCTGAGGGGCCGCGCCTGTTAAAATAAGGACAGAAACAAATCTGGCGGCCTCGATTTTGGGGCAATTTTGTCCTTAACTGGCCGGTTAAGGATAAAATATATCTTAGCATTTGTATATACCCACTTAGGTACGGTCCCAGAGGGCCAACAGTGGGCTCTCGTTAGGTGTGAACGGTTTCACTTGTTTCTACTATTGGCCGAGCTACTACACCATTTCCGGGTCGTTCTGCACAAATGCTCGATTCAAAACAATCACTCGAAAACTTATTGACAAGACCATTTCTAACTACCATGTGACCTGCCTGCAAGAGACGAAATTTCGTGATGTCCACCGTGCCGATAAGTTCAAGTTTCTGCTGCAAGCCACTTTTGACTGTAAATGTTTGTATCTGACCTTAATGCTGCCGAAAGCAGCACACAGTTCTCTCGAAGCGGCGGAGTAGCTACGGTGCTCCACAATGACTTTCCTGGATTTGAATCTGCTGAAGAAATGGAAGATTGGACAATCCCGGGACGATATCTGGTAATACGAGTACGGGTTCAGAATAAAAATCTCTATATTCACAACGTGTACGCGCCGGTGGATCCACAAGAGAACTTTCATTTCTACGAATCCCTCCTGACAAGAGAAATAAATAGCGAAGACGTGCACTGGGTTCTGGGAGACCTCAATGTGACGTTCGATCCTCCATTTGACTCGTGCGCCGTATCCGCGAGGCACAACCGGTCGAGGCAAAGCGCAGTGGAATGGCTAGCATGCCTCGGTGTGTCTGACTGCTGGAGAGTTCACCACCCCCAACGTCGTGTATTTACCGGACCACCACCAAGGAAAAACAGACTCGATTATTGTTTCATCTCCGACTCATTTATGACGCGCTACTATGGATCATCCCGATATTTTCAAGGTCCTCACTCTGGAGATCACTTAGCCCATAGCGTGACCTTAGACCATTCTCGCCAACCGCGCGGTAAAGGATACTGGCGTCTTCCTACAAAAATGTTGGATTGTCCTCTCGTAAGAGAAGCAATCCGAAACGAGGCTCAACTTCTCCTTTCAGACATTCTAGATGCCGACAATCCTGGCCTAGTATGGGAAGGATGGAAACGACGAATGGGAAGCCAACTAAAATCCCTCCAAGCAGTAATGAAAATTCAAGCAGACCAGGGCCTCCGTGCTGCGGAAAACCTGTTCGAACGGACTATGGAGAATTACGTAGACAACCCGTCGCCAAATACTCAGAGGGAATATCAGGAAGCAAAAGAAGCCTACGATGAACGCAAAGAACCCGTTCATCGACTCCAACAAGACTCAGTCTTCGATTTTCACGCGGGAAACATGGAAACGTCAAAGTCAGCTTTCTTCCGCCCTCATTCGTCCTTACTGAGACCTGTGCAAGTTACTTCAGTGAAACTTGAATCTGACGAAGTCTCCACTGATCCCGAAGACGTAAGAACCGCGTTTCGCTCCCACTGGGGAACAATCTTTGATACTACTAGCCCTTCCGACAATACAGTGATTGACGAGGAAAAACGAGCGATCCTACTTGATTCGACTCAATTAAAGATGTCCAGGGAAGACGCCGAAAAGCTAGACAGCCCGATCACAGCCGACGAAATGACAGCAGCCATCAAGCACATGAGAAGCAATTCCGCTCGTGGGCTAGATGGGTTAACTCCGGCATTCTACCAGACAGCTCCAGATATATTCGGACAAATACTGAGCCGTGTATTTCAATACCAACTAGACCGTGTTATTTTTTTGCCGTCCCAGAGGAAGTCATGCGTCACTCTCCTGTTCAAGAAAGGTGATCGCAGTGAGCCAGGCAACTACCGTCCAATCACTCTTATGCAAGTAGACGTAAAAATTATGTCGAAAGTGCTGACCTACCGCCTTCAAGGCGTCTTACCACCCATTATACGCCCTGACCAAAAAGGATTCGTTAATGGCCGATCACTGCACCACCACGTTCGACTACTGGAGGATCTTCAGCATCACGCTACAAGGTCAAACTCCGAAGCGTTGGTGCTGTTTCTAGACTTTGAAAATGCATATGACAGAGTGATTTGGGAGTATCTCTTCCTTATTTTGTCAGTCCTCGGATTTGGAGACCGGTATATCTCGTGGATTCGTCTTCTGTACAACAAACCTCTCGCACTAATTTTATTGAACGGATTCCTACTACAGCCACTTCAAGTTACGCGGGGTGTTAACCAGGGGGCCCACTGTCGTCTCTGCTTTTCTTACTGTGTATTGAACCACTCGGGAACCTAATTCGCCGACGGTCTGACCTAGGCGTTTTAGTGAATCAGCATACAACCGTCACAGGTCTGTATTTTGCTGATGACTCTACATTAGTGGCTCAGAACACGAACTGCATACGCTAGCAGCTCGAGCAGGTGAAAACCTACTGCCAAGGTTCGGGAGCACGCCTTAATTTGAGAAAATCTGCGTTGCTACCACTGAACAAGAATATGCCGTGCCCAAGATTCCCTGAAGTAAGGTGCCTTTATGCTGGCGATTTGATCACGTATTTGGGCATTCTATTCGGGCAACATGTGTCCCACGACACTATCGTAGCAGAGCTAAACAACAAGTTCTATGGGGGGCTCAGCGTATGGGGGCGGCGAGCGAAGACCTTACGAGGAAGACTTCTACTGGTGCACACGATGATTCTATCCGTACTGTGGCATCTCACTCCACACACCACGGTTCCTCCACCTTGCGTACGCCGGTGGCAGCGGATGCTAAATAAGTTTGTGCTCACACGAAAATCGGATGCAGACTCCAAGTTTGTTCAACTCGCCCCCGCGGAACTACTGTATTTGCCGCGGCAGGCAGGGGGTTGCAGCTCCCGCACCTCGAAACGCAGCTAAAACTGCAACGCCTACAGCTTCTACAACAGTTTGTAAGACTGCTCGGAAAGCCGGAGAAGGAGGCGTGGCCGCAACTAGCGTCTACATTTTTCGAAGCTTGAACTCATTCGCTTCCAGTGAAGCACCCACTCAACTTTCTTGATATTTCGCCTAACAAGTTCAAATACTTATTCGACATTACAGCGCTATCAGAATGGTGGAGAGACGCATGGAAATTGTGGCACAAAGTTCAATGGCCAGCTGATGGAGGCCAAGAACGCAGCGCGATCGCACTTTTGTACGCGCCAGTGTGGCTTTCAAAGAACCTACTCCTCCACTACACTACACCACAAGGCCAAATACGAAATATCGCCGCTGTTGCAGAGCCCAAAAGAAGCTTCCGACTTCATGTAGCCAAAAGGCTACAATACTCCTGTATGAAAGAC